CCTTCTCATCTCATCCCCGCTCGCCAGCGCTATTACAGCGCTCCTGCCCGTCATTCAGCCAAATACCCTCTCCACAACTGCACCCGCGCCGCCCATTCTCCCAAGCGCACAACGAACATAACCACCTCGGTCGCCACCAGTCAAGTAAAGGGTTAAAGACTCGCCTCCTCGCCGCCGGGCTATGCCCGTCGCGCACCTTTCCTCCACCCCACACCCTCCGGGCGGGTCCTCCGTCCTATTTCCTGTCGCTTCGGCACCATCACCACTCCCTTCCCAGGCGAGCGCTGCTCTTCCCCCATCTCTCACCCCAAAGTCAGCTTCCTTCGGCTTCGAAAACGTACCCCAACCACATAACCACCAACATCCCCACCCCCCCCCCCACCCCCACCCCCCCTCTCCAAACATGCGCGCTGCCTCTGTCACCCCAAGCACGCCCTGGTCAAGCCGCTTCTTCATCGATCTCGACGCCGCCCCAGGTCTCTCACCATCTCTTTCCCCCGGCTTCTCGCGTTGCACCGTAAGTTTAAATCTCGCAATGTGGCTGATCCTTTTTTTAGTCTGAACCCCCTTCCAACATGCCAGAAATGGGAGTGAGGCGCCACCAACGCTCCAGGAGCGCATCGCGAACCCCGTCGTCGCCGCCATCTGGCGGTGGCCCGGGCACGGATCTCAAGAGCCTGCCAGTCACAGTGAGTAGACGTTGTGTGCCTTGTGGTCACGGTGCAAAGTTCGGGACCGGGCCGCGCCTGACGGCCTGGGTCGCGCGGCCGGAATGCAATTTGCAGCCGAGCTAGGGGGCGAACTGATGGCATTCTCCGCGCCGTAAGCCCGCGCGCCATGCATTCTCGCCATGAGATCTCTCTCCTCGGCTCTCGGCCCTCGGCGCGCACGGGCTTCTGCACACCCCACCCTACCTTCCGTTCTCCGCAGCACAATCTGACCCGCAGCCCAAAGTAGCATCACCCGCGCAGATCAATATTGCCCCGGCGGGCCCTGACGGCGATATGCACCTCGCATCCGAGCCAACCTCGCCATGCCGCGCGCACCCAGCCCCTGCTCCTGCGAGACAACGCTCAGCGCGCCGCGCAGTACTGCAGACCAACATGTCCTCTGACGCACTGGGCTTGCGGAACGCACACCACGCGGTGCCGCTTGACTCGGCGCCCGTCACACCTGACGAGCGCATGGGGCGCGAGTTGCACCACCAACCGACTTCTGTCCAATCGGCGTGGTCCAACTGTCACGGCTCGGCGGCGTGGATGCGCACGCAGTATTCGGATCTCTTTTTGCTTGAGCCCCATGAGTACGACAGTATCACGGACGGCGAGCTCGTGCGCCTCTACGACCGCGGGGTGATTGACGGGCGGGTGCTGGAGCAAATCGTCGACGCGAGCATTCGCATCCAGCGCGCCGTGACCGACGCCGACCGCGCAGTCAGCATCAAAACGCGCCGAGCCATGATCCGGCACGCGCTGGAAGACTAGCTCCAGCCAACCCTGGGGCTCGCGTCTCCGTCGCCTACCCGTGCGGCCCGCCCGCATAGACACGAAACACTGTACGCATCGACTACCCCCTTACACATGTACCCCGCCTAGAGTAGATTTCGGCGGCCTAATGCCCGCCACGACCACCCGTCTAGTTGTCTCATACTGTACCGCTCCATGCATGGACACTACATTACGCGGGGGGGGGGGCGCGGAGCTAAGAGAGGTGCGGCCAGCTAGCTGTATCGAGTGCCACAGCAAACTCTGTTACGCCCGGTGTTTGCTTTTCCTGGCTGCTCGCATTCTTGCTCGGCGTCTAACTTTACCTGCCATGTCGCGGATTGCAGACCTCGCGATCGATCAATGCAGCACCCTCTAAATTGATTCCATTCTATTTGAGGGCCTAGGGTGAGCCATTCGGCGACTGCGCGCCGGGCTGAGACACTCTCGGTGGTGACTACCTAGCTACCCTGCTGGTGCTCGGCCATGCTCGCGTATGTTGGACGCTGTCTCACGCCGGGGATCTAGTATCGAGCTCGCCGGCGATCTGGCGATTTTACTGCTGGCGGAGGCGAAGCCGGCAGAGGCGAGCAGCCGTGCCTAGAATTCGGTGTCGCCACCATCGGTTCCGCGTCATGTTATTCATCCAGTCATATACAACTTCTGTCGACCATCCATCCATGTCCTCGTCCGTCCCGCCCGGCGCGCGGCCGCCGCGCGCGCGTCCGTCCCGCCCTCCGCAACCCACATCCCCACCCCCGCCCCCGCCCTCAAGCCGCACCCTCAAACAGCCGATGACGCTGCGCGTCGCCGAGTCTGCGTCTGGCTCGTCCGCGTCCGCAGGCGCAGGGGCAGGCGACAAAGCCGAGCTCCGACGCGCCTTCGAGCGGCGCGCACAAGCCGCGCGCCGCGCTGAGAAATGGGCCGACCGCGCAATGGAAGAGATCCTCCCGCGCGACGTGTTTCTGCAGGCCGTACGTCCCCGCCCTCATCCTCCTCGTTCCCCCTGCATCCTCCGCCTTCCTCCTTCTCCGCGCTTCTTCTCCGCGCTTCGCGCTCCGCCCCCCGCCCGGCCCGCCCACTAACCCCAGCTCACATACCTCCACCGCGCATCGTACGCGGAAGTGACACACGAGCGGCACCTGAACGGGCTGTGCGCGTACGCGCCATGCGACCGCCCGCCGGCCGCGCCGTACCGCGCTCGCCGCCGCTTCGTGGTCTCCACCGCGACGCGGAGCATCACGGAGCGCGAGGGGAACGAGGACCAGGCGTACTGCTCGCGCGTGTGTGCGGCGCGCTCGGCGTACGTCGCCGGCCAGTTGGGGACGGCGGCGCCGTGGCTTGGCGGGGGCGGGGGTGGGGGGATCGTGCTGCTTGAAGATGTGGAGGAGAGGGAGAAGGCGGATGCTGAGAAGGCGGAGATGGAGACGGAGGACGCAGGGAAGGCGGAGCAGGCGGAGAAGGCGGAGAAGGCGGAGAAGACAGATACCCCCCTCCCCTCCCTCCTCGCATCCCTCTCCATCGTCGAGCGCGCTACGCCGACCCTCCCCCCTAACCCGCCGGGGCACGGGCTCCGCCTCCCCGTCGAACCTGGGCCGCCAGTCGCCGTGTCTAGCGGCGGCGACGGCCTCCCCCTCCCCCTGCCTGGCGGGGAGGCTGTGCCCTCGCTGCTCTCCAAGGCGAAGGCGACGACGGGCGGGGCACCGACCACGCGCCGCGGCGCGTCGTCCCTCCTCTCCACGGAACATGCTGGGCTCGCCAATAGCGTCGTTAGTGCGTCGCAGAAGCTGCGGCCCGAGTCGAGCGACGAGAGCGAGGACGAGGAGGAGTGGGCCAAGGCCATGGGATGGGGGGCTGGGCCTGAGGTTGACGCCCTCTTTGCAGTAGCTGCGGAGTCGCGCAGACTCATGCAGGAAGAAGGGGATGGGGGCGAGCAGCCGGCGAGTAAACCAACGTAGATCCACCACACTATCATAGCATGCACATTACGCACCTCCCCCCAACGTTGATGCCACACGCTGCATGGATATTACAAGAATAGGATAGATGCGAGTCGGCCAATCTGCGGCCAGACTTTTGGCTCCTAACTCCGCCTCCCTTCTCGCGCCCTCCACTCTGCAGTGTTCTGCAATCGCTTCTTCCTCTCTCTTGCTTCCTACGGTGGTTGTGTTTAGTGATGGTTGGTGGTATTGGAGTGGTGGGCTGGCCGAGCCAGCTCCGGGGTGATGGGTGTTGCGTGCTGAGCGCTGGGCGAGCTGGCAAGCGAACATGCTTAGAAAACTTATGTCAGCGTCAGACTTCATCACAACCACTCACGCATGTCCTGGAGACCGGCCGCGTCAAGGCCAGCGTTCTCTTTTACGCCAAGCTCAAAGTAGCCGTAGATGATGGTAACGGCCATGAGGATACCAGTGCCCGAGCCGAGGGCGCCGAGCATGTCCGCACCAAACGAGAGGAGGCCGAGAACGGCTCCTCCAAAGGCGGCGGCAGTGGGAATAACGCGCTTGAGCTCCTTGTAAATCGAGGCGTCGCGGTGGCCGGCGAGCGTCATGCTCTGGTCCTTGAGCTGCTTGGCGACGTCACGCGGGCCAGAGCCAGAGACCTCGATCCACGTCTTGGAGAACATGGCACAGGCAGTGACAATGAAAGTGAGGTAAACAACAGTGTGGAAGGGGTCGGTGAGGGCGGCCTTGAGCGAGTGAGGCGCCGACATAAAGTATGAGATACCGGAGATAGCCTCGAGCTGTGTGCTCTCCTCAACGGGCTCCCAGACACCAAGGAGGCGCACGAAAAGGTTGTTGGGGAAACGGTCGAAGAGCATACGCGAGACCAAAAAGACGTTCGAGGTGAGCGCCGACTCGAGCATAATGGGCATGTTCGAAGTGTAGAAGAGCTTGACGGGGTAAGTGCCACGCTGGCCGCGCATCTTCGAGCTCTTGATAGGGATCTCGACGCGGAAGCCCTGGAGGTAGATGACGGCCGCGAAGACGAGGACGGTCGAGATAACGTTCATCATGTTCGGGAGGCGCTCGCGGTAGAAGGCCTCCTTAAGAGCGCGGGTCTTGTTGTTCATCGTGAAGACGAGGTGGAAGAGGGCGACAATGGCGCCCTCAAACTCAGGCCCGCGCCCAGTGTTGACCGTGTTGGGGCTGAAGCACTTCCAGATGATCGACTCGCAAGTGTTGGTCGCGATGAAAAGGGAGATACCCGAGCCGAGGCCGTAGCCCTTGGTAAGGAGCTCGTCAAGGAGAAGAACAATGAGCGAAGCAGCGACAAGCTGAAGAATGAGAAGGAGGCAGACACCCGCGCCGAGGCTGGACGGCGCACCGTACAGCCCGGTAAGCACGTAGACGGTAGCCTGGCCGAGGGCAATAATGAGGGCGAAGACTGGGTAAGCGCTGACTGCGTGGATTGCGTACGCTTCTGAGCCGCGCTGAACAGCGCGCGGTCGTCCTTGAGGTTGTAGTCGACCTCGATGAGCTGCGCACCGGCGAGAAGCTGCATGATCATGCCCGAAGTGACCACGGGGGTGACACCCAGCTCCATGAGCGTGCCGCGGTTGCTCGCCATGATGACACGCATCCAGTAAAGCGGGTCGGCCGAGTCGCTCGACATGATGCCGTACAGCGGCACCTGGGCGCACACGAGGAAGATGAGGAGCGTGGTAGCGGTCCACAGGACCTTGTGCTGGAACGTAACCTTGCGCTCAGGAGCAGTAACCTCTGGGAGGATGCTCATGAACGGGCGGACAAGCTCGAGGAGTCGGACTGGTGTCAGGCATGGTGTAGTGAATGAGATGGCGCGTGCGCATCCGCTCCTCTTGAAGCCGATGTCAAGTCAAGGCAAGGCCGGGATGCGCGTTACGGCTTGGGCTCTCGCAGATACTCACAACTACCCATCTTGGCGAGTTTCCACGGGAGTCAGTAGCCGTGCCGGGAAGAGGGGGGAAAAAAGACGGTGAGGGGAGATAGATGAATGGATGGATGGAAAAGAACAGAGCTCGGCGTTGAGCAATTGAACAGCCACCTCGAGGGAGCAGGCGGGGGAAGGTGTCCACGATGCTCAGCCTGCAGCGACACGCTGGCGATTTCAGGGAGCGCCGCGTTTGGCGCATGTCCAATCACGTGGCGTTACATAAGCCGATATCCGCACTCGTAGTTATTGTGGCCCCGCTCAAAAGTTGACCACCTCCACTTTCCGAAGCGAGACGCAACTGAATCGACTCCATTCACAATGACCGACGCCGACGTAAAGGACAAGATCGATGATCGCGACCGCGGGCGCATGGCTGGGATTGCGCCAGTCAAGGCCGAGTGGGCTGGCTCCCTGGATCAGCTGACAGCAGATACCTTGTACAGACCGAGACCACCCTCACTCGCTCGGCGCCCGACGACGACGCCGCGGAGGCGGGCAAGGAGCGCGATGAAAAGCGCCAGAAGACCAAGGGCGGGTGGAAAGCGCGTACAAAGTGCCAGAAGCCCGTCTTGACCGGCGAGCGCTCAGTCCGCATGTGCAGCGGGTGGGAGAAGACCGGCCAGTGTCCCTACGGCGAGAAGTGCAAGTTCGCGCACTCGTGGGGCGCATACTTTGCCGTCAAGCCGGTCGACATTCATTACCAGAAGTCTGCGCTCGGAGAGGAAGCGCCCTTCGTGCAGACCGTCGATAGGCAGCCCGGGGGCGAAGACGGCATCGGCAAGACCATCGACCTCTCGACCACCTGCCCCGTCTACGCCGAGCTCGGATACTGCACCTTTGGTTGGCGGTGCCGCTTCCTCGGCGGGCATGTTAAGCGGGCAGAGGAAGGGGAAGACACCCTTACCCGTGTCGGCGGTTGGGAGCTACTTGGTTTCCCGGACATGGAAGGGAGCAAGGAAGGGCGGAACCGTGAGGTCAACTGGGCAAAGGTTGACGTGCTGCATTCTCTGCAGAAGAACAAGGTGGGTTGCATGTACGAGGACTGGTTTGAAGCGGCGCAGGGCTATGTCTGTACGACTATAACTAACGGACAGTACGACTACGACTTCTCTCCGCGGTACCTCGCGGTTGTGGAGCCTAACAAGACCTTTGGGCGGAAGCCGAAGAAGCAGCCAAAGAAGAAGAGGGGACCCGTCGACGAGGAGGAGGCGATGAATGAAGAAGAGGCGATGAACGCAGGCGACTCGTCGAACGGCGCCGTGAACGAGGAAGAGGCCATGAACGACGACACCAATGGAGAGGAGAAGGGCGTGATCCTCGGTGAGGCCGAGGCCATGGACGTTCCTCTTCGACCGGAGGAGAAGCGCCGGCTCAACTGGGACAACGGGTTGTACCTTGCCCCGCTCACGACCGTCGGCAACTTGGTGAGCCTTTCCCGTGCATGACTGACCTTAGCCCTTCCGCCGCTTGTGTACCGACTACGGTGCCACCATTACAATCTCGGAGATGGCGCTTGCCGAGCAGATTGTACAGGGCAAGAACGAGGAGTGGGCGCTTGTCCGCCGGCACGAAAGCGAAAAGATGTTCGGTGTTCAGCTCGCCGGTGGGTGGCCAAACCGCATGGTGCCCGCCGCCGAGGTGCTTGCTCGGGAACTCGGCCCAGGCGGTATCGACTTTGTCGACATCAACATGGGGTGTCCAATTGATCTGCTGTTCAAGCAGGGCGCGGGGAGTGCACGTGAGTCTCCTCCTATGTAGGAGTCGCTGATAGCAGTCATGGACAACGCGAGACGCCTCGGCAAGATCTGCGTGGGCATGAACCGCGCTCTTGGAGAGAGTGAGTAAGAGCAAGAACGAGCTGACCCCAGTCCCGCTTACGGTCAAATTCGTACGGTTAATGCATTATAACTTTACTGACACCAGCGTACCGGTGTCGCGAACAATCACCCAAATGCGCACAAGCTGATTCCGCGTTTTGCGAATGAATGGGGAGCAAGTGCGATGACGGTGCGTTCCTTCCTGGAGTGTGCTGATATCAGCTACACGGCCGCTCGCGCCAGCAGCGCTACACCAAGCTTGCGGACTGGTCCTATATCCGGCAATGTGTCGAGGTGCTGCGCGAGAGCACGGCGGACGCGGGCCTGCCGCCCGTGCCCATTTTCGGAAACGGCGACTGCTACTCGGCTCAGAGCTACTGGGAGGAGAAGGAGGCAAGCGGCGTTGACGGCGTCATGGTCGCTCGCGGCGCACTTATCAAGCCGTGGCTGTTTACTGAGATTGCTGAGCGGCGCGAGTGGGACATTTCCGCGACGGAGCGACTCGAAGGGATCCGGAAGGTGCGTTTCGCTTCCTCTCTCCTCCTCGTACGCTCGATTGACCTCAGTTCGCCGAGTATGGCCTGTCGCATTGGGGCGCGGACACGCAGGGCGTCAACACTACGCGCCGCTTCCTGTGTGAAGCGCTCTCCTTCCAGAGTCGGTACATCCCCATTGGGCTGCTGGAGCGCCTGCCGCCAATGCTGAACGAGCGCCCGCCAGCTTATCGGGGCCGGAACGAGCTCGAGACGCTGCTGAGCTCGAGCTTCGTTGGCGACTGGGTCAAGATTTCGGAAATGTTCCTCGGCCCCGCGGGCGATGACTTCAACTTCCAGCCGAAGCACAAGAGCAATTCGTACGGCGGTGAGGAGGCGCAGGGATAATGTCGCAGTGAGAGGAGGGTAGTCACCTGTCGTGCCTGTCGATCGTCCATGTACTGTATTCAATGCATGTTAGTCACTGCGACGATGCCGATGAGAGATGACAAGACGTCGTGAGCCAAGTCGATGAGAAAGACGTGAATATGACAGCGGCGATGAGTTAAAAGGACCTTCGGCACCATCCGGCCCGTGCCGCCCACCCACATCGGCATCGGCAATCACCGAACTCATTTCGTTGCTCATCTCACCTCCGCACTCATTGCCCAAGCTGTCGCCCCGCGCCCCCGCCCGCCTCTCCGCGCTCGGCGCTCACCTGGCCTCCCCCTCCAAGATGCTCGACACGATCGCCGTCGTCTTCGAGGTCTCGCCACAGTCGCTGGCGCTGATCAAGACCCACTTTTCCACCGTCCACTACTACCCAAAGGGCAAGATCCCCGCCGAGCTCGTAGGCGATGTCGAGGTCTGGTTCTGTAACTGGCTCGGCATCCCGCGCTGGATCAGCCCCGAGATGCTCACCCGCGCCCAAGTCGTGCAACTTACCAGCGGTGCGACCCCTCCCTCTCCTCCACTGACGCCAGCCGGCGCGAACCACGCCTTCGAGTGTCCCGCCCTCAAAGACCGCGACGTGCAGCGCCGCGTCAAAGTCTGCACTGCGTCGGGCGTGCACGTCCTCTCCATCCCGGCATACATCATCGGGCAGATAATCGGGTGTGCGCCGGGACACCTGGAGTCGGCTGACGCCAGTCTACCAGAACATACACACATCGATCACCGTCACGCGGACACATGGGCGCTGGCCACGGCGCGACGAGCTCGCGCTCAACCGCGACACGGGCGCCGACCTGCGCAAGTTCGGCACGCTCGGGCTCATCAACCTCCGCGGCAAGGTTGTCGGCATGCTCGGATACGGGCATATTGCACGCGAGACTGCAAGGCTGCTCGCTGCGTTTGGGTGCGAGATTGTCGCGGCGAACACCGCCGGCGAAAAGTCGCGCTGCGGGGGGTACATTATCGAGGGGACCGGGGATGTGGAGGGTGAGTGTCGGTAGCGAGAGGTGCAGACGAGGGAGAGGGAAGACGAGAGTTTTGACACCAGGCGATATCCCTACGGCGTGGTACTCTACGCGCGACGTCGCTTCGTTTGACAAGTTCCTGTCGCGCTCGGACATCCTCGTTGCCTCCCTGCCGTCGACGCCGCAGACGCGTGGGATGCTCACGCGCGAGCACTTGGCAAAGCTGCCCCCGAAAGCGCTCTTCATCAACGTCGGGCGCGGCGACCTCGTGGCGTCCGAGGCCATCCTCGCAGCCCTCAACGAGGGCACGCTCCTCGGCGCCGGCCTCGACGTCACGGACCCCGAGCCGCTGCCAGACGGGCACCCGCTCCTCACTCACCCTCGCGTGGTGATCACGCCGCACACCAGCGCCGACTTTGAGGGATACTTTGACGCAGGGGCAGAGTTGCTCGTCGAGAACATCGAGAACATGCGGCGCGGCGGGGAGCCGTACAACGTCGTCGACCCCGAGAAGGGGTACTAGACAATAGAAGAGCCTCGATTAGTACACAAATACAGCAATGGAATACATGCAGGCAGCGCCTGCTCTAACTACCTGTGCACCGTCGCTCAGAACCCACGTCCGCGTCCGCGTCCACGCGGCGCACCACGCCCACGGCCACCGCGCACGGCGCCGCGTCCGCGCGCAGCCGCAGCGCCCTCCTTGCGCTTCTTGGCGCGCGGCGCGTCGTCCACCAGCAGCGTGTCGAGTGGCAGAGAATCAGGCAGGATGTAGTACCGCACGTTGTTGCCGCGGATCGCGATGCTGTCGAGGTGCAGCGACGGCGTGCCTGCCGGCTGGTTGCGCATCGTGAGCTTGACGCTCTTAAGATGCGTGTTCATCTGCGGGTCGACGGCTGGGGTCAGCTAATGCACAATGGGATCGGGTGGAAGGAAGGCGCAGGGGTGACGAGATGTGCGAACGACGAGTGACTACTGCATCCACACCGTCCTCACAACAGCATCGGCATCGTTCTTCAAAACATGCTTCCACATCCCTCCAACAAGCACGCACAGGTAATGGTGCCATGGAGGACTGTCCCGTTCTTGAGCTCGATCGTGACCGTCTCGTTGTTGAGCTTCATCAAGAACCTGCTGTGAGCTTCCCTCCGACACCGCAAGCTGCGTGCGAGATGCATCGCCGAGCGCGCGCGCGTCCCCTGCGCTACTCACCTGACGAGCTTCATTTTGGAGGCGGAGTCGGATGCGGCCCTGCTGGGGTTTAGGTATTGTTGATGGTGACGAACGCGAAGTCGGCGGCGAACTGAGGATGACGGCGATATCGGGAATTTGTTGATGTGGCAATGGCGGACTACGCGTTGGGTGGCATCGTGGAGGAGGGAGGAGGGGGAGGGAGAAGGAAGGGCGCCGGAGACAAGGGACGGCGGCGTGGGCGCGGAACGCCAAGTTGAGCCGACAAGATCCATCTGGCCGTCATCTCTTTCATCCTTTCCTCCATCACTCCCCCCTCTCTCTCTATCTCCTCCTCCGTCCTCTCATCCTCTCCCTCTCTCCCTCTCTCCCTTTCGTTCGCCACAACCTGTTGTCCACGCCCACGCTCCCGATACCCGCGCCGCTCCACACCCCCATCCACATCTGACACATCCCACTCCACTACGCGTTCCGCGACGACCCGACGCTCGAACCCCCTACGCCAACACCATCACCCTCACCCACACTCACACCCACAACCGTACCAACAACTGCTCACCTGCTCACCCGCCCACGTCCTCGCGACATAGACAGGGCTGCGCCCCACTTTCTGTTCCATCTGTACCAGCATCTCGACATCATCGTTCCGCTCCACATCTAAACAGCATCTGTGTCCGGTTCGCACACAGCCCCATCTTTCCAACCACTGCATCTAGCACGAGCACCCTCCCTCGCTCTCTTCCCTTCTCAAGCCTAATACTCTTCCACTCACACTCCACGTACTCTTCCCGATCTGGTCAGACACCCCACAATGGTCGCGTTCGGTAACGGCTTCTCAAACGGCAACGGCAGCCATCACCCGGCCGCCCAGCAGGCGCCCCCCGTCAAGGTTCAGCCCCTGCTGTGCTCGGGCCACACCCGACCAGTCGTCCACCTCCAGTTCTCCAACATGTAGGCCACATGCGTGCTGTACGGAGTCTGACAATAGTCTCGCGGACGGCACTTACCTCCTCATCTCGGCGTGCAAGGACGGCAACCCCATGCTGCGTTCATGGCTGGGTGACTGGATCGGCACCTTCCTCGGTAAGTTTTCTTTTCAGCTTTCTGCTGGGACATGCAACGTGCTGACGCGCAGGCCACAAGGGCGCTGTCTGGTCCACCAAGATCTCTCTCGACACGTCACGCGCAGTGACCGGATCTGCTGACTTTACCGCGTGAGTCTGATTATTCTAGCCCGCTCTGACCGCAGAAAAATCTGGGACACGAACTCGGGCGAGGCTCTTCACAGCTTTGCGCACAACCATATTGTGCGCACCGTTGCGCTCAACCCTCAAGTGCAACCCCAGTACCTCCTGACTGTAAGTTTTGCTGGTGCCGAGCAAGACTGACCCCAGGGCGGCAATGAGAAGAAGATTCGTCTTTTCGACCTCAACCGCACGGACGCCCAGCCTCTCATACTCGGTAGCAACCCGGACGGCAACTCTTGTGATGGTGTCGTGCGGAGTATCGTATGGGATGAGGGCCAGGGCGGTGCCGTCGGTGTCAGCGCCGCTGAGGACGGCAAGGTTCGGTGGGTGTTGCTGAACAGAGAATCGTGGGGTTAGCTAACGCATAGCTGGTGGGACCTGCGCACGCTCTCACAAATCGACGAGGTTGATCTGGGCGGTTCTATCTCGTCTATGGAGCTTGCTCACGGTGGTGGCACCCTCTCGGTCGCCGCTGGGAAGAACGTACACTTCCTGGACGTGATGCGCCAGCACCCTCCTGTCTCAATCAAGATGCCGCACGAGGTGACATCTGCGTCTCTTCATCCCTTCATGCGCGACCGCTTCGTCGCCGGCTCGTCCGCCGATCCGTGGGTGCGCGTCTACGACCTTGACTCTGGCGCCGAGCGCGAGGTCTACAAGGGCCACCACGGTCCTGTGCTCTGCGCGTCATACTCGCCGGACGGCGAGGTCTACGCGTCGGGTAGCGAGGACGGTACGATCCGCCTGTGGCAGACCACGCCTGGCAAGTCGTACGGTCTTTGGCAGACACAGGAGTAGAGGATACCTTCGCAATGTGTTTGTGGGGAGGCCGATCTGATAGATGATGATGTGGGAGGAGGGACGAGATGGAGATATTGCAGCGCAGCGCGAGGCTGCTTGTACTTGAGATGCACAGGAGGGTGTGCGTGATATGGTCATGGACATTGTCACACTTGGAAACGCGTGTCAGGGGATGGAAGCCAGAGTGATGGTAACTGATCAAACTGAAACGTCAACAACAACACTGTTGCAACGGAGCGGCCAGAGCGGGAGACGAGAGGCGTCACACGTGCCTTCCGGCTTGATGCAGCTTCGGCATGTTCCTGGCGGCAACTTTGGCGTTCTTGTTAATAATGTGCTTGATTCCGCACGCCAGGCCATCTCGACCCCATCTTCATGCTCTTGTTACCACTCAAATCTCCCACCTCACACGTTCTCATCTATCTTTCGCGTCTGCTCACGACTACTGCTATATACATCGACTGCGCGGTAGGCTGCGCCGCGAGCCAGACCGTTTCCAGTTGGGCACATTTCGCCAGGAATAGATTGGCTGCGCTCAAACGCCACCCACCTCCACTCTCCAAATCTCGCATCGTTCTTGCTGTTTGTTTGTCTTGATTGCTTACCTGTCTTGACCTCTTCGTGGCTTTCGCGGCGACACTCGGGCTGTCACCAGTCTCTGTCGATTTGTCACCCACCGCTGCCACCGTCGACAGTCGCCATCTACGAGGGCTCGCCGCGTATAGGACTTACAGCGTGGTCCACATTCCCACTCCCATCGCTTATCATCTCGACTCGTCTCCATTTCCCATTCCCCCCCCCCCCTCTCGCCCCAACCATGCTCCCACCAATCGTCCGGCGGCTTCTCAGCACGCCCCTCGGCCTGGCCCTCCTCGTCCTCGCTACGCTATCCCTCATTTCCATTGCGACACTGCCTGCAAGCTACGCTGGGAAGTTGTTTGGGAGCGGGTCGGGTACAACGGTCGCGGGCGCTGCGGGCAAGCACAAGGGTGAGTGCTAGAGTGCGCTTCTGCAGTGCTGCGCAGCATGTGCAGACGCCCGCTGCGAGCGTGGAATTGCGACGCGACTGCGCGCGATGCCGATTGCGCCCGTCGCCTCGTGCATGTGAACAGGCCTGGTCCCTCCCTGTCTGCCCGCAGCAACCCTTCGCTAATGCCAGACTGTGAGGATGATAATCCGAACGGCTTGTGTCCCATAGACGACACGGTCGCCGCGCCACCACCCGACTACGACCTTCTTGACGCGCCCGTGCCCGAGGCGTACAGGCGCTACTTCCCCGACTTGAGGCTTCCTAAGGAGCTGCGGCATCCGGAACTCGCGCCCCTCGCCGATCGTCTGGTCCAGTTCCTCTCGCGTCCAGCTCTGAGTCATAAAGATGCTCTCGAGGCAAACCAAGCCGGGTGTCCAGCGGACATTATCGACCAGCTCACGAACCCCGCGCTACTGTCCGATCATCAAGCCTATTGGATCCAGATTGACGCGAATGAGATTATCGAGCGCCGCGCCGAACTCGTCCAGTATCTCGCGAAGCAGGTCGAGGCAGGCCACAAGGTGCTGGGTACCATGCTCAAGGGCCCTGATAAGCGCGGCATCGTTCTCACGGGCGGAAACGGGGATACCGTGCTGCGCATCGAGATGTTGCTGCGCCACCTCCGGAAAATCGGAAGCAAGCTCCCTGTCGAAGTTGTGCACTTCTCTGACGAGCTCAACGATAAGAAGTACCGGAAGAGACTTGAGAAGCTCGGTGCCAAGCTCGTGGCGGTCCAGGGCGTCGAGAAGACGCCTGGCGCGTGGAAGAACTACCAGATCAAAGCCATGGCTATGATCCAGTCGTCGTTCACCGAGCTGATCTACCTCGACAGCGACAATGTGCCGCTGCGCACGCTTGACCATCTTTTCTCGGCGCCGCTGTACGAAGAGAACGGCCGGGCGGCATTCTGGCCCGACATCAGCAAGGACCACGCGGATAACGCGATCTGGCGGATTGTCGGCGACACATGTCACCTCCGCGAGTGGACGTTTGAGAGCGGGCAAATTGTGCTCGACAAGCGGGGCAACAGCGGCAACAACCTCGCCGCGCTGTGGCTGGCGGCCGGGATGCTTGAGCAGCAAGACTTTTACTTCACCATGTGTGGGGGCGACAAAGACACGTTCCGCTGGGCCTTCCGCATGCTGGACCTGGCGTACGCGCCCGCCCCGCGCTGGTTGAGCGCGCTCGGCATCCTGAACGAGTTCGACGACAACCGCTTCTGTGGCCAGTACATGCCCCCCATAACCGCACTGACAATAGCACGATGCTGCAGTACGACCTCGTGGCGCAGGGCGCGGCGCCGCCCCCGCTCTTCGTGCACTCCAACCTCCTCAAGTACCTGGAGGGCGGGCTCGAGCAGGGCCGCGTGTTCACGCACATCAAGCACCTCCCGCTGGACCTGTATGATGAAGCGAGCCTCAACAGCATCTTCTTCTTTGTGTACCACGGCAACGGGCGCGGCATGTGCACCGACATGCTGGTGCACGGGAACGCGGAGGAGAAGATGGGCGACGCGCTGTACGCCATGCAGCAGCCGCTCGTGGTGGGCACGCACGACTTCCCGGAGCTCGAAGGGTTCGAGGACGCGTGGTGGAAGGCCGGCGGGCGTGTCGGCGGGTGGTAGGTCGTGAGGGCGGAGGTGGTTGCGCCACGTAGATTTCGCTAGACACATAGATTGATGTATAACTTGCTGTTGATGGACTTTGACGTGTGTGGCAGGGGAGGGAGTATTGAATGTCACGATGCTGTTGTTGATGTCGACGGGTCAACGGACGTGCTGACGTGGAAGGCAGAGGGGCACCACAGTTTCCGCTGGCGCACCATGTCCTGTCGACTTCCAAAGGAGTTAGGGGTGAAGTGGTCCGAGATATGAAATGGGATCTCAGTACTTCCGCCACGAATCGAGCGCCGATCATCACGACTCGCACATTTGCCACCCGCTGCCACCGACACAACCATGCACGTCACCACCAGTCATGCCATAATACATACAGTGTGTGTTTGTGTCTCTATTACGTCTCTATTACGCTGCATTCCCACCACGACGAGGCTTGCGCCCCCCGTCCTCCACATTACGCCTCTTCCCGCGCCCCTGCCGCGGCGTGGTCGAATCCTCGCTCATCTCGGCATCAATCAGCGGCCGCTTAGCCCCGGTGGGAACCGGCGGACCAGCCGGTGGAAGTTCGATGGACGGGATGAGCTGCGAGGGGAGGGAAAAGTTGAAGGTGGAGGAGGGTACGGGGCGCGAAGGCGTGCGGCGCGACGCTACAATCGGACGCGGGCTGGGTGCGGGGGAAGACGGGGCATCAGCGAGAAGGCTCGAGACGGTTGCGGGGCGAGGTTCCTCAGTCGTTTCTGTACGGGGATTCGAAGGGCCAGGCGTTGGACGGAGCGGGGATGGCCCGGGCATTGGGCGAAGCGTCGACGGCCCGGGCGTGGGACGGACGCGCGAGTCAAGCACCGGCGCGGAAGCGGGGCGCACGGGAGTCGAGCGCGGCGCCGGGCGCTGCACAGGCGTGGGCACTTCGTCGTCCTCCTCAAATGCCCGAATCGCAGCCTGCAATTAGCGAAAGAATGCGTGGACACTTGCCTGTCGTGCCTCGCTCCAGTCCATGAGGCGTGCGAGAGCCTCGGCGGCGTCACCGCCGCTTCCGATATCACTCTGAACCTTCGAGAGAACGTCGGCGCTGCAGTCAGTGATGCACGGGCCCGGGACGACGCCGGAGATAGCGACGTACAGTGCGGCAGAGTATCCAGCCTGATAAGCTTGCTGTGAGTTAGCGCTGAAGTTTCTAAGACAACAATGCACGCACCTTGGTATATCCCAGGGAGCTCTTGTACAGCTGCGTTATGGACATGGCAGCGGCTGGCATCAGTGGGTGGGTGGCAAAGGTGGGCGTACCGCGGAACTTGTCACCCATATCGCGCTCGGCGTCGGCGAGCGCCGGGGGAAGGGTTGTGTCGAGCGAGGAGAGGTCCATCGCAGCGAGATGTCGTGAGGGGCTCAGAGATAGAGGGAGAAGAGGAGAGAGGTGTCTTCTTTGGAGGGTTTATGATGACTGCAAGGTGCTCGAGGATGTTGTGAATCGAGTTCGAATGCGTGACGGCGGCGGGGAAGAGCAAGGAGTGTGCGGTGCGGGATCAAATTCTGTCAAAACCTGACTGGCCCGTCCGCATGAGTCTTCAGGTCCAAGTCTACTGGAGGGGCGAGACGCAGGGTGCGACAATTCCAGAACATCCGAGTCCGAGTCGCACTCATGCACGCGGGTCGGCCTCGGCGTCGGAGACGGACAGCAATAGCTTGCCACCCCCGCTGTGTTTTGCAACATAGGAAGGGGTAGCTTGAATTGCGTTTGAGTTGAACGGGATGTGGGGCCCTAGCCTCGTGTCAGTGCGATCTCGATCGCGAGGCACCGCGACCCGCTCTGGGCCATGGGCACGTGAGCATCTTGCTGAATCACTGCTGCTTCAACATCAGCTCGTTCTTCTCCTCCTCTTCACAGTGCTTCAACTGCGGCTTGCAAGGCTCACAGCTCTCGCGCACAAGTGTACACACAGACTGGGGCGCTCTGCTCCACGATGCAGATCTATTCCACATCACACCGATCCCCTCACCCACTCGACGCCTTCGCAACTCGTCGCATGTCGTCGCACCCCACCCCCCTCCCGCGGCTCCATGCTGCGCATGGGCCCCCTGGGCGCACTGCAAGTTTTTTCGGGCGCAGCTCTCATCTGAGAGCCCGTAACGCATGACTCTGTTGCCCTACGCTTGCATGGCGACGGCAAGTTGGCGGCGAGTCGCGACGTGCGTGTCAGCCGAATGCCGACGTGGACGGGTGCACACTGAAATGGAGGCAAGCAGAATGGTGTAGAACATTACAGCGAGCAAGCCAGCATGCGACAACGAGCATGCTTCCTTACGACTTGATGGTGTTTATCCCACTCAGACGCCTACAACTTCCAAGCCGTTATCGTCAGCATCTGGGATCGAACCAGCCAGGGCTCTTTGTACAGCGTCGAAGTTTCGACCGCAGAGATTCCAGATCTAACATTGTGATTCGGCGTCAAACTGTCTGGATGGCTGCACTAAGAAGTTTCGACAAGTGTGGCCCCCATCATCGCCACCAGCAACGCGCTGATTATGCCTCTTTAAACTTGTTCCCAGCCCTAGGCTTAGGCCGGCCGAGGTGGGGAAATATCACTCCTACACTCATTCCAACGTCTGCAGAGGCCAGGCCTATCGTGATCACGCTGGAGCCATATTAGATGTGGTCTTTCAAGATATGTGTTGAAGGACGGCGGAAATCCCGAGATCAACTTGCACTCACCTGAAATAAGCCGCGTTGCGCCGACCGGCTTTCGGCATTCCGGCTACTTCAATCTCTCCCACCTCCTCCCACCGTCATTACCTCGGTCGCATCTTCATCCTACCACTCACTCTTCCCAGACGCACGATGATGCTGCGCCAGACTCTCCTCCGCCTTCCTCGGGTCGCTGCGCCCATGCGCGCCCGCGCCATGTCCTCCGTCCCGGCCAATGTCCAGGAGTGGATCGACGACATGAAGTCCCGTCCACCCCAAGTCGACATCGACGTGATCGAGGCCGGGCGCGCGAGCAAGCTCCGCACTACGCTGCCACTGCAGAACGAGGCTGCGGGGGCGAACGTGGACAGTGGCTTCCTCCCCAAGGGACACAACCTGGTTTACTGGCAGCCGCGATCGTTCATGGACGAGCTCGCACCAGACGGGACTTCCACGGTGAGTATCACCCCTCTGTCCTCGCGGAAGCTCTAATAGCTTGGGGCTATTCGGACGCAACCCACGACCTGTGAGCGGCTTCGCTCTAGCACCGCAAGCTTCCCTTGTTGTTGGAGTGTGCTGACGCGCGCAGGAGTACAATGCGCCTGAGCCGTACAAGCGGCGCATGTGGGCGTCGGGATCGTGGGAGTGGCGGCGCGGTGCCGGCCTCACAATCGGCGGCAAGGTGTGCCAGTCGACTGTCGTCAAGAACGCCGAAGTCAAGGGCCCCATGATGTTTGTCTACACCCAGCGCGACCTCTTCGACTCCGAGAAGCCTGAGGGCGACTGGGTCATCCGGGAGGAGCGCACCCACGTCTTCTTCCCCGAGGCGAAGAAGAGCGACCCCGGGACGAACAAGCCTAAGAAGAAGCCCATGGGTGAGTGTCTCGGGGAACCATCTCTTTCATTTTGTAGAAAGAGGCTGGGCGCAGTCAAAACTGGCTGACAGCAGCATCCGACATGCCCAAGGCCGACGTCGAGCAGACGTACACGCCCACGTCCCCCCTTCTGTTCCGCTATTCTGCGTTGACATGGAACGCGCACAAGATCCATTACGACAAGGACTGGACGCGCGAGGTCGAAGGTCACCCCGACCTGGTCGTACACGGCCCTCTGACCGCGCAGCTGCTCGTTGAGGTGGCGGGCAACGCTGCCCAGGACGCAGCGGGCGTGCTCAAGAAGTTCGAGTACCGCGCCACGCACCCCATGTATGTCAACAAGCCGATCACCCTCAAGGCCGCGTGGGAGGGCCCGCGGGGATCCAAGCTCGTGCTCTGGGCCGAGCAGGAGGGCGTCGTGGGCATGAAGGGGACAGCGGACGTTGAGGCGGCGTGATTGTAACCATTGCATGCAGAAGTAGCACAGGCTGGGGGGAAGCTGGAGCGTTGAGTGAGCCATGTCGAGCCATGCAGTTCCAAGGTGCGGTGGGGTGTATGGCGCCGTACTTTGGATCACGGCCCTTCCGAAATGTGCAGAACGTTCTTGGCCACCACCCCACGACAGTCCCGCTCCGCTCCGATCCGAGCTCGGCGCTCGGCGCTCGGAGTGTACGGGGCGACCGGAGTGGGCGGTGACTTGCGGTCACATCGCGGAATTCGGCTTCTGCGATTGCTCGGAGATCGGAGTGCACTGTCCTATCGCGTGTGGGGCATCCACCCAGCGCGTCACTTCACTTCCGCCCGCAACTTCGACACCACCCACTCCCCCTCACCATGTTCGCCCTCACTCCCCGCGCTGTATCTGCACCGCGCGCCGCGCGCGCCATGTCCACCATTGTGCGCAGCGAGCTGCCCCCTGTGCTCCGCCGCGCCATGTTGTACGGTGAGTACTGCGGCCACTTTGGTCCTCACTCACACCAGTCCCCGGCTCGAACCCGCGCATGATCGAGAAGTCGCTTTCCAGCCCCGCCGACTCGGTCGCCTACGACCTCGAGGACGCCGTTGCGCCCTCCGCGAAGCCCGAGGCGCGCCGTCTCGTCGCCGAGCTGCTGGACAGCGACCGGCGGCCCGCCGGCGAGGTTGTCGCACGCATCAACGCCGTCGGCACGGGCTTCGAGGTGGACGACCTCGATGCCGTCCTCCGCGCGCGGCACGTGCAGGCTATTGCGTTGCCCAAGACCAACGACCCCGAGCACATCGAGTGGGTCGTCAGCCGCATCCAGGCGCTCTGCCCGCCGGACAAGCAGGCAGGCAAGGAGAACGCCGTGCGCATCATCGGGATGATTGAGAGCGCCGAGGCAATGGTACGGATTAACGAGATTGCGGCCGCTGGGAGGGGACATTTGGATGCGCTGCTGTTCGCGGCTGAGGACTGTAAGTCCCAAGATTGCGGAGGAGGGAGTGCGATGCATAGAGCTCACTTTAGACTGCGCCGACGTCGGCCTCGTCCGCACCCCTGAGCGCACCGAGCTCCTTTACCCCCGCGCCAAGCTCGTTACCACCGCTCGCGCGTTTGGTCTCGGATCGCTCGACCTCGTGTGCGTCAACTTCAAAGATCAGGAGGCATTGCGCATCGAGAGCGAGGAGGGCATGCGCCTGGGCTTCACTGGCAAGGTGCGTGTGCGAGTTGGCACAGTGCTCTCACCGCGGCTGGAACCCGGCAACGTATTACAGACTGATGGCAGCAAGCAATCCACCCCGCACAGATTGAGACGATCCAGGCGGCGTATGCACCCTCTGAGGCTGGTGAGCTTGGACTGCGCCAGGCAAGCTAATCGTAGCAATCCGCAAGGCCGCACGCATCAAGTTCTCCTTCGAACTGCACGACTCGAAGGGTACCGGCGCATACGCGCTCGACGGCGTCATGATTGACGCTCCCGTGTACAAGCAGGCGCAGAACACACTGCGCATCGCCCAGGCGGCCGGGTTGCCCATTCCCACCATCACCGAGAAGGACATCAGCTAGAAGCATGAATAGAGCCAGCGCGATGGGGCATGTACCAAAATTGCATCTGACACAGCCGCGTTGAGCCGCGAGAAGTAACAAAGGCTGAGAGTTATTAATCTTGTGCTATCAGCGCAGAGTCACACTCAAACTGCTCTCTCGCATCTCCCGGTATGTGCGTTTGTATCGACCACCGCGTCATCGCTGCACAAAACGGAACTGTACATTTCTCTATAACATTTATTACGCTGTCGCGTCTAGTTGGGCAACTGACCCTGCTGAAGGAGATAGATACGCCCGCACCACGGCTCCAGCTCGACGGGGCCATGAATTCCGGAGCCGATCTCCGCCTCATCGTTCGAGACGATGAGCTGGGCGCCAGCTGTGTCAACGCCGAGCTTGCCCACATGAATCGCAATGGGCGCACCACTTCCGTCGCCTCGTTTAAAATTGAGGAGCACTAGCAGTTTCTCGCCGGTCTCGGCCCAGTTACGGATATAGCAGTAGTTGTCGTTGTTTTCCTCGTCGAGCGGCTCAAACGTGCCGTAAATGAGCGCCTTGTGCTCACGGCGCAGACCTAACATCCTCTTCCAGAAGCTGCGCACGGACGACTGGTCGCTGCACTGTGAGGCCGCGTTCCACATCTTGTAGTCGTCGTGGATGCGCATCCACGGCGTGCCCTTCGTGAAGCCGGCGTTCTTCGTGTCATCCCACTGCACGGGCGTGCGGCCGTTGTCCCGGGCCGTCTGGCGCAGATCCCTAAAGACACGCGCCATGTACTCCTCCGCCTGGCGGCCCGTGATTCCTGCTCGCTCGAGGTACGCCCGCTCGCCCGCGAGCAGCTGGATGCTTTCAACGTCTTTGTACTCCTCCTCCTTCCACTCGTAGGGCACGTTGATCTGTCCCAGCTCTTGGCTCTGGTACACGTATATTGTGCCGGTAAGGGAGCACTGGAGCATGGCGAGCAGCTTGCCCGAGCGCGCGCGGTGCTCCGGCGACTCACATGCCATGCGCGTGATCATACGCGGCTGGTCGTGGTTCTCGAGATAGTTTGCGAACCACCCGCCCTCCTTCGGAAGCTCGACGTGCCACCGGTTCCACTCCTTCTTAAGGTCACGCAACGCCCAGTCCTTGTTCCAGCCGCGGCCAAAGCCGCCGTTGCCGCGGTCAAAACCTTGGTGGTGGAACGTAAAGACCATCTGCAGCTCCTTGCGACTGGGCTCAGAGTAGAGGGCGAAGGACGCCGGGCCCTCCCCGCCCGGGCACTCGCCGACGCAGAAGGCGTCGTAGTCCTTCAGCACCCGCTCGTACATTTCCTTCAAGTGATCGTGCACGCGTGGGCGGTTGATCGAAAGGTTACCGAAGGGCTGGTATATCTCCTTAGGGTCGATGATGGGAGCGTCGGGGAACCCGTCGGCCTTGGAGATGAAGTTGATGACGTCCATCTGGCGTTAGCAGAACACAAAGAGTGGTCTAGTGAGGCATGGAAGAGGGTGCTCAGAGCCACCGCGCAAAAGTTGCCGTCTACTTACGCGGAAGCCGTCAGCGCCGCGGTCGAGCCACCACCGCATCATCTTGAACACCGCATCGCGCACGGCCGGGTTCTCCCAGTTTAGGTCTGGCTGCTCCTTGAGGAACGTGTGCAGGTAGTACTCCTGACTACCCTCGTCCCATTCCCAGGTAGAGCCGGCACCGAAGATCGAGCGCCAGTTGTTGGGCGGCACGCGCTCGCCCTGGTCGTTCGTTTTGCCGGGATGCCAGATATACCAGTCGCGCTTCGGCGAGCTCTTAGCCTTGCGCGACTCCTTGAACCACGCGTGCTGGTCCGACGAGTGGTTGACTACCAAGTCCATAACCAGCTTCATGCCGCGCTCATGCACCGCGTCGCGCAGCTTATCCCAGTCTTCGAGTGTACCGTAACGCTCGTCAATCGCCTGGTAGTCGCTGATGTCGTAGCCCATGTCAGCCATAGGAGAGGTGTAGATCGGCGAGAGCCAGATCACATCGATGCCCAGGTCCTTCAGGTAGTCGAGCTTGGAGAGGATGCCGAGGAGCGTGCCATTGCCGCGGTCCTCGTGATCGGCAAACGACGACTGGGGTCAATACATTCTGGAGGTTGAGCGACGCACGGGATAGACTTATGTTAGCGAGCTCCGCGTCATCGGCAGAATGCTCACTTTGGTACACCGCTGCCTCCTTCCACCAACGACGCTCAGTAACGTCTTGTGTCATCTGGGAGAGAATGCGATGGCACTGCCGTGCATCACGGCTTCTGTCCCTTTATAATCAGATCGGAGGCCCTCCGAACACCATGACCGGCCCGCGGCCCGATCTCGGGCAAACCCTCCTCGGTGCCGTCGAAGGTCGCCGAAGACACCGATGCATCAACCGCGTGGTTCCATACCCACCAGTAGTTGTCACATTCTCGCTTCAAATATGTCATGCATCACAGACTCACGTTCTTGCCTTTCATCTCAATACGATATTATGCCCGAGCGACTTCGAGGCAGAGTTTTCGGTATCGATTCCAGGCCAAAACATGATCTCAAAATCAGTGCCGCGCGGAATGCAGCTCAGAAGTGCTGTAAAGCCATCGGCGAGGCGAGCCATCGGCCATCAGAAGATCCCCACATTGTACTCACGCTGCTAGTTCCTGTACCTGCATGGTATGCGCAACAGAAGTCTTCAGGGATTAGAGATCTGAGAGGCTGAAACCTCATCCAAAAACAAATCGAACGACAACTGCATGACTCGAACATGCGCTCCCGAAGGAAATTGATAGTAGAATATCCATTCTAGTCAATCGCGTTAACCACTCCGCCAAGTTGCCCTTGGATTGGTGGTTTTACATTGCAATACATGTCAGCAAGCACTTAATTATGCGTGCAGCGAGGAGACTCTGCTGCTGGGTTCCTCTTGCGTTTCATCCTCACAAGAGCATCCCTTGTCTAATAGCAGGGTGACGCGGCGTGTAATGAGAGTGCAAATGAAGCCATTCACTGAGAAGTCATGCGACAGACAAGATTGACCCATCTAGGTGCCTGAAATTTCCATATGATCTACATATTATTAATGTCAATTCAAATGCGTGGAATAGCGGGATGAGCAGCCGCCACCCACCCATCAAAGGGAGGGGCTGCATATGTCAGGGTGAGTTGCCACTTGCTGCCATTCACTGTCCGGTGCTCTACCTCGCGCGACCCCGACGACGACATCATCCATCTTCCTCTCTCACTTCCTCTTTCCAATCACTTCTTCGACCTCGACATCGAGCTACACGTCTATTCCACTTCTCAACGCGACACCCTCACCGCCCACTTCCTGTGCTAGCCCATGCTATAACCAACATCCAACATGGCCGACGACGCGGCTCGAGACGCGATGTGGGGTAGCTTCGACGAGGAGGGCGGTGAGTCCAGCCATCAATTCTGTGCGCGCGCCTTGCTGACATCTTACGCAGACCTCTGCCGCGTGTGTCGAACAGAGGCAGAAGATTCCAAGCCCCTCATCTATCCATGCAAGTGCTCTGGATCTGTTCGATATGTGCACTCAGACTGGTGCGTTCTGTCACGTCCTTTCCATGTGCTTCCTGCCACCGCCTTGGCTGCTGGTTAAGCGATCATTTGCTTACTTCCACAGCTTGCAAGAGTGGCTATCGCGCAGCAAGAAGCGCTACTGCGAGATTTGTGGCCACCCCTACACCTTCACCAAAGGTATGCTGGAAGCACTCGTTATCGCTGACGTGCAGTCTATCCCTCGTCCTTACCTTCCGTTATTCCTACGATGGTGTACATTCGCCAATCACTCTTTGTGGCAGGTCGTTTGGCATGGCGAGTTATGCGCATATGCATCGCCATTGTCAGCTGGCTGGTCATTCTACCCGTCATTACCATGGCATCACTACGGATCATTCTAGCCGTGGTGGACCACATGTGAGTGCCGCCGAACGACCCCGGGGCGCGCCAGCTCACCCCAGTGCCCACGCTAGCTTATCCTACGGGCTAAAATCCGCTATCACGGATAGTTACCACGATCTTAACGGGACCTTTGTTCTATCCAACGACACCGATGGACGCCCCCGCGGTCGTGACCTCGTACTCAATGCGGTTGCAACAAATGGCACGCTCGATTTCCTCCCTACGTTTTTCGACCGCATATCCGCAGATGGGCGAAAGTAGGTTTAGCAAGTCCGGCCAAGGCTGACTGTCAGCCCCATCGCATTCGTCTTCCGCGGGCAGATTGTCGCCATCTCCGTCGCCACTGGTCTTATTGGCCTGATCCTGCTACGTGAGTGGATTGCGCAGCAAGAGTGGCATGCGCGTCCGCCAGTGGAAGAGGAGGGCGAGTTCGACACAAGTCTGTGGACATTTCGCAACGGTCAGGCCATCCGCCTCACGGACATCGAGCATTCTAGCAATGCCGAGTCAAATAGAGCCGCTGCTGGCACTGACGTGGGCGACACCGGAGACACAGAGACCATTATTGCGGATGGTGACTTGGACTCTCAAGGCCCCGTTGCGCCCCACGAGACTGAGGAGGGCGACATGGAACATGACACGGAAGAGTCGCCTGCCCTGCCGGCGGAAGTGATCGATACTGCCCGGGAGCAGGCGCAGGAACGCAAGCCTCGGCCGGCTTTAACGCACGCCTCCTTTGATGCGTTGACGCGTGTTGGGGAGGCTACCGCCAGGATTCCACTGTGGGAGAACAACGCTGAGGCGGGGCCATCTCGAGGTGTCGCGGACGTGCCCGAGGACGTGGTCGCCGACACGCCGCCCCTGTTGACCTCTCAGCAACTTGATACACCGCGCGCTAGTGGTCAAGAGAGCCCTCATGGTACTCGCCATGAGGACGATTTTTTCGAGACGCTGGAGACTGTCCCGGGCGGAGCCGGTAGCCAGAGCACGCTTGAGTTCTCGCCGACTTTCCGCCGCGCCTCTGATCCTGGGCCGGATGGTAACCTCGAGTCCCCTCGCGCAGAGCGGCAGTTCGGGTCTCAAGGCCTGATGGAGCCGGCGCTGCCAATTATTGCCGAATCGCCCCCTGACACGCCCCCCTTGGATGTTCAGCAAGCACTCGACACACGCATGGGTGCGCTACTTGGCGTTCCCGACGGCCCCTCGTCGCCGGAAAGTGTAGGGACGCCCGAGACAGGCGAATTTGAGCACGACGATCAGGTTTTGAGAGGGGAGACATCTCCAGGCGACCTCGTGCGCACGGAGACGGAGGACAACGAGACCGACGTTGACGTCGACCAGGAGACGGACGCCAACGCGGACGTTGAACTGGAGCATATTGAGGAGAGGGTGGAGGTCGATGACCCCCAATGGCGCCACTTTGAGGCAGCCTTGGGCGACGATGACCGCTTTGTCGTGAATGTGGAGTTTGTCCAGCAGGTTATGGCGCGCAACGAATTAGATGGTGTTGGCATGGAAATCCCACCCGAGGACGAAGACGACCGGCCACTGGACGCTGAGGACTGGGACGGGATCTTCGAAGTTGTTGGCTTCATCGGCCCCCTCACGGGCCTTCTTCACAACGTGAGTGTCTGCTGTCGTATCACGCTTACTGGCAGCATATCTTTGTCAGCTTCGCCATGGCTTTCACTTTGACCGTCATGGTTGGTCTGCCCACCTTCGTTGGCAAGGTTGTTTTGGCTACCGACTTCATCCGCGCCTCTGGGGACGGGTTCATCACGACCATCCGCTCAATCTCATTCGTCTCCGACTGCCTTTTACGGGGTGTTGCGATGATTTTGAAGGAGCTCCTGGCATTTCCTCGTCTTGTTGCTAAGCCTGCGACCGACTATATCATGGATTCACTCAACGTAACGTCGATTGCTCAGGCTTTTGACCACACCGCCAGCTTATTCTCACATCCTATTGTCGCGCCGGAGGCCATCGCTTCGATTAACTACACCTCCGATGTGCCCGTAGTTGGAGTGCTCATCGATCAGGCAATCAGTGGTCTCGAAGTTGTCGGAGAGACGGCACACACCTTCTACAAGACACTGCGCCTAGGATCAATCTCCATCGCAGCATCGCCTGATTCCGGCGATCACTTTGTGTCGTTAATGGTGGGTTACATGACATTGTCGTTGGCCGTCATCTGCATCGCCATCATCGACGCAGCAAATCTGATCCAACTCTCGCATTCGTTCATGGAAAGGGCGCGCACAGTGCAAACCTTTTTGAAGGTGAATTTCCTACCCGGAATGTAAGCTGATTTCAGGTTGTGTTCTTTATGACGCTCGAGATCGTTTGCTTCCCAATTTTCGTCGGAATCGTGATTGATTTGTGCACGCTCCCGCTGTTTGGCACTACCATGAGCCAGCGCCTTGTTCGTATCGCGGGCATATCATTTGGCAAGATCTTTGTGACATGGGCCTGCGGCACTGTGTTCATGATCTCCTTCGCGGCCTTTTTAACGCACATGCGGACGATCTCGCGCGCCGGCGCGCTCTACTTCATTCGCGACCCATCTGATCCCACGCACTCGCCTGTCAAGGAGATCATGGATCGCCCTGCGCTCGCTCAATTCCCGAGAGTACGTCTCTAGTTGAACCCTGGACATCGCTGATACCCCCAGTTGGCAGTCTCAGCTACCATGTACACAGTGGTTGTTTTCGCGGTATGCGGCGCTGTGCCGTGGCTCCTGCACGCATTCTCAGCTCTAGGTTTTTTCAGCGACTTTCTGCCCTTGCGCCTCGACCAGTGAGTCAGTGTGCTCGCATCCGGCTGACAACACAGACGACCATTGTCATCGGTGCCTTTCGACATTCTCTTCCTCCATCTCATCATTCCCCCGTCCTGGGAGATGCTGTATCTACCCCACCGAATGAGGAAGCTCTTCGTTGTGTGGTGGGGATACGCAGTAAAAAAGCTTCGCCTGGTTTCACTCATTTTCGGCATGGAGGTTCGCCCCAAGCCCTCATCCTATGGCTCGCATATCGCCTGGCTTTTGGCTGACGCTGCTTGCCAGTTCATTTTCGGCAGGTATGACAATCGCGCGACACGAGCTCGCGTTCCGGCGAGCGACAGAGTGGAGCTAGCGACCCTGGCCGAGCGCAGACGGGAGGGTGTTTTTATTCCTGTCGACCAGAGAGGAGCGCCTAGGACTGAAGCTGATCGCATTCGACTCCTCAAACAAGACTTTGCAGCTCGCAAGGCAGGGCGCAATCCCAAAGCCGATTACACCATTGTGTCGCTACCAGACTTTTGGCGGACCCGGGTTTATGCGTTGTTGGCGTTTATGCTCTTCTCGGCGTCATGCGTGACGGCTGGCCTCATCTTTGTTCCCTTGGCGCTTGGGCGTCAAGCAACAGCGTTGTGGTTCGGTGCACCGGTGTATGACGGGTACAGCTGGGTGAGTCCGATTGACTGCATGCACTAAACCTGACCAGGTCGTCGGTATCTACCTATGTCTGATCTCGTACAACATGGGGCAGAGCGCAAAGAAGCACATCATTGATTCGTCTCGGGCCGAGCGGTTGCGCCGCTCGCAGAAGTCAACCCGGGTCAAGAGGTGGCTTCTCGGCGTGACACGCGCCGTCTACGCGGTGTTCATGTTATACCTCGTCTTGCCACTCATTGTCGGCATCAACTTCGAGCTGTTTATCTCCCTCCCGGTGCGCTACGGGTTCTCAAACGACATTGCTCCAGTCCTGCACGTGTGGGACGCGTGGGCAACCGGCACATCAATGATCTCTCTCTACGTTGGCGGTGTAGGCCTGGCAGCAGACGAAGCGCTTCCTCGGGTGCCGCCAACGTTCCGCGACGCCTTCAAGAGACCCTTGCGTATGAAGTTTGGCTACATCACCAAACTTACGGTTCCGCTTGCAGGGTATCTTATCATCCCAATTATCTTACCGTGGTTCATTTTTGTCGCACTGCGCTCGAGCCTGCAGATGATCGGGGTGCCATTACCTCAGGTTGACAACGGATGGGCTTGTGAGTTACCGCGCCTTGGATTGCGAACTAACCCAAGTCCGGATGATGTACCCCGTCAGCACAACGGTGCTACTCGTGTCCATGTCGTGGCGCATGATCGCCGCGGTCCTCGCGCGCGTGCGACAGTGGATGATCGACGCCGAGTATGTGGTGGAGGAAAGGGTTGAGAACTACGAACCCGGGGCTGAGGCGGAAGTTGAGGGGGAGGTAAGGTGGCCTCCCATTGCTGCGGAAAACGAGGGCATCCCAGATGTCTTGGAGGCAGAAGAAGGGTGGGTGGTCCTCGAAGAGTAACCCTGCATAGAATACCCAGAATCTTTACATAGTAGTAGTAGTGTATCAGCTCAGAGCGCGCAATACTTAGTGACCGTGCATACTTTATACAACCTGATGTGCTCACTGCGGTCATCCTCTTCTTCGGCGTGTTTCGCTTCCCAGCCTGAGGAGAACACGACGGTGGCGCGCAGCAAGGCCCCAGGGATTTGCGTTGAGGCGCTCGGCCGCTACGTTGAGCAAGGCGCAGGCATCAACACGCCCAATCCCCTCGACCGCGAGACAGCCGACGCCACTGCTCACCCACGCCTCAAGCGCAGGCGAAAGCGACCATGGAACGAGTAGTGTCTCACCCTCCGGCAGTGGCGCAAACTCCATGAATGCCCACATGCACAACGTCGCATCGAAAATCCACACCGTTTCCGGCGGCGTGCTGGAGTTAGCCCAACCTTGGAAGGACGCACTAGAACTCGAACCGCCCCATAAGGGCAAACAGCATAGACGCATGCGCCATCACGTCTCGCGCACGTCGCGGCTGCACGCGCATCCACCTTGCCAACCGCACCCGCGCCTCCTCAGCCGCGACAGGCCCCTCGCGCCCCGCGGCCATCTTAACGTCGTCCATGAAACGGGGGGCAGCGTAGCGGAGGTGCGCGTGATATGCGACTGCTGCACAGGCGATGGAGAGGGGCGTTGGAGGGACGCGGAGCGCGTGGCGCGCCAGCTGGTCGAGCAGAGCCTGGGGGCTGGCGTAAGAGTCTGCCGAAGGGGTAACTTACTGGATGGCATAGCCCAATACAGGGAGAGCATACTCAGCCTCGTCGTCTTCCCACGCACCAAATACGCGCGCGGCTGCCACGTCCGCGCATATCCGGTGCAAAGAGAATGCCAGCACGCTGAACGCCATGTCGTCGAGCGCAGGCGGGACCGCGCCGGATTCAAGGAGAGCGCAGAGGATCGGGGGGAACGAGGCATCTGTTGAGGGGAGCGGCGCGTCAATGTCCGTCAAAGAATACAAAGGGGGCAAGCCGAAGAGCGCGGACATGTGAGCGTCGAAAAGCTGACGTTAGTTGCGTTGCAGACTGGCTGCCTGAAAGAGCCACGCACGTAGATGCACCATCCCAGCCTGCGTTGTTCTTCACTGCCTGTGAGGAGGTCCATTCTCTTCACGCTAACCACCAATGTCGCGCGCGCGGTTTCCGCATGCTGCGTCTCGGTGGCTGAGGCCGAGAAAGCGCCGTGAATCGCTGTTAGGAGGGTAGCCTGCAAAACGGACAGGACATGCGTGAATCGGTAGTCGTGCTCCCTGATAAAGAGCAGATCGCGCCGGACGAGCTCCATCAAACCTGGCTCGCGCGCGTACACGCTTCCGATGCCCGCCATGGCTTTGAAAAGGAGTGAAGACCTCTGCGCCGAGGGGTCGAGAAGCGGTAGCCACGTTGCAAAGTGCTGATGGAAAAGATGCACGTTCGCCGCGAAAGATGACTCCGAGGGAAAGTTGGGAGGTGCGGACCACAGTGGGCGGTGAGCGTGTTGTGTGAGAGCCTGAACTGTGCCATAGGTACTGGGCGTCATCGTCCCCTTCTCGCCATCCGCAATTTGGGCCACTACCGGCTCTGGTGAGGCGAGCGCGTGCGGTAACCCAGAAGAGGCGTGGCCCCAGTGCCCCTCATCCCCCGGGTCAATCGGACGCCTTTCCTCACTTCCAGACACGCCGTCGTCGGCACCACACCACTCCTCTGGCGGGATAGGAAACCCGCACTGATCAGTGGCAGTGAAGATTAGCTCGGCGCTCCACGCCGACTCTGGCCAGAGCCCCAAGACATCACCCTCGCGTGCCACCTCGCTCGCGTCTCCCTGCGCCGCCAGCCCAACCGCCGGGGTAAGCGGCGAGAACTCGAACCCGCCCGACCCGGTCGATCCGCCCAGTGACACCCTCGGCGACGGCGGCGACGCCGCCTCCATCTCAAGGTGGCGGTATCGGCATTGGCGCGTCGTGTCGCGGCACCGACTGCAGATCTTGGGTGGGACGCCATCGCATGCCACGCGTTCGTCGACGCACGCGATGCTGTTATCAGCGCGAGATTCGCGGCGACGTACCATGCGGCGCGGCGCGGCCGGCCAGCACGTGCGGTTTTCTCCCCGTGCGTCTGAACCAGGTGTCTATTCAGCACATCGCTGGCGTCAGACTTGCCTGGCATGACCCTACCTCCTCGAATATTGGCGGTGACACAGGTGGCAGCGGTAGTTGAGGTCGCCACTGTCTGGAGTCAGATTGCCGCGGCTAAGGAGATACGCACGGCTCTTCTGGTGGCGCTCGAGATGGTCTAGGCGCTTGTAGGCCTTGCTGCACCCCGGCCATGGGCAGGGGTGTGCGAGGCGGTCGCCGCTTGTCATTGCCTCGCCGACAAGGAGGTTGTGGTACTGACGACAAGGAGAGGTGCGTGGAGATGGTGGATGGGGGTGGGTAAGAGGGACAAGGTGGTGAGGGGCCCAGCAGCATATCTCGGCCGGCTTTGCTATCCGTGACGGTTGGGAAATTGACCGAGCGCACCGAGCGGGGACAAGTGCCCGGGGTGGGCATCGGAGCAGGGGCACGCTGCCGCCAAGTCGTCACTCATCGTGACTCGGGATCCTGGCAAGCTGGCCAGTGGGCCAGTGCGCTTTAGGTCAGCTGAGCGCGCCGCGTCACCTGATTCTCGTGCTTCTTCCTGCGCGTCAGCGGCGGGAGCGCTCCGAAGTCACAGCAGGACGCACACGATCCTGCCATTCCGCGGTCTCTTCGACAAGGGCCCTGCTCCGCATTCTCCAGCGCTGGGCTTGGCGGTTCGCTCCAGCGGCGCCGCTCCCTGGTTCCGCTGGCGGGTTTACGTAGCGCCATGTGCTTCCACTTAACCGCATGCAGAACCTCCGGCCTACCGCTGGAATATGGTGGTCTGGACAACAAAAGTCGTCGATCCCCAACGGCACATGCCGTTTACTTTGGGCTCTCCGCTTGCTGTCTCGGTGTCTCTGAGACTCCAGCGTCCTGTCACTCGAGGAACTCGCAGCAGAGCATCTCCGAAATGGTGAAACTTAACCAGCATCAGCTTCAATATCATCTATCAACGCGGTGCCGAAATCTCTCTGGAAAGTAGCGCCTGTCAGGAAGGCAGCTCCTTGCTCGTGGCGCCTCGCGCTCGTCGGGGCCCAGGCGACAGACTCTCCTGTGTCCTGCGCCTGCACATCAAGTGTCGCGCCCTACATGCCCTCCCAATCCTCCAGCAGTCTCGAGAACGCCATGAGATCCGTGCCCCCGAGGGTGCCCACAGAAACATGGTCGGCTCCGAGCTCAGCACATGCCAGGACGGCAGAGGACGCCCAAACTCTCGTGGTCTACAACTGCTGCGCGTCGCGTGTATTGTACAGGGCGCGAAATTCGGGATTCCGCGCGCCATCGGCTGCAGTGTCGGGTCCGCCCCGTCCGACCAGATGCTCGGAACCGTGTAAGTCCCGGCTGCTGAGATACTTCGATCGCCTGCACGCCCGAGAGGAGGTGCCGCCCGTCGCGATGCTTGTGCAGGTGGAGGGATACCAGGGGAGGTCTGGGGGATTCTAAAATCGCTCTTAGAGACCCCGGCGGCACTGTAGGCACGTGCGTAGGGGTGAGCATGTTCCAGAGATCCAGTGTCTTGTTCGTGCCGTACGCGCAATTTGTACAGAAGCAATGACGGAGCCTTGACTGTGAGGCGCCACCCGGTTCGCTGTAACTTTAGGACACCTTTTTCGCCTTTCGCGTGGTCCCAACACATACTAATAGCGTCAATCTCCTCCCACCACGATGCTCCTTCCTTAGCTTCCTTCCAGATCACCACTGGTGTCACCAGGATTGTAATAGGCGGGAACGCGCGGATCAACAAGTGTGATTAGACTGGAACCTGGTAGCTCGTCGTGCTGTGCGAAGAGTGGTAAGTGTTGAAGTAAAATCGGGGTCATACACACGACGCGCTTCAAGCTGCTCCAGCAGGCTCTTGACTTGGTGATCACGGGCAGAGGAGATGGAAGGAAGGAGAGTCAATTGACTGAAAGGCAGTGTAAGAAAAAGAGGATGAGCAAGCGGTCGACTTCGCCGACAAGCTCGTCGCGGAGACGCCTGACCCCTCGTCTGCTTGACAGAGTTATTGCAGCCATCGTTGACTGTCGGGGCGTGGACCTCGCCGCCTTCGTTGGCTGGGCTCTTTGGTGGTGCTCAGAATTGCTCTCCGCTTGAATACCTATTGTTCTGGCCGTATTCCATCCACTGCCAAGTGTGGTATGCTGGGCGTCATAAGGTCCAACGTCGGAATCGAACTCGACCGCGCCAACCAGAGGGAGCTTCTCCGAGACCGCAATGTCAAGGTAGTCGATCTTACGGGCCGTGGATGTTTCGCCAAGCGGGCCCATCATCGGAGGGCCTCGGAACCGGCCACTCGTAGGAACGTGTGACCTTGTTTAGGAGTGTGTGACCTTGGGTCCTGGACTCTGTCTGAAGTTGTGAGTTGAGGAATAGCTTCGAGAGGCAGACGGAGTGTGAAGCGGGACGGACGGGCGTTGCGGGCGGTGGCTATCCCGCGCCCCAGTTGGACGCGTCTGGCACGTCCATACGCGTTCCTCGACTGTGGCATGGCCTTCTTTGGCCATGACTCATTCTCGTCCTCATTAGCCTCTCCCCTCTCCGCTCCATCCACCCCCACCTCCTCGCCACTTCAACACTCTCGATCTCCCTTACCCCCACAACCTTCTCACGTCCGTCAGATCTGGCAAGATCCCATCACGCGCGACGTCACTACACGAGCGAGGTGTTTCATTGGTGTTTAACACGGCCGCCACCGACGTACTCAGTCCCCAACGTCTCACTACACGAGATGAGCAGACTCGGGCCTAGGCTCGCCAGTCTATCACTGGAGGAGCGGCCCTATAAACGCTCGCGAGGCTCTCCCACTCGCTCTCTCACGAACAGAATGGCTATTGACACCGATAACGGACCCCCCATTGACGCAGCGAGCGACAGCCAGCCTGCCGTGACCAAGGCGCCGCGCAAGTTCAAGGCCCGCTTCTTCAGATCCAAGATGCGCCTCCCGCGCCAAGTGCCCCCGCCGCTCAACCTGCGCGATACCTCGCCCGCCTGCGCCACCCCGGTCGTCGCCCCAAGCCCCATGTCGCCTACGCCCGTTAACGTTGCCTGCCTCCCGCGCCTCGACACGCACATTACCCTCTCGACCGGCGCCGCCGCCACTCCCACGGCTGCCGAGAGCGAGCATGTCATCGGCGTGTCCGTCGTCCGCGCCATCCAGGGATACTTCAAGCGTCTTATCACCGCCCTGCGCGACGGCAGCGAGTTCGAGGATCTCCGCCCATGGCTACTGCGCGCCCCCATGTGCCAGTACTCGCCTGAGATGCCTGCGCACCTCCGCCCCATGGCGCTCCGTCTGGTCGATGAACTGGTGGACGAGAACATGCGCGAGAGTGACGCTTACCTCGACCTAGTGGGTGGCGACGGCAGCGCCGAGCGCCTCATATTGTCTGACGTGCCTTGCCTCATTGCCAGTACGGCCGTTCCCAGACTTTCTAAGGTTAGGTGCCGATGTTGGGGAAGCTGACAGCAGGCGCAGCTCGTGCTGCATGTCAGTGGACGTCGGCGCGAGGTCCTAGGCCGCCCGACCCGTGCGTTCAAGTGGTAACGGTGGTGAGTCCGCAACAACTGTATGATAGGGCGTGTTGGGCAGTGGCGGTAGCGTGGTGAAGGTCAGTAGAGGGGCAGTACCTGTAGTGAGCGTGCGTGCACAGCGAGATGCCAGGAGCTGCTTCCTCCGATCCAGATGCCTCCCGTCTGTATCTGCAATTTGGCCGTGTACTGCGTCATTAAGATGAGCTCCTTATGCGCCAGAAATGAGCCATCTGTGAGCAGCAGCATGGCTTGTACATGTGTATCTCCTCGTCGATCCGTGACCCCATAATCACAACTTCAGCGCGTCAGGCGGTAACGACATGCGGCACAAGCGCGCGATCATGGCGCCAAGTTGCACGATGGTCCCCACGCCCTCGAGAATTCGCATGTGTGTCCACCCAATCTCCTGCACGTTAGCGGCGTCTCCTTTCCAACTCACCCGGATGAACTCGAGTCGAGTGTATTCGGGAAGCTCATCCATGGTCTTGACGACGCGGAAGATGGTGGTAACAATGTCAACGGCCGCGTACCCCTGCTCCCACAAGCTGTGGATACGGGCGAGCGCCTCGTCGATTTCCGACTTCTGGCAGCTCTTGATCATACCTCGAATAACGATGGGGTGCGGCTGGTCGCAAATCTTGAATACGTTGTCCTGTGACACGAACCCGAAGCCGCTCCACGTTGACTGGAGGTTATTGATCGCCTGTCGCATATCGCCTTCCGCAGTGAAGATGAGCGCTGCCAGGCCCTCGTCGTTGAACTGCACGTTTTCAGCCTCGCAGATCTCCTGAAGGCGCTTGAGAACCTCAGCATCCCGCAATTTGCTGTAACGCAGGATTGCGCACCGCGACTGAATGGGCTCGATAATTTTGTTGCTCATATTACAGGCAAGAGCGAAACGCGTGGTGTTCGAGTAAATCTCCATTGTTCGTCGGAGTGCCTGTTGCGCGCCAGCTGTCATTCTGGTGTGAGCTGGGTGGGGGATGGACGTTTCGCCGTGGATAAAACGGCGCACCTGAGCCACTCGAGGGCGTCACTGCTCTCGGTCGCGTTCTACTCACGAATCTGCCTCATCTAGAATGACAATCTTATGCCGCCCTGCCGGCAATGTGACCTTGCGCTGTGCAAATGACTTGATCTTGTTCCGCACCACGTCAATACCGCGCTCGTCCGACGCGTTAAGCTCGAGGACACCTTCCCTATACGCATCACCCAGTAGCGCGTGCGCCAAACAGTGGATCGAGGTCGTCTTGCCGATACCGGGCATGCCCTGGGGTTAGCCATCATATCGACATTCAAGCCGTAGCTGCCAGTTCCAGACTCACGCTGATGATGATGTGCGGCATATTGCCGTCCTCGGCGATGACTTTTAGCCGTTCGACTGTTTCCGAGTTGCCCACAATGTCGGACAACAACAGTGGGCGGTATTTCTCAACCCTGGCGTTAGTCTGCTATCCTTCCTCCTCCACCGCTATGTGCAGCGGCCGGCGGTTGGGCTCATGCTTAAGATTAACCTCACCAGGGCATCTCGTAGTTCTCCGCATCTGCATGCTTTGCCGTAGCCGGCACCGCAGGTTGCTTGCCTTTTGATGAGGACGCCATGGATGGTGATGGGTGGTGAGTGATGGATGGTGAGTGGTACGAGTGGTGACAATCGCAGTGGCTGAGTGGACCGGTCGTCATAAACTCGACGCGTCGCGCGCTTCGGGACCTAATTCTGCCACCATATTGAGAAGCACGCGGATTCAATTGCTGTCGGGTCTTGAGATTCCACGACTGCCAGGCACGGCGCATGCGGGATCGACGTTGTTGACATCGCGAGTTGCAAGGCGGCATGGGCGGCATGGGCACGGTCGCATGCTGGAGACTTGCACCTGTACACCTGTAAATCATCTGTCCGGACTCAACCGTGGGCATGCGCGTGCATAAATTGCGAACTACTCTTACAATCTACAGGGTCCGACGTGCCAACCACAACAGCAGACGTCCAGTGCCGCCGGCGAGGTCTGACACGTTTCTGTTGGGGCGGAATGCCTGCAACCGCGGTTGCGTCATGATACACCGAGGTACCTGTAAGCGACCTCTCCCCGATCTCCTCGTGCCCCCACAAGGTCATGAGGCCATAAGCAAAACGCGATGCCTGGCTCACAGGATGGTCGCCATGACGGCGAGTATAACAAGAGCTGCCCACTTCTGCAAGCTGGCCGAGCCCGTCTCTCCTGGCCATTTCTGACTTCTCATCCTCCAGGCGGAAACACCTTAGTATGATCACCGCGCGCTCCGCTCTCCGCTCCCTCCCCCGCCGGCTGCGCGGCACCGCCGGCGCACACAGCATGGTCACGTACGACTTCAAGGAGAAGACGCCAATGCCGATACGGACCAACCTCCGCGGCTCTGCCCTGCTAAATACGCCGAGTGTAGGTGTATGTGTTCTCGGCTGCTGATGTCAGCTGAACAAGGGTGCAGGCTTCACGCGCGAAGAGCGCAGCATCTTCGGTCTTGAGGGCTTCCTCCCGTATGACGTGCACACTCTCGAGAAGCAGTGCGACCGAGCGTACAACCAGTTGAAGCGCCAGCCGACGCCGCTGCTGCAAGTGGGTCCTCATCCGTCTTAGCTGACCGCAGCATGTATTCCTCGCCTCGTGAGTCTAGGCTCCAAAAATGAAGAAGCGTCACTAAACTGTCAGGTTGCGAGACCAGAACACCGTGCTGTTCTACCGCTTGCTGCAGGATCATCTCAAAGAGCTGCTTGGCATCATCTACACGCCCACAGCTGGCGAGGCTGTTGCGCAGTACTCGAACCTCTTCCGCCGACCGGTGGGCTGCTACCTATCGTTCCCCAACCGTGATGGGATGCGAGCGCAGCTCGAGGCGCACCTGCAAAACATCAACATCGTGGCGGATGTGGCTCGTCACGACGAGACGACCGCAGAGAGCATTGACCTGATCGTGGTCACAGACGGCGAGGGTACGCTTTTGGCCGTATCAGCGCTGACGAAAGCTATTCTTGGGATCGGAGACTACGGTGAGGGCCTGTCACACACCGGATTCCCTACCGGCCTGCGACCGGCGCGACCGGACTCCCTCTGCAAGACGGGAACTGACAGCAGGCGTCGGTGGTATCACCATCAGTACCTCTAAATCGGCCCTGTACACTCTCGGCGCGGGTATCAACCCGAACCGCATCCTCCCCGTCGTGCTGGATGTCGGGACTAACAATCCCATTCTGTTCGCGAGCGACCTCTACATGGGTTGGAAGCGGACGCGGATGCGTGGCAAGAACTACGAGTGGGTCTCTGCCATGCTCTAGGTGTCTAAGGGTTAAGCTGACTGCAGTGACTTCGTGGAAACCTTCATTAATCACGCCCGGGACCTGTTCCCCAATGCGGTCATCCACGTGAGCGAGCGCGGTGTATCCACTAACGGTAGTTCGAGGACTTTGGCCTGAACAACGCTTACCGTCTTCTGTGAGTGCGGTTTAGGAGCGCCATCTGACAGCAGGGAGAAGTACCGGAACAAGTTCGCAATGTTCAACGACGACATTCAGGGCACAGGCGCCGTGACGCTGGCGGCGATCATCGCTGCGCTGAAAGTGTCTGGCGGCGGAGCGCTCCAAGACCAGCGCATAGTGATCTACGGCGCGGGTTCGGCGGGCATGGGCGTCGCTGACGCGATCCGAGAAGGCATGGAGGTGCAGGATAAGCTGGGGACGGCGGATGCGAGCCAGCGCTTCTGGGCCGTCGATCGAAACGGCCTCCTGCTCGAGAGCATGGCGCCCGCCCTCCGCGGCAACCAGGTGCGGTATGCGCGCCCGGACGACGAGATCAAGACGTGGGCGCTCGAGAACCCCGAGCTGCCGAGTATGGCGCAGTTGCTTGACGTGGTGCGGAACGTCAAGCCGACAATTTTGATCGGGACGTCGACCGCGACGGGGGCGTTCACAGAGGAGGTCGTGCGCGAGATGGCCAAGCATGTCGAGCGGCCCATTATCATGCCCCTCAGCAACCCCACGTCTCTTTGCGAAGTTGATCCTCGTGAGCACTCTGATATTGGCATCTTGGGTATCCTGACAGGCAGAGGACGCCATCACGTGGACAAACGGCAAGGCGCTCGTAGCCACCGGCTCGCCTTTCTCGCCCGTCAAGCTGCCTGACGGACATGAGTACCATGTCGCCCAGACGAACAATGCGATCGTTTATCCGTCGCTTGCGGCGGGCGCGATCCTCGCGCGCGCAAACACCATCTCTCCGCGCATGCTCATGGCAGGCGTGGACGGGTTGTCCGAGCTCTCGCCTGCGCTCGATGACCCCTCCCAGGCTCTCCTACCGTCGCTCGACAACATTCGTGCCGTCAGCGTGCATGTCACGGCAGCGGTTATTCGTGCAGCCGTCAAGGAGGAGAACGCGAAAAACGAGCTCGTGATCAAAATCGCCGAGGATAAAGGCGAGATGAGCCTCGAGGACTATATCAAGGCGCGGATGTGGGATCCGGTATACCGCCCGCTCGAGTTGGTGGATTAGGGGACTGTGTGCTGGAGTCTGGAAGGGCTTTCCGCATAAAAGGTAATGAGTGACTGCACGGTAGTAACTCAGCGACCATAATGCCCAATTGCTCCTTTACCTCTCAAACAACCCAATGCATGGATGTGCAAATCTACAGATATCTACTGGGCACCAGCCTGCTGCATGGCGTAGTACTCCTCTGCAATGTTAGCATGTCCCAGCGCGGCCACTCACTCTCAGCCGCCTCGATAGCTGACACGTTGCTCTTGAGCTTGTTGATCGTCTCAATGTACTCGTCCTCCTCCACCGAGTCAAAGACAATACCACCACCGGCCTGGAGGTACACGGTGCCGTCCTTGAACGTCATAGTGCGGATGGCAATACACGTGTCAAGCTCATTGCGGTCAAAGTCAAAGCGGCCAACGGCGCCAGCATACACGCCACGCCTCTCCCGCTCGAGTCCGCCAACGAGCTGAATCGCCTTGACCTTGGGCGCGCCGCTCACGGTGCCTGCCGGGAAGATAGAGCGGAATGCGTCAAAGCGGCTCTGGTCATCCCGCAGCTGTCCGCTGATCTGCGAAGTGATGTGGATGACATGCGAGAACTTCTCAAGGCGCATCAGGTCGTCGACGTTGACCGTCTCAGGCTTGCATACGCGGTTGACGTCGTTGCGCGCCAGGTCGACCAGCATGATGTGCTCGGCGCGGTCCTTCTCGCTTGCAAGCAGCTCCGCGCCGAGCTTGGCGTCCTCGACCGAATTCTTGCCTCGCTTGACCGTGCCTGCAATTGCATGGTTGTAAACCTTACGCCCCTCGACCTTGCACAGCGTTTCTGGCGACGCGCCAACGAGCTGCACGTCCCCGCAGTCCAAGTAGAACATGTACGGCGAGGGGTTGAGGCGGCGCAAGTGGCGGTAAACATTGAAGGGATGGAGAGCAGTCTTGCGCGCAAGGCGCTGGGATGGCACGGCCTGAATAATGTCGCCCGCGACAATGTGCTCCTTGAGCTTGGTGACAAAGCCCTCGTACCCCGCCTTGCCGACGTTGCTCACAGCTTCATTGCCCAGCACGATAGGGTCCTGCTTAGGCAGCGGCGTCTCGGGGTTGAGAAGCTTGACCCTGATGGCCGCCAAACGCTGGGCGGCCTCCTCGTAAAGTGAAGGTAGCTTGGACTCGTCCTCACCATCTGGAAGGTAGACGTGCGTCACAATCTTGATGCTCTGGAAGATGTGGTCAAAGATGACAATCGTCGATGCAAGCATAAAGAATGCCTCTGGCATGCCCGGCAGTGGGTTGTGGTGCGGCTTGGCAGGCTTTGTTACGGGCTCAAAGTGCTGGATGGCATCGTATGTGATGAATCCGACCGCGCCGCCAGTGAATGTTGGGACAGAGTCGAGCTTGACGTAGCGGTAGGGTTCCAGCTCCTTTTCCAGCGCCTCAAGAGGGTCGCCAGCCACCTCGAACCCCTCGCCAGTGCGCACAGTCTTGAATGGGTCGGCGCCAACAAAGCTATACCTCGCGAGACTCTCGCCACCCGTGATACTCTCGAGAAGGAATGAGTACTTGCTCCCGTTGGCAACCTTAAGGTATGCCGCAACAGGAGTGAGCAGGTCCGCAGCGATGTCGATGTACACCGGCACAAGATTGGGACGCTTCGCCTCGACCTTGTCGGTTGAAGAAGCGGCGATGCCTGAGCCACGGGGGAAGCCGTCGGCGCCGGGAGGGGCGAGAGTCGTCGGGGTGGAGGTCGCCGAGGCGAACAAGGCCTTGACCTCGTCTAGAGAAGGTTTGAGAGGCTGGGGCTGCAAGTCAGAGGGTGCAACGGAGACTTCGACATACTGTCTGAGCCATAGCTGTGGCCGTTGTGACGGTTGAATGGGGGAGGTGAGGAATGTCGATGAACAACAATGGAAAGTAGGGTAGCGCGTCGATATCTTTCGAGTCAACGGAGCGGAGAGAGGGTTGGTAACCGAACGATCACGTGCCCGCAAGTCGCATGTTTGGCACGCGATATCCACGTGATGACACGATCGGTATTGCGGGGAGGGAAGCGACCGTGCAGAGAGCCAAGCCTCTCGAGCCAGGTGAGCTTGAGCCACAGCCAGCCATCCCGCCGTTGCTCTGCTCTCACCTCCATCTTGTCTCGGGCCTCGGACCTCCGATTCCTCTTCTCCGTCGTCCACACACGCGTCGATACCGCGTCCTCGCGCTTCCCTCTCACCACTTGGACACTCTGGAGAGCAGCGCAGGTCCGATCTTACCCTGCACCTGCGCGGTGCCCTCCAATTCGACAGGTCCTTTTCGTCCGCCCTCCATCCCTCCCTACCCCTGTCACGCACACTCTACACGACCGCGACACCGCCGCGTTGGTCCGTCACCATGTCCGCTGCGCCGCCCTCACGGACAATGTACAACGGCTCCGGTAACGGCCCCCTCTCCAACGTGCAAGAGCATGAGGACAACGCAGGGGATGGGCAACGCGCCCCAAGTCGCGATTACGGTAAGTGAGACAGTCAACGACACCCCGTCGCGGGCGCGTCGCGCAATTCTTGCATCATGCTTCTTTCGCATCACTCTGGCGCCCGTCGTCGTCGTAGGTCTACCCTCTGGCCCTATGGCCTCTTTTGTGCGGCAGGGCGCGTGTGCGTGCCACATCACTGCACTCCTGCTTGTGCCTCTCTGGACGTGTCAACTTTCCAGGCCGTTGCACAAGTAGACGGCACAAGCCGATCCATCACCCACAATCATCCGCAACAGCTCTACTTCCTCTCTTGCACTTCCACTTGCTCCTCGCTGTTCATGTTCAAGCTGACAGTGACTCCAGCCGAACCACTCGAACTGCCCGAGTTACCTGAGCTAGACTTCGGAGACACCATTATGCCCTCCACCCTTCCTCCGTCTTATCAGGCCGCAACAGCGGCCGCAGCCTCTCCCATCAGCCCATCGCCTGCTACAACACCCATGCCACAACCGCAGATTCCCCAGCATGCCGCATACACCCACAGGCGTGTTGGATCAGGTGCCAGCGGGCGCGACCAACCCCCATACGCTCCTGTCGACTATCCGAGCCAGCTATCATACGACTACTCGGACAGCCCACCTCCAGGTGACAGCCGGTTCTCCACACACAGCTCGAACAGCAATGACCTGAGCAGCGACTTCTCAAACATGCGGTTGACAAGTGCAGATCCGCAACCCCGTGCGCCCGCCCCGTCAGCGTACGCTGGACCATATGGACAGCTGGCGGCTTCTGGCCTTCCTCCTCGAGGGCGCTCTGTGACTGGTGGGTCGCGCCCGGTGCAACACGGCGATCCTTCGGCGAGCGTCTACAGTCTCGACACGGGCATGAACGCATACGCACAGCCCCCAGTTCCGCAGCAGCGGCAGATGGGGTACCCCGGGGGCGGGCCACCTCCTAGTCGAGTACCTACAAGCGGGTGGCCAAATCAGCCGCAGCCTTATCCTCCTCGAGGACCAGGACAAGCGCCGGCGTCGCCCAACGTCAACAACCCGTACTACACAGCCGCGAACGATTTTGTTGGGTTGCCGCCAGCCCAGGGCATGGGCGGACCATTCGCAGGGCCTGGAGGTGTCGCCGGTCCTGGTGGCCCCGGTCCTGCCCCAGGGCCATCAAGGCAGCCCAGCATGTCCACCCTCGTGCGGACCAATACATCTCGCTCGACCCTCTCCCTCTCGTCCATCTCTTCTGCGCCTAGGATGCCCATCGAGTCGGTGGGGGCTTCATCAACACGCCGACGCGGTGGAGCTGCCGCGATCGATGTCTCCAAGCCGCCATACACACGCGAGTTTGTGGAAGACTACCGGAATCGCATGAAGGTTGACCCCGACCCAGAGGCGCAATTTGCATTTGCCAAATACCTCATCGAGGCCGCCAAGAAGCTTGGAGACGAAATCTCCTCCACCGATCCCCGACAGGGTCGCAAATACCGCGACTCACTGCTCGCCGAGAGCCTTCGCAATGTCAAGAAGTTGGCCGAGGGCAAGGAACCTTATGCCGACGCTCAGTTCTTCCTCGCCAACCTGTATGGCACCGGACAGTTGGGCTTGCAGGTCGATCACGAGAAGGCCTACTACCTTTACCTCATGGCTTCCAAATTGAACCACCCTGCCGCGACGTACCGTGCGGCCGTGTGCTGCGAGCTGGGTGCTGGGACCAAGCGCGACGCGAACCGCTCGGTGCTTTTCTACCGCAAGGCCGCCGCGCTCGGCGACACAGCGGCAATGTACAAGCTCGCGCTGATCCTACTCAACGGGTTGATGGGTCATCCGCGCAACCCACGCGAGGCCTTGGTATGGCTGCGCCGCGCAGCTGCGCAGGCCGACGAAGACAACCCGCATGCGCTGCACGAGCTTGCTCTTCTTCACGAGCGGCCAAATAACGGCTCGGGCGGCGTCATCCCCCACGACCCCATTGCTGCGCGCGAGTATTTGACCCAAGCGGCTCAGCTCGGCTATGCTCCAGCGCAGTTCAAACTCGGCTCGTGCCATGAGTTCGGTACGCTAGGCTTCCCTATCGACCCTCGCCGCAGTATTGCGTGGTACACCCGCGCCGCGGAGCGCGGAGACGCCGAGGCTGAGCTCGCCCTCAGCGGCTGGTACCTCACTGGCTCGGAGGGCGTGCTCAAGCAGTCTGACACCGAGGCGTACCTCTGGGGTCGCAAGGCCGCCAACAAGGGTCTCGCCAAGGCCGAATACGCTGTAGGATGTAAGCTCTCGAGTGAGGCACAGCTGACGAAACAGATTACACCGAAATTGGCATAGGTGTCAAGCAGGATATGGAGCTGGCCAAGCGATGGTACATGCGGGCAGCGAGTGAGTGTGGACCCGTCGGTGAATGCTAATAGCAGGCCAAGGCAACAAGCGCGCGATGCAGCGCCTCGCAGAGCTGAACAGCAACCGCAACATGAAGGGCAGCGGCAAGCGGCCAACACGTAAGGATGCGGAAGGGGAGTGTGTAGTCATGTAGGCTGGCCGATAGAGTGGTAATGGTAATTCATAGGTGGATTGTCTTGTACAGCATGCACATCGCCGTGTCTCACACGTACGTGGCGAACCCCTCAGCGACGGAGTCGCGAAGCGGAGGCGAGATGGGAGCGGCCGTGTTGAAGTAGGCCTTGATGAGGTTGTCGGCCATCCACTTGTCAGCGACCTTGCCGAGCACGCGGCCCTCGTATTCAACGTGCAGATGGCCATCGGCAGAGCGGACGAGCACGAGGCTCTTGCCTTTGGGCACCGAGCCACCTGGGAAAATGGCCTTGAACTGCTGCATGGCCCCGGCGAGGCGCTCATCGTCTTCGGCTGTCAGCTCGCCACGGTGCCTGGCCATCTTCTGCCGCCCAACGAGGGTGCGAGTTAGGCCGTCACGCAGGTGACCGAAGTCAGTGTTGCGGACGGGAACTGCGTGTCAGCGTGGGCGGCAAGTGCATGAAAGCCGGAACGGGACGGTGGAGTGGAGGTGGAGGCGGGGTACATGGGGAAGTTGGGAACAATAGAGATGCCACGAGAGATAGACGAAGGGTTGCCAGCATACGCATACGCGGATAGAAAACCGTACAGCTGCAACGCAGAGCACCAGAGCAGTGGAATGCTGCCGGCCTGATCGGACTCACTAACGTTCACGGCGCACGCTGCTGGCGCGTCCAGAACCGACTGGATGAGCGCTTCGGCATCGGGCCCCTGCAGTGCCGCCGGCGTGTACCCTGCCCAACCCGGCAAGCCTCCAAGGCGCTTGAGCGTGTAGTCGTCGACGTAAAAGCCGGCCGAGTATACCTTCATGCGGAGGAAGGAGACGGTGCGCACGCCGACGCCGACAAGGGCGAGCGCTGGTGCAGACGCTGGGCGCAGGGTCACGCTGTGGGCGACATTGGTGGCTGCGTCAACTGTGGTCAGCGATGGGCTGCATTTAGATGGTCAGGCCGAGTAGTGCTTCATCAAGACTCCAGCTTTGGGCCACGCTTTGGATAGCAGCCGAGCCTCATGCGTTCTTGGAGCCGCCGGCACACGTGCCGGAGATGACACATGTGTGCTCTCTCTTTCGCGCCCGACCTGGTCAAGGTTATGGAGCGCCAGAGAGGACTCACCGCGGACACTAGTGTCACCAACGGGCACGAGGGGAGGAGGCTGTGCTGCATCCAGCTGCACTGTGTACCGCTGGAGCGCGTCGACGCGCAGCCCCGCCATCGCCGTCTTGGCATCTGCGATCACGTCGGCATCTTTCGTCAGCTGGTTCCAGTAGGTGGGGCTCCCTCAGCTCGACTACCAAGACGACGCACCGATGGCATAAAGTGTCAGGGCACCGCCGACCAGCGCGGCGGCGGGTCGGCGTGCGGCTGCGAGTGATCGCAAGAAGAGACGCATTGGGAGAGACGAGAGGAGGATGTGGGAGGAGTGGGTGATGGACGGAGGCGGAGAGTGAGAGTGGAGGTGTGATCGGGCGCCAGGCCAGCGGAAGTGGAGGGTATTCCATCAACTCAGGCACGCTATAAGGGCCCACCCCGGTGGACGCAAGTGCACAATGAAATGTCCCGCCCTTCCCGCGTTCTCTCCTCTCTTCACTCAAACCCCCCTCCATCGCCCATCCATCTCGACATAGTTTATGCCAAACGCCATGGACTTTGGCAGTCTCTCTAAGTCTCACATGAAGCGCAAGGTGGGTTATTTGTTGTTCAACGCTAAACTGACAGCAGCAATCGTCCGTGAGTATGCCCGCGCGTGCCCCAAACGCGTCATGAGCGTGCAGGTATCTTTCCGGGACAGGGGCCTCTCCACGCGAGAGATAACGTCTCATATGCTCATGCTAACATCAGTCCCTCCTCGCCGCGCTGGGGAAGCCTTCGCGCTCCTCGCCCGGGTACAATGCTCCGCCGAGCGCGTACATGCAGGGGTCATACTCGCCATCTCTGACCAGCTCGGACGAAAGCCACGACGCGTCGTACAACTTTAGCGAACGCAGTGCCGGCTCCATCTACCACGGCGTCGGGCGAAGCGTGAGCGGATCCAGTTCTAGCAGCATGTACGGGCGCTCGCAGGCGCCCTCCCAGGTCCCCCGCAATGTGCGGCGCGTCGAAGACGTGTTTGTCCTCGTTCGCGAGCGCGTGTTTCAGTGGAGCTACCTGATGCAGTGGTACAACGGGTACGTCGCCGCCTCCCTCCGCCTTCTCCCTTGCCTTTCCAAGTGCAACGCTGACATCAGCGACCAGCCATGGCTCAACACCGTTCATGTAGAGCGCAGCGCACTGGAAGCTGCCCTCGGGACAAAGCAACTCGACACTCTTGCGCGGCAAGAGTATGCCCTGGGTCTGTCGCTCGCAGCGCTGTTTGACATTGCTGGCGCACAGGACTTTCTCCGCGCCGCATATCAGCTTATGGGCGAGTGGGAGCAGTGGTCGGAGCAGAGCGCAAACAGTGGCAAGGTTGTTGGTCCAATTGTGCGTCCTCACTCATCTCCTTTTCGTGATGATTAACAGGCTAACATGCAGCGCAACTTCTTCCGCCCACGACGCCCCGTTCCCCGTCCCAGCGCGGCGCAGAGCACGTCAACGGCAGAGGTAACGATCGCATCAATTGATGCCTCATCAGACGCCTTTTTGGTCCTAGCCGTTATGGTGAGCACCAGACCCTGCAGCACTGCCCGCCGCGCGCCACTCGCTGACTTCCGCAGCCCTTCACCCCCGACTACTTCCAAGTACATGCCTCGACCTGCTCAATCATCCGCGACGTGTACAAGAAGATCCTGAATATGCTCCTGCCGAACGTGCAGGGCGTGCGCTCAAACGACCCAGCGTACGGCACGCTTCTCCACCCAACAGCCTTCATCAACATCCGTGGCAACGACACAGGCATAATCAGTGTCGCAACAGACGCCGCCCTTTTCGGCGACATGCCCAAGAACAGCGCATTTGTAGGCGAGGGCCAGAAGCTCGTGCAGCCCGTAATAGACCTGCTCCTCAAGGTCGACAGCCGCCTCAAGAAGCACTACTTGTCCCTTGTGCGCGACGGAGACACTATCGCGCGCCGCGTCCTTGACGACGAGTTGAGCGCCTTGAATGCCAGTATGACATCGGGCCCGGCGCTCCGTTTCAACCCCCCCGTACACCTTGAGACCGCGGCCTAGGGTCAGCCGCGCCTCGCCCACCGCTTAATCAACATGGCCTTTAATGGCGCGAGGCGCGCACCACCGCCTTCCCAGTCCCAGGCGCGGCCTTAGCCGTCGCGCCAGGCGGAGCTCGGTGCCAGTTATTCCTGTATAGTTCTGTGGATAGACCGCCTAATATACGTTACTAGCCTTGTACGGCTCGCTGGTGGAAATAATACAGTGCCACATGCATGCCTCTAGTATCCCAGCGTGCTCACGCCCCATTTCCGCAACTGCTCGCAAGCCGGGTTGGTTTGTGCGCGCAACTCGCGAATCTTGCCGTAGTCTGCTCCCCACCCAAACACGCCCGCCTCCTCTGCAATCTTGCGCTGGCGCGCATTGTCGAATGCGCGGCACTTACGTCAGCTGGCGCAATCTTCTCGCTCCATTTCCGTCACTCACCTCAGCCTGGAGATGCTGGATCTGCGTTTGCTCGACGCCGAACTCAAAGTTCTTTAGGCGCGAGCTGAACTGTGCCGCATCCTTTCGCGCCCGATACTGCTCCGGCACGCTCTGCCACACAGCACTCCCCTCCCACTCAGTGGGATTGACGTAGTAGCCGACGTTGCGGGGGAGCGTGTGGCGCACCTGCGAGAACCGATTTGTCGGGCGGAACGTGTATGCTGGATCGGGAGTGTTGTCGCCGAAGAACGTGGGGAGGAGAGAGAAGAGGACGAAAGCCGCCAGGAGGAGGACGGGGAGGAACGCCATGAATGGCGAAGACGGCGTCATGTCTTCGCCGCGCGCATGCTGGAACTGGGTGGGACGTCGGCGGGGGCCGCCGAACGTGTACACTGATGTCAGCCAGGTCGGGGCCTGCGGGGCTGAGGATGGGGTCGATGACCAGAGCTGGATTGAGATCTCGGCGCCCCCGATGGTTCACTATCCGCCATATGACATGCCGCAGAAGTAGCAATTGCGGCCTCTGCAGTATCCCAACGCGTGAGTGCTCAGCTCGCGCTGCGAGATCGGCCGGTGCGGAAAGGGCGGGGGCGGTGAGAGCGGAGGCTGAAAGGTGCGCTGCCAGCGTGGGTCGACCGGAGCGGACGGCCAACCCTGGTGCTTTTGCCAATCGAAGTGAGGCTCGTACCACCAGTCTCCCCCCGGACTCGCGCGTGACTCTGGATGCCGCCCCTCGCCCGGATATGATGCCTGCCATTCTCGGGGCTGCTCGTGCGTGTGGGCGTGTGGGGAACACTCACCTCGCGCGCCGCCAAATGGCCCGCCAAAGCCCTGGTCCATGCCGCCGCCAAAGAACATGTTGAACAGATCCTCGGGGTTGATGTCCTGCTGGAAACCAGGGTGCGTCTGGAACCGCATCCCGCCACCACCTGGGAAGCCGCGCGCCATCCCACCGCCGCCACCGCCGCCACCGCGCTGCGTTGGGTCGACCGTGGGGTTCATGTCGTACACCTCGCGCAAACCCTTATCCGATAGGACTTGGAAAGCTTTTGAAACCACTGGCTGTTAGCGGCGCGCCCACATCTTAAACAATCTCGGTTATGTGGCCATCGATCGCACCCGGCATCTCACACACTGCCAGCGCCAAGGAAGTTTGCGATGGCGTACCATCGCACCGCCCTCAGCCGTCCTCTCGGACTCACTCTTGAAAGCCTCGTCCGCACCCGGCGCGCTGTTCTTGTCCGGGTGAAGTGCCAATGCCAGTTTCTTGTACGCCCGCTTCACGTCATTCTCGGAACAGCTCTTCTCCACCGCAAGGATCTCATAGTACGCGTGGTGTCGGCAACGCTTGACGCGCGTAACAACCTCGAGCTGCTTGGCGGTGTACTGTGCCTTCGGCTTCTCCGTCGCTTTGTCCGCTGCCGCCTTCTTCTTCTCTGCTGCGCCGGCGGCGCCGCGCTGCCGTGCACTCGTCACGTGCTCCTCTACACCCGAGGCTTTGGCGCTCGGCGTCGGCGTGGCCGCGCCCGAGGTCGGTGGGCTGCGTGCTTCCGAAGCAGACTCTGCTCCTGAGCCCGCACTTGACGAGAAGGTGGCCAGCTCCTCCTGGATAAGGAGTACCATCTTCTCGCCCTCGGGTGTGGAGTAGAGCGAGACGGATTTGCGCGCAAAGCGTAGCGCAGCCGCATGGTTCTGCGCCGAGCGGTGGCGCTGGGCGATGGAGAGGCAGCGCAGGGCCTCCTCCTTGTTGCCTTCCATGGTGCGATGTGGTGGAGATAAGTGGCGATGGCGATATTTGGAGTGGCCATTCGATGCAGGTCAGGGTGATGCCACGCCCACACTTCGTCGGCGTTTGAGGCACGTGATGCGGATATACGGCGGCTCAAGATATGCTCTCTTCATCACTGTCATAATCATCGCGAGCACTCAAGACGTCACGCAGATACCAAATACATGCAATCTCCTTATATCTATACCACAGTCAAGTTGAGACGGATGCCCATGCACGCCATTTCCGCACACAGGTATCGGAAAACGTCTGTCTGTCAGCGCTTGTTTCTCGTGTTGAAGTGCGAAACACTCACATGGCACGGCAACCACATCCATTGTACTGTTCCCGCCCGCCGCCTTGGCGGCGATGCCGACAGCGTTCGGCTGCACGGCGCCGTCAAGCGCACCAGGCTGCTCGTGCCGCTCGCAAATGCGGCAGTACTCGGCGCGGCGGCCGTCATTGGGGCCAACAGTGTCGTCGAAGCCCAGCGAAATCAGCGAACCGCACGAGCGGCACACCCATGCCGTCGAGTAGTCAGAGCAGTTCATCAGGCGGTCCTGGAGGAGGAACGAGGTGCCGTGGGCGATGAGAGCATCGCGCTCCATTTCACCGAAACGGATACCACCTGCACGCTTACGACCCTTCACGGGCTGGCGAGTGAGGGAGTCAACAGGACCAGTAGCACGCGCCTGGAACTTGTCGTTCACCATGTGACGCAGACGTTGGTACGCGCACACGCCAATGTAGATGTCGGCGCGGAGCTCCTCGCCCGTGATGCCAGAGTACATCGGCTCGTTGCCGTGGTAGTTGTACCCGGCCTTGAGAAGCTGCTCGCCGAAGTACTCGACCGGCCGGTCGTCGTCCGAGAACTTGAACGGAGTGCCATCCTGCGACATGCCGTGGAGGGCGCCCGACTTGCCTGCCAGGAACTCGACCAACATTCCGATCGTCATACGCGACGGGAACGCGTGCGGGTTGATGATGACGTCCGGCTGCATTCCGCTCTCGCTGAAAGGCATGTCGATCATAGGGAATTTCTGCGAGCACACACCCTTCTGTCCGTGGCGCGACGAGAACTTGTCGCCGATGACGGGAGAACGGGGAATACGCAGGGTGATCTGAATCTTCTGCAGCTCCGAGTCCCCCAGGTCTGAACCCAGCACGCGCACCGTCTCGACATATGCCGTCTCGTCACCCTTGTACTTGTGCACCTTGGTCTTGCCAGTGACGTCGTCAAAGTACGCCGCCAGTGGGTCGCCGGCCTTGACCTTCGTGCCGACAATGGGTAGACCGTCGTTATCAACAAACTCGCGCCACGGCGATGTGTCCTTCACGTCTCTTCCGAAGCCATAGTGCAGCGTCGGAGCCGCGGTGCGTGACCTCGCCATATCCCTAAGGTCAAAGATGTCCGACTTGTACACTGTTCCGTAGCCAAAGCCGCGCTCATGGGCCGACTTGTTGAGAATCATCGCGTCTTCCATGTCGTAACCAGTGTACGAGATGACGGCAACGATCGCGTTCGTCGAGTTCGGGAACTGGTCGAAACCGTAGTCGTTCCAGAGCTTGGGCCGTACAATAGGCGTCTGGCCGCTCTGCAAACGGTACATCTTGTTGTCCGTGCGGCGGAAGTGAGCGGTGGATGGCGTGCCCATCGACTGCTTGCCCATCTGACACTGGTACATGTTACGTGGCGACTGGTTGAAGTCAGAGAAGGGAGTCATGTTGGCAACCACGGAAAGCATCGAGGTGGGATCGAGCTCAACGTGCGTGCTGACATTCTTCTCGATCTCCTCTGGTGTAATGGCGATGTCCATGTACACCTGCTCAAAGGTGCCGACGTGGTCGAGCTTGCTGTTGGGCAAGTACGTGACGGGGCGCATCATGCGCGAGCGCGACCCGAACAGGTACAAGCCCGGGTACTGGCCAGCTTTAGTGACTGGAACGTGACCAATTTCCAGGTCGAGCGGCACGCGCGGGTCCCCCTCGGTCTTGAGGCGGCGGAGCATGAGTGCGAGCTTGGCAACTTCGGGAGGTGTTGCCCAGCCAATGACACGGCCGTCGAGCTGCACAGTCACGTAGCGCTTGCCGTCGATAGTGGAAGCGAAGACCTGGGTCATGCCGTGCTCGGAGAGGAGGCTGGCGAGCTGGGATGTGTCGAGCGTCTTGGTGACAATCTGACATTGGTGTGACAGGTGGTTGAGAAGACCGCATGGCGAGCCGTCGGGCGTGTGCACAGGACACAAGAAGCCCCATGACTCCGGAAGAAGCTTGCGGACCGACGTGGTTTTGAGCTCTGCAAAGAAAGCACCACGGTGAATACACCGGAAGTGTGAGAGGTAACGGTAGAAGTTAAGTTTCTCGGCAACGATCGTGAAACCGCTGGTCTGCTGCAGGTCGAGTCCAGTCGGCGAGACAAGATTGCCCGTGGCTAGGAAGTACGAGAGCTTCTGGCCGACATCAAAGTTGACCTTGCTGAGCACACTGGGGAAGTACTTCGCGCTTGTGAAATCCCTGACGCGGTTCATGCGAATGTCCTGGAGGATCTGCTGGCGGACCGCAAGGAGCGACTCCTCAAAGCGCTCCTTGATAATCATCGAGTAGAGGAAGCCCGGGAGGAGGACTTCATGCAGCTGGGGCGAATCCGGGTTGTCAGGGCACGACGAGCCAGCGACCATGGAGTACAGCTTGCGGAGCATGAACAAGAGCATGCGGAACTTCTCCCGAGGGTTGGGGAGATGTACGAGCACGACTCGCTTGAGCAGGAAGGAACCGACCTGGACGTTGCTCCAGTCTTCGGGGCAGTTCATGACAACACGGAACTTGTCGCCGAGGTACTCGAGACATTGCGTGCCCGTGTGCAGCCCCCATGTCTTCTGGCCGCGGAGGAGAAGCTCAACACGGTCCATGAGGAACGTGTTGTCATACTCCCCCTGGATCAGGCCCTCAAAGATTTCGAGGTCGCTCGCGCCCACGAGCGCCTTGAGAATAAGAACAAGGGGTATCATGTACTCGACCTTGCGCCAAGCAAAACGCAGTGTTGCACCGCCCGAGGAAAGGTAGTGGATGGTGTTGGTGCAAGCGGACTGGTCGGGGCGGACGCAACGGATCTGACACCCATACCGTGTGTACCCAGCGCCGCGTTTGGCAAAGGACGGACGTTCAAGGTTGATCGGGAAGTGGCGGCGGGGGAGAATGAGGTAGCGGATGAGCTTCTCGTTTCCGTTCACGATGAAGTATCCACCCCACGACGAGCTCTCCTCTCCACGGCGCACAAGCTCAGCGCTCGACGCACCGCGGATGTTGCAGCGCTGCGATTTGACCATTAGAGGCAGCAAGCCGCATTCGCGAATCTCGTCATACTCGCGCGTCGTGCCTTCGTCCGTAGTCACCTTCCACTTGATCGTGACAGTCAGGCGGGATTTGTACGTCGTCAGGCGCTCGCGTGCCTCCGAGGGGTAGATGCGACGCTCGACGGCAAGCTTGTCGCGTTCTGAAACCATAGGCTTTCCCAACGCAACTTGCGATATCCGGTCTTCTGTCAACGACGTCCAGAACATTGCTCACATGTGATCTTGCTGCCGTAGGGCATCTTCTCAGTCGGCTTTCCATCAAATACCACCTTCTCGCCTATGTCCTGCACGCCCAGCTGCAGGAGCCCTGCTGACCCATCATCGCCGCCCTCGGTGAGGGCGTCGAAGCTCTCGATGTGTGGGCGGACGAGCTCCTCGAGCTTTTGAAAGTCGGGCCCATTGGCGTTGGGGTGTCGATTCTGGCGCTCGCGGGTGAGGGTACCGAAGGATGTCTTGTCGGGAAACTTTGACGTTGTCGCCTTTGAAGGCGACAGGGGATCGAAGGCTGCGACCATTGCTGGTGAGCTGGACGGAATGGATGTGCAGCTCAAGCAGCTCGAGAAGGTGATGGCTGAAACCCGGCCGTCATCCATCGCCGTCAAGATTTCAAGCGGCGAGCCCAACAATTTTGCCTCCGCCGTTCCTGGCCTCCACTTCTGGATGTCCAGCATTGGCGGCTTACCACAAGAATGTAATGAGCATGCTAATCAATCTTCTAATTGCGTTTCTACCTCACGTGCAGTGGTGCATGGTGCACGACCCTCCGCACAGTCCTCTTGCCATCGCAGCACACTCCTTGCTCCGTTGTCGACCTCTTCTTCAACGCTTCGGCCTCGTCTTATATCTCGCTCTCGCTCGCGATGTCATTTTTGACCTTAACATCTCTACCAAAACCATCACCATGCTCGCAGACGACGACGAAATCTACAACTACTTGACCAAGTGCCGCCAACTGCTCATGTTTGCCCTCACGGAGGAAGAACACTCGGATCTCCGCAAAGTTCTCTTCCCTGCCCTTGCGTGCGGCATCAAGCCTCGCCCCGACGAGCTCCGTCAGCTCATCCACCTTTACCACAACATCGTTCTCGAAGTATGCGACTGGATGGTGTACAGCAAAGGGTATCCCCACATCCTCATCGAGAGCCACTATACCTTCGACGCCTTCCTCCAGCGCGTTGATCAAGCGATTATCGACGAGTGTCACGGTGTGGAGCGCATATGGTCACGACGTGGGTCTTGGACCACATCGCTTGCCACCGTATGCCCCGTCCATGACAACTCCACTGACAGCAGGTACCCGAAGCTCCGAGCGAGCACAGCGTCAGTACGCCTACGCAGGGCGTGACGAAGGGCCTTGCAGAGCTCAACAGCCCTCCCCTCACCCCCCCTGAGAGCGAGAAGCCCGCCGCAACACTTGATTCCAACACGCTCTTTCTGAAACCGGCGCCCGAGCTCTCCATTAACGAGAGCACCACGCTGCCCGTCGAGACACCGCCCAGCCCGAAGGCTTTGCCACGAACCCCGCCCACGATCGCCCAGGAGCTCCCACCCGTGCCGCCAGCCCTGCAGATGTCGCTGTTTGATGACGAGCCGATTGCACCCACACTCCCTCGCCCTCGCTCCCTCTCTATCGTCGACCCCGTATCGATTATGGTGACACCTTCGAGCGCGACGCCCTCCTTCGCTTCCAACAAAACACCACAAGCCTCGCCCATTGCCGGCGAATTCAAACACACCGACAAGCTCACCCCCTCCTTTCCGCCCCCCTCTTTCATCTCTCGCCGTGAACCCAAGCCTGAGCCTCGCCCTGAACGCGCAGAGCCTGAGCCAGTTTCCGTTCCCTCCTCGGTGTCATCCTCCGTCGCCAGCTCACCCCGCATCCGCCCCATGTCTTCCAGCAGCAGCCTCTCACACCACTGGTGGCAGCTCGGCAGTCGCTCCCGACGCGCTTCTGCACCTGTGCTATGAAGACGTCTCCGCGCAGCACATGATTATGATTAGGCGGGGAGGTGATAGCCGCTGCGGCTGGTGGGAACGTGCTGCTACACTGGGACGCTTAGCGCCGCGTCGCTTGCTCCTGTGGGGACATAGGAGGAGCCGGCGCGCAATTATTGCTGTTGTTCTGTTTCTTGTAGTATTATTAAGCCTCTCGCGATGAATTATGTGACTATGCACGATGGGTAGTAGGAATTCGCGAGGCAGCAGTCGTCGAGCATGCCTGCGTCTTCAACGCGAGGGAAAGATGATGAAAGCACGAGCTGTCGGGCGTTGCCCGCCTGCTGGCTGATCACGAGCGACGCGTGGCTTGGCAGCCAATAGCCAAGCGCGGAAGCATACTCCCGTTACGCTCAAGATCACATCCCCCCCTCGCCTCACACTGTGAGCTCGGGGTCTTGCATCATCATCTTGCACCACCTCACACTCATCGACGCCCACGTGAAGGCAATGTCTGGTACATCTTACCACGGAGGCGAGTACTCTTCATCGTCTGCTTCAGGCCATCTACGTCGGGCGCCACCACGAGCACGCCCGGGTGATGAAGACGAATTCTATCCTGATTTGGTTCACTACACTCCAGGCGAGTCTTTCTCGAGCCTTCGGCTTACCCCAGCCCCTCACACTCTCGACGAAGCATCCGTAGCCTCTTCCGCCTCCCCAGGCGAGGGGCCGTCGCTCTCCCGTCCCCGTGTCCGGCAAACGGACGAAGAACGTAAAGCTAAGCGTCGCGTGCCAGAGGACAAGCGCCGCCGCGTAGAGGTCTCATGTGATCGCTGCAAACTTCGCAAGACCAAGTGCTTTCGTGATGCCTCGGAAGCGGCGTGCAAGGAGTGCGCGAGGGCTGGCGTGGCATGCGTCTCCAAGCTCCCTCGTAAGAGGCGGATTTACGCGACCGAAGAGCAGCTCACTGGCCGCTTCCGTGCGCTGGACGCTATCGTTCGCCACCTTTATTCCGGGCGTGACCTCGAGTCTGATGAGTCGGTAGAGGCGCTGGCCGCAGAGCTTGGGGCCGGTAGCGCCGAGGTAGGGAGCGCGATCGGAGACGCGCCCGTCAATCAGCGCCTCGCGAATCTTACGGTCCCCGAGGGCCGCCTCATGCGTTCCCCCGCTGGCCCGATCTATCTCGGCGCTGCGAGCACGTTCCTCTTCGCTAGCCAAGTGCGCGAGCTTGTGAAGAGGAGCAAGCTCGACAATCTTGTGTCCTTCGATGAAGCGGGTTTGCGGCGCTTTTTGCAGACGGCGGATCTCGCATCCTCAGGAGCGGCGCGCTCTCACACCGGACGGGACCAGGAGGATGACGCAGCGGTTCATTCAGACGCCATCTTTCAGTCCAGCGTTCTCGCCACCAGCCTCCCTCCGCGAGAAGTTTGCGATGGCCCTCTCTCGGCTTTCTTCAACCACGTCCACCCCTCGTTCTCCATCTTCCACCGTTCATCCTTCCAGGACCAATATCAGGCGATTTGGACTCGTGAGGGCCACGAACTTGACCCTGGTTGGGCTTGTGCTCTCCTCATGGCGCTTGTCCTTGGAGTTCAGGCTGTTGAATCGGAGCGCAGCGCCCGAGGCTTCCCCGTCACCGCCGCGGCGCGATACCTTGCCATCGCGAAAGATCATGTGGCGCGCCTGACTACGACCACATCCCTCGCTAGCGTGCAGGCGCTTATGCTTCTGTCGCTGTATCACTACAACGCAGGCGAACGTAGCTCAGCATGGACGTTCATCGGACAAGCTGCCCGCATCGCTGTCTCGATGGGGATGCACCGCGATGGTGAAGATGGCAACTTTGACACGATTGAGCGCAATCTTCGCCGCCTGGTGTGGTGGCAGCTCTTCATCTTTGAGCAAACGCTGTCACTCGACCTCGGTCGCCCTGGTTCGGGGACTGACCTTAGTGACGTGACCGTCGCCTTGCCGGATCCAGCGGTCATGGACCAGGGCGATTACCCGACAGAGTATCTCAAACACAGCGTTGCGCTTGCTGATCTCTCCATCAAAGTCAAGCGATACGTCGCGGCCACGTCTATGGATTACGAGGATCCACGCAAACTCACACACTCGACCCTGCAGGCCGAGGATCTCCACCGCTTGCTTCTGCGCTGGGAATCGCATCTCGGCGAGCTCCTCGACACCGAGTATCCCTTCGCCACGGCCAGGCTTCGTCGCATGCATCTCCTGCTGCACATCCAGTATCAACACCTCACAGCGGTGCTCGGTCGGCCATTTGTGCTCTGTCACGCTCACCACATGGCGTTGTCACGAACGCAGGCTGTGCATCCCCTCGATCCACGCCTGGAATCGCTCGCCACTACCGCGCGCGACGCCGCTCGCCTGACACTCGACTACCTGCACCGATTGGCGGAGAGCGACCTCCTTGAACCCAAGGTCTGGCTCGACTTTGCCTACGCTCACCACGCGACCTTCATTCTCGGCCTCCACTCCAAATTTGGGCTGAAAGACCCGGACGATCGCCGCGCGGTGACCGATATGGTGAATCGGGCACAGCGTCTTACCCTTGCTCCCACCTACCGCCTCCTCATGCAGATTACGACGCAGTATGCGTATATTGTTGGCCTGGCTCCCGACAACCAGGCCTCCCTCGGCCCGAGCATGAAAGTTAGCAGCCAGCGCCTCGCGCCAATGCAGGGTCAAGCGTCGCTTGAGGAGCTCTTTTCGATACTGCCGGAGGACCCCAAGGTGATTGAGCCGTTTGGAGACCTGCGCGCGTTCGGGATGGACGGTGTGGTGCCGATGGACTACTTCGATGTCGGACTGCGAGACGCGACAGGTGGCAACCGTGGCGGAATGGAGGCACAAGCTCTGAGGTGACCACCCGCTCGCGCCACTCGACCCGTGCACGCCCCACAGCCCACGCCCCACGGACCACGCTCCAAGGCGTGAAGGAGAAGGTGTAGTGCACGCATGCAAGATCGTGCGATGCGACTGGTGTGTCTGGGCGGCGAGGTCGGGGGCGGAGGCGGTGGCGTGTGGCTTGGGTCGATGTGTGGTAGCAGCGAGGAGCGCAGATCGCGGAGATCTGGTCCGAAAGGGGTGGGCACGTTGCCGGCGGTTGGGGAGAACACATTAACACGAGATGCACGAGATGTGGGGCAGTCATCCCATCTCGAGTGGCATCGTCACAGAGGGTCCAAGCGCCACTCGCCCCATCGATCCATCGACCATTCACTGTGAACCAGCCCCAGAGACAAACATGTCTTCTTCTATCGCCACCTGAGACATATTCACACTCTACAATATCCCACTCTTGCTCGTCATTCAATGCTATCCACAACTCCACGCTCTTCATCTTTTACCTTTACACTCACCTCTACTCCATCTCCTCTCACCTACTCTTCGTCCTGCTCGGCCTTCTCCCCTTCCTCCAGCAATGATACAAGCACTCCCCGCCCCTTCCGATATTGTTTGTGACTCTCTGATGGTAACCCTTTCCACTCACGCATTCTCTAACACCAGGATGCTCACATCTTTACCCCGAGCGGCGAGTACGCACGCCCCGAGGCCGAGATCGTCGCGGAGGGCTACGCCCTGTGGACTAACAAGTGTGTCTCCTTCCGCATTGTACACGGCACGCGCATGCCCGAGATGGCTCTCACCATGACGGTTGACGATGAGCGTACCTTCCTCGCAGGTTTTAAGCCTGACGGCGACGAGTACTGCTCGTGTATCCCCGACCGCAAGGACCCTCGCCGCTGCCCACATTTTTGGGCAACTATCGCGGCCGTGCAAGCACAACGCTCGCGTTCAAAGCTCCCCCCTTCGCGCCCGGGCTCGCCGGATGTCTTCCGACCATCCTCTCCTCATGTCCCCAGTCCCCTTTCTCAGCTGCGCCCGCTCGCACACTTCCGCCCCCTATCTCAACTGCACGCGCGCGTCAAGCCAGATACTCTCGGGCTCGGCGTCATCGAGCTGCTGGCCCGCAGCCAGAGCTTTGTCCCCGCCTTCCGCGCGGCATTCAAGGCTGCCTATATTGAGACTCTTACAGCCTCACTCCTCGCGCAGCTGTTTCGCGCCGTGGATCGCGGCTTCTGGGTCGACTACGCGAATGTTTTTACCGCTCTCAAGGGTAATGCTATGGTGGAGGATAGAGCTGATACCAGTGGACGGTTTGCTGGACAAGTTTGCCGATCCTACCGACCTGCTTCAGCGCATCATACTACATTGCGACAGGTCGGCAGGTTCATCCCTTTATTCTCTCCTGCAATGGGAGGCCGAAGCGTTTGTCCGCTGCACTGCATGTCACGGCACCTCTTTCGGGCCGACAACATATACACGCTGGTGCGCCAAAGTGTATCCCGGTGCTGTGGCGACCGATAGGCTGAATCCGCACACAGCTGCAGGGCTGCACCGCCTGCTGGAACTTTCGTTGTTCGACACGACATACATCCCATGCCAGAGATGCAAAAACCGAACCCTCCATATTGTCAAGCACACACCGCTAATCATGGGCCGTCTTTTGCTCGTGCGCGTGGTGCCTGACGCCGACCCAGGCTCGCTTTACATTCCACCTCAATTCACGGACAGCGCTCTTGGATACAGCTGGAACCTTGTGGGCATGCTTTGCGCGCACCGCGGAGGATACTCGACTATTGTCGCAGAGGGAGGCCGGCTCATCGAACTTGTCGGCGGTATGGCGCAACAGCACTCAGTGCGCAGCCTCCCTGCGCCCCCAGCACTTATTCTTTACGAACGTGAAGGCGATGAAGATTGGCAAACCAGTGGCCACGACGACTGAGTGCCTTTATCTTTTGCTCTGCGGCGCCGTGAGTCATGTGTTGAACGGAGATGGCATCGAGGCCTGAGCCGCCGTGTGAAGAGCAGTTTGGTGAGAGGCGGCACCAGATGCACTGCCGTTGACTGGTATTCCGCACATGTGTACCTGGGAAGAAGTCATATACGTAAGACACCCATATAGTCACCTTTTACTGTTAAGCCTACCTAAGAAGGGGAATAGTCCATATGCAAAGTACATGGTCTAATGGCAGACGCTGCCGCGAATACGTATTGTACAAAAGTCTAAATTTACTATAATAACACGCCTACCACTCGATAACGCCGGGGATGTACTTGTTGATGAGACCCATGTAGTAATCCTTAACCTCCTCGACCTTGACAGGTGCGTCCGACTTGGAGTACAGGTCGTATGGGTTGAACGCAAGGACGGCCTCAAGCTGCGCCTCATCGTCGGCGTTCATAAGGTGGCGATATGCGTTCTCGCGGTGCCAGGGGTAGAACGAGTGATAGCGGATCATGCTGAGAGCCTCGCGGGGGAGGGTCGATTGGCGCTTCATGACGTGGTAGAGGTACTCGTCGTGGCCCCAGCTCAAGAGGACGTTGTCGAGGCCACATCCAGGCTCGTAGATACCGTTCTCCGTCATGAGCTTCTGGTCGTGAAAGTCGGGGTTGGCCTTGAAGGTGTCTGGGTAGATGATCTTGTCGCTAAACTTGCACCCTACAACAAAGGTGTCACCGACGACATCCCACTGGCCCTGCGCCCCAAAGAAGCACAGAAGCTTGCCCAGGTCGTGCACTAGTCCCGTGACCTGCATCCAGTCGGGCTTGCCGTCTTTGCGCATCGCCTCAGCCGTCTGCAGCAGGTGCTCGATCTGCCCCACTGACGTGTCCGGGTCACTTTCGTCCACGAGCTCGTTGAGCAGCTCCATCGCCTCCCACACCGTCATGCGGGCGCGCACAGAGTTCTGGAACTCCTCACGGATTGCGAGGTTGTATGCGAGCGTCTGCTTGGCGTGCTGCTCCTGGATGTCAGCCGAGTTTCGGTATTGCGGATCTGGGCAACAATATCCCGAGATCGCCACAATTTGCATCGGCGATCGGCGAAGGCTGGTGACCGGCGACATTCACATTGCCACCACCGCGCGCCCATGCGAGCCCCACTGTCAACACTTACAGCGTAGAAGTTCTTGACCCGGTCACATGCATCCTCGTATTGCCGGAATGTCGCCTTGTCCTTCTCGGCGTCGAACTTGGACTCGGACGTGAAGGCCTCCTTCTCCTTGAGCTTGAGGATGTTAACCTCGTCAACCTCGTCTGAGATGGCGTCGAGCTTGCTCGCTGCGTCCTTAATGTTCTGGGTGATCTCTGGGGCAACGACCATGGCTGTTGTTGTGATAGTGATGATGGATGCGGTGTTGGAGGCATTGTCTTATACATCACGCATGTCCGATCTCGGCGCGTCTGCATCGTTTGTTGAGTTTGCTGGCCACCCTCATCGTCACACATACCAAATCTGCGTCACGCGTCCCCAACTCCGGCATCGGTGTTTGGAGTGGGCACCGCCCGTAGCGAAGCCAGCGAGGGAGGGTGGCGGAGAAGAGCAGCGAGTAGAAGGCGCTGGTGGTGTCAGCGGGGCTTCTCTTTTCGTCGCAGATGTTTCGAACCGCCCATTTCCGTCCCGGAGCGGCACCGTGCACGGCACTTGATCTCCGATGTGGAGCCGATCGGATGCCGATCTGGCACCGATATCGGTGCGGAAACGGATTCCGGGGAATTTCCGGCCACGTGCAATGTCCGCTCGGAAGCCGATCGGATGCTCGGCCGCTGATCTGCATTCATCGGCAAGTTGATGGTAATCTGTTACGTCTCGGACGCTTTGTTTGTGCTCTAGAACAAAAAGAACACCCCGACCTCACTGAAGTATATGAGTGGTATCATTGTGCTCGTCCTCGGCGTCTCTTTCCAGGCGTATTATCTTCGTGACTGTCGGCGTTGAAATACGTGCAAAACTGCCACAAAGGGGCAGACTAATGGTCCGGAGGAAACGCCGGGTCCCTGACTGTTGACCCGTGATCAGGAGCGAAGGCAGCCGCCAGCCTCAAGCCGTGCGCCCATCTGCCCAACGCCGACCGGCCTCCGGCGGTCCTGCACGGCTCATGGAATGGAGGTACAGAGACTGGACCATAGGTACGCGAGCCCCGGAGTCCGGTACGACGACCCGGTGGGCTGGTCTTGCTGCCGTTGCGCACCATCGTCCCGCACCATCACCGGGGAGATGACACACCAGGTAGTGTGCAGTGCGGGGCAGCGAGGGGCCCATAGATCCATGGCAAGATGCGGTCCGTCCGAAGAACCGATGTTGCTCGACTGAGAATTACTTAAAGGCCTCTTCTGACTCTCTCGCACGACAAGGTTGACCCTCCCGCGTGGCTCGGCGTATTTATCCCTTACTCCACCAGACTTCACCAGGCCTTACTTTCCCGTCACCTCTCCATCGTCCACATCAAGTCATGGCTTCTGAGAAGGTCACCGACGCGCCCATGGCGCCGGCACAAGTGCCGCTTGCGGCCGCGACGTCTCCCGATGCCACCAAGCAGGCCGACCTCGTCGACATGATGGCAAACGCGCGTCGCGCCACCGAGAAGGAGCACAAGATGACCCTCATGCAAGGTCTGCGCCTATACCCCAAGGCAGCCGCATGGTCGATGCTCATCTCGTGCTGCATCGTTATGGAGGGTAGGTTCCGATCACATCAACAGCTGACATTAGGCTTCCAAGTGTGCCTCACGCCCAACCTGTACGCGTTCGAGCCGTTCAACCGCGAGTTCGGCGGCGTAAACAAGGACGGCAATTACGAGATCTCTGCGCCGTGGCAGGCTGGCCTGTCGAATGGCGCCGCTGTCGGCCAGATCATGGGCCTCTTCATCGCGGGTGTTGTCGCCGAGCGCATTGGCTACCGCTACACCGTCATGGGCGCGCTCGTTTGGATCACGGCATTCCTCACGCTCTTCGTCACGGCCAAAAATCTCCCCACGCTCCTCATGGGCGAGATCCTCTGTGGCCTCCCTTGGGGCTGCTTCCAGACCATTTGCATCTCGTACGCCGCCGAGGTTTGCCCCGTCGCTCTCCGCGGCTACCTCACTTGCTTCGTCAATTGCTGCTGGGGCATCGGTCAGGTGATCGGCATTGGCGTCATCAAGTCGCAGGTCGGCAACACGAGCCACTGGGCATGGCGCATGCCCTACGCGCTCCAGTGGATGTGGCCCGTGCCCCTGTGCATTGGCGTCTTCTTCGCCCCCGAGAGCCCGTGGTGGCTTGTCCGCCGCGGCCGCTTCGAGGACGCCAAGAAGAACCTCCTCCGCCTCACTTCGCTGAGCCGTGAGACCGACTTCGACGCCGATGAGACTATCGACATGATGCGCCACACCACTGAGCTCGAGCAGGAGATCACTGGCGGCGCGTCGTACCTCGACTGCTTCAAGGGCACCGATCTTCGCCGCACCGAGATTGTGTGCATGACCTGGGTGAGTGCTGGTGATGTGGTGTCAGCCGGAATTTTGGAGCTCGGAGCCAAGACACCGAGAAGCGCCACCCGCCACATTCCTATGAGCCGCCCACATGCTCCGCCCACATGTCCCCTGGTCAATGCTGACGCTCAGGCTATCCAGAACCTCTCCGGCAACTCGTTCTCAGGGTGAGTCTAACGCTCTCATGCACTTGGTTCGTACACGGAACATCCGCTGACTACCAGTTACTCGGCCTACTTCCTGCAGAAGGCCGGTGTCGATCCCAAGAACTCGTACTCGTTCGCGCTCGGCCAGTACTCGATCAACATTGTCGGCGTGTTCGGCGCTTGGGCACTCATGGCTTGGGGCATCAGCCGCCGCCGGCTGTACGTTGGTGGTCTGTGCGGCCTCTGTGCGGCGCTTTTCATCATGGGTTTCCTGGGCCTCGTTCCCGCGTCCAAGCGCGACTCGAGCGCTATGGCCACCGGCTCGATGATGATTGTGTGGGCCGCCTTTTACCAGCTCAGTGAGTAACTCCGCAAACTATCACTAATCTCAGCCGTCGGCACTGTGTGCTACTCGCTTGTGGCGGAGATGTCGACTCGTCGCCTGCAGATCAAGACTGTGAGTAGCGTTTCTGCCTCAAGGCTGACCCCAGGTCGTGCTCGGTCGCAACCTCTACAACATCGTGGGCATCATCTGCAACGTCCTCACTCCATACATGCTTAACACGGACGCTTGGAACTGGGGCAACTTTGCTGGATTCTTCTGGGGCGGCTCATGCTTCCTCTCCCTTATCTATGCGTACTACCGCATTCCTAGCTGCGACAACCGCTCTTTCGCTGAGATCGACATGCTCTTCGAGCGCAAGGTTCCCGCGCGCAAGTTTGCCACCACCGAGGTCGACCCGTTCGAGGTCCACATCGACGACAAGCGCCACGCAAGTATCTCCCACGTTGAGCTGGCGGGCCAGCCCTAGGTCAAGGCTGACTCGTAGCGGCCAAGTGTATCCCACAGTGTTCGAGAAGCGTAGTAGTAGCAGTAGCAGTAGCCGGAGCGGCCGTAGCAGTAGTAGCAGTAGTATAGTGTGATAATGTGATTTTTGCCTACTCCTGGACCACTGCTGATCCAGAAGGGCCCCACCTCCACCCCTCACGTGGCAAGGACGTCACCGATCAGCACACACCCCCACCTGGACAACAAATGCACCTTGTCTCCTTCACCTGCCGTTCTTCTCTCCTCTTCTCATTCCCGTCGCCATGGCCACCAACCTCCCACTGCTGGCATTCAACGATGTTTACCGCGTTGTCCAACGTTACGTGCCCCAGCCCGGCTGCGATGTTGAGGGGCCGCCCGACGCTGAAATCGGCGTCGGCCAGTTCGGCGAGCTCATCAACACGCTGCGCAAGAAGTGGAGCACACAGGAGAACGGGACATTGAACGGTCTCGTACTCTTTGCCGGGGACGTTTTCAATCCATCCATGGAGAGCAGTGTGACCCGTGGAAGCCATATGGTGAGCCCTGCCCAGGCTAGGGCAGAGGGCGCGCTGCACATCTTACCTGCCGCTAGGCGTTGTCGGACGATGATGCCGGCTGTTAGATCTGCGCCTTGATGGAGTTGTCATAGCCTGGTGGGAGGGCTGTCCACCGGCCTGCACAGGCTCAACCATGATCACACCACCCCGCTCGCTGTGCCTCGCTACGCGTTGCCGACCGCTTGTCCTGGTGCATAATGCTGATACCAGGTGCCTATCCTCAACGAGCTCAAACTTGACGCCGCATGCATTGGTGAGGTTCTACTCGCTCGTCGCTCACCCAGGCAATCACGACTTTGACTTTGGCTACCCACACATGACCAAACTCGTCGGTGACACCAACTTCCCCTGGCTCCTCAGTAACATCGTCGATACAAATACTGGTACAACGCCGGTTCCGCTGCACAAATTCGTTGTGACGGAGCGGTGTGGTGTACGCATCGGCCTTGTGGGTTTGGTAGAGGAGTGAGTCCCACATGCTCGGGTGCATGCTCCTCACCATTCTGCCGTCTCATCCTTCGCCAATCCACCCTCCGTCATCTCGGGTCGCTAACGCCAGGGACTGGATCGCTATCATCCCCTCCTGGCCCAACAATTTCGCTTACCGACCTATGAAGGAGGTCGGACTGGAGCTGTCCAAAGAACTGCGTGATCCCAAAGGGCCTCACCGCGTTGACATCATCATTGCGATCACTCACTCCCGCGTGCCCAACGACATCAAGCTCGCAAAGGAGCTCGGCGCAGTGTCAAATCGTGACACGCAGAACGAGCACGGTATCGATCTTATCATTGGTGGACATGACCATGTACGCATACCCCTTCGTCTTCAGCTTACGCTTACACCAGATATACTACGTTCGTAGTGCTGCGGGGGAGAGAGGGCTTTTAGCTAACCGCAGATTGGCAAGGGTGCCGACTCATGGGAGGGGTTTGCCGGCCTTCGTGATAAACCAGGGACGAGAGAGGACGATGGTGTCCGGTAAGTCGCCTCTGACGACCACACTAATGCCAAGCCTCATCAAGAGTGGCACGGACTTCCGCGACCTGAGCGAGGCATGGCTTGAGCTCTCTCCCCCGAACGAGAACGCTGTCCGCAGGCGTGTTATCACCGCCCTGACCGGCAAGCACCACTATGTGACGCCGGCCTCACCCACGTCCCCGGAGCTCGATAAGCTTGCGAACAACCTTCTCGAGTCTGTCAACAAGACGCTCAAACAGCCCGTTTGCTACACCATCACGCCTTTCGACGCGCGCTCTGAAGTCGTGCGCACACAAGAAAGCGCTCTTGGTAACTGGGCCGCGGACGTGTTGCTCCACGCCTACGACGAGAGTCTAGTGGAGAAGAACACGCGTATTCAGTTCGAAAAAGGCGAAGGCGACAAGGAAAGCCTGGCGCTCAAGGAGGGCGCAGATGCTGTCATTATCTGCGGCGGGACGCTACGCGGCGACTCTCAATACGGCCCCGGGACCATCACGCTTGGCAACATTCTGGGTGAGCAATTAACTCCCCTGCAGACACTGACAGTCAGAGATCTTCCCCTTCGACGATCCAGTTGTGTGTCTCGAGATCGACGGGAAGGGCATCTGGGATACACTGGAAAGCGCGCTGTCCCGCTGGCCGGCTCAGGAGGGGTGAGTCTGCATTCAACCTCACAGCTCATCGCAGCCGCTTCCCCATAGTATCCGGACTGGCTGTGGACTGGGACCACCGCAAGCCGCCTGGCAAGCGCATCAACAGCATTCACCTCACTGTGCAGACGACGGAACATAAGGACGACGACCATGACCCAAGCGCCAAAGTCACGTTCGTTGAGCAGCCTGACGGGACCCGCATCGAGATCAAGCAGGCGGAGGTCACGCTCGGGGAGGAGATCAAGAACGTGGAAGGCGGGCGGATGTACTCTGTCGTGGGTGTACAGCTTGGCATCAAAGTTTGTGTACCGCTTCGTTGACGCCAGATTACACGAGAATACATGGCGCAGGGCTTTGATGGCTTCGAAGCGCTCAAGGACCGCCGGATGATCGTTGACCACGAGGTGGGACAGAGCATGAGCTCGATCATCCGCTCGTTCCTGCTCGGGTCATCCTTCATCTTCAGAATGAAGCAGCTCGCCGACGCGCACCACGACCACGTTGACCACATTTGCTCGCGCACGCTCAACGTCCTGAAGCGCCACAGAACTCTGCACCGCTCCCCTGAAAACTCGGTTGCGAGCTCGCCCGTCAAGGCCATGTACGGGCACCGCTTCGTGGACTCTCCCACTGCCTCACCGGTCCAGACGCACTTCATGAGCGTTGACACCGAAGAGGAAGAAGGCATGACGGCCTCACTCACGGCGTCCACCTGGGTCAGTCTCCGACGCCATGTCATCGAGCACGACTGGGTTACCATCCGCGAGGCGATGCACATGGCCAAGCACGAGCACATGAGCGACGTGGATCCATGCGATGGCCGGCATCTTCGTCGCAAGACGATTTTGAACATCGGCGACAAGACGCCGCGCACCGCCACACCAACGCCGGGCATGCTGGTGGACGCGAAGCGCAAAGCTGAGCTCAAGGACCTCGGGTCAGATGTTGCCATCGTCTCGCCCCAAGTCGATGGTCGCATGCGGGACATCGCAGCCGACCAGCACGAATAAGGGCGGTGTCCACGTCCCATACTGGTGTCGTAATTGCATGCATCCATGTATTAGATCTCCTTCCACCCCGAGTCGAAGCCGCGGGGGCCAGCCCCTCCCAACCCCGCAGAGACGAGGCCGAGGCCAAAGACGGTAAGATGCGCGGTGACTGCCATGCCGAACTGACGTCAGCCAACCCCCAAAAGTGAAACTTACTCCGCGATACAGCTGGCAGACGCCCGAGAACCAGCCCCCCTCTTCGCGCTCCGTCATGCGCTTTTTCCGGGGCGCAGCCGTCTCCTCGGTAATGATCCGCCATAATGCCTCGACAATACCGACGTAGTCGCGCTCGCGCAGCGGCACCACACTGCGGAAGTGCTTGCCCCCACCAGGCGCGCGCGACTGGAGCTGGAGGCGGCGGCGCACCGTCTCGATGGGTAGGATAACAAGGAGCGCAGCGACGTTCATTCCGAGCTCAGCGAGGGAGTACGAAATCGGGGCGAGGTCGGGAGAGAAGCCGAGCCCGCGCTCTAGGATGAGGGGAATGCTCATGGTCAGCAGTGGGCGCAGAGTGAGCTCCAGGAGCGCTGGCAGCATAACGTTGGACGCAAAGTAGAGCCCACTAATCCCGCCCTCGTCCGCAATCGCGCGTCGGAGGATGGTGAGGCTGCTTGGCGTCGAGGGGTGCGAGGTCGGCATCGCTATGAGACGCGTGCGCACCAGCTCCAGCGGACTGAGAATGAACTGGGTGAGCGCGTGCGACGCGACTTGCAGAGCCAGGGGCACGCCTGGGTTCGGCAGAGCCGTAAGCGGGAAGTCGAGGGGAAGTGCCATGCCGCCCGTCGCTGACAATGGGAACAGGCCGAAAACAAGGCTGTGGATACGCGGCTGCAGCAGTGTCGATGCGACGGCGTGTACGGTACTGATGATTTGGCCCTTCCATAGGGCTGGGAGACCCTCGTGCGGCGTCGCCCGAATGCGCCTGATCATCCCCCACACGCCGTTTGAGCGCGAGATTTCTGGGTCGTCCTTAAGCAACCATGTGGGAGAAGCTGCTGTCAGCGATGCCTCTGCCCTCCAACTCCAGCAAACGTACGGTCAGCAAGGTATCCGCTCGCGTCGGCCTTTGGCGCAGGGGGCGGCACAAATGGCTTAGCGGGCGCCTCGACGCGGTCTGAGAAATAGTGGTCCGCCTCGTCAGCCGTGCTGAGCACGTCATCTTCTGCGCCCCAGTCCCTCGGTGCTTCGGTCTCGCGCGGCGCGTATCGGCGACGCGGGCGGTACTCGATCTGCAGAAGTGTTTTTCCCACGTCGAACGGCATACCCAGTGCGGTGACAAGGAACTGTGTACCGAAGAGTTGGACCGGTCCCGGAAGCCCAAGGTCCACCTCATCGTCCTCCGGAGCGAATGAGGGAAGGTGAGGTGGCGCCGGCGGGGCAACATTGGCTGGCGGAGAAACCGTGGGCGGGAGGAACACCCACTCCTCAGCGGGAGGCGCTGAGGTTAGCTTTGAAGATATGTAGGCACACTGTACAGCCCGCGTACCGACGGGGGACGCGCGGAGGAGCTCATGGGTGGCGAGTCGAAAGTGGGTGGGCGCGGATGCGGACAGGTGACGAGCCGATCGCGGCTAGTGGGGCGGGGCTCGAGCGGCAGTCGACGGGACTATGCAGAGAAAGGGAATGTCGGAGTGAAAGAGATGTGATTAAGAAGAGATGTTGATGTTGTGAAGTTGTGGGAGGAGCGGAGAAGGGGCCATGAGGACCGGCGTTGTTGGCGCCGCGTCGCCTCTCGGCACCAATCGCGTCTTGCTGCCGAACCTCTCCTCTTTCCACCCTTCCTGCCTGTGTCCACCCATCCATCCTCCACCCCACCCTCTCACACCCTCTCCGTTTCACACCGCGCTCCTCTCCTCCGCGCTATCGCCTTCTGACGCCTGCTCCGGCGCTGACTGCACGCCCGCGACCGGCCCCTCCGCCGTGTCACTCCTACACTTGGCCGCGCTCCGCACTGCGCCTCAGGCGCTCGTTCAGCCATGCCTCGCCGGGACCTCGTGCGCATCGTACTCGTCGGCGACGGTGAGCTCTTGCGTGAGCAAGCTAACAGCAGACGGAGTTGGCAAGAGCTCCATTATTACATCACTCATCAAGGAGAGCTTCGTTCCCAATGTGCGTTATCTCCCAGCGAACTTTCATCGTACCGGCTACCCTGCACATTTCTGCCTGCGCTCCTCGCTTGACTTCACCGCCAGCTAACATCAGGTCCAGCACGTTGTACCCGAAGTTACTATTCCACCAGAGGTGACGCCAGAGAATGTGACCACCTCCATCGTTGACACGTCATGTACGCAGCTTGCTTCTTTGTTTGACCTTGCTGACCACATAGCCGATCCGCGGTCACGGGCACACCTCCTCTCACAACTGGGACGCGCACACGTCATCTGTCTCGTCTACTCGATCTCAGAGCCGCAGAGCTTCGACCGCGTAGCCGAGTACTGGCTCCCTCTCTTCCGCAAGGAGGGTATCAACGTGCGCTCCCCACGCCAAGGTGCGAGCTGATCCCAGGTGCCAGTGATTCTTGTGGGCAACAAGATCGACATGCGCGGCGGTGAGGTTACGAACCAGGCACTGGAGGAGGAAGTTGCCCCTATCATGCGCGAGTTCAAGGTGAGTGACTATCGTGTGCACGCTAACGCGTAGGAGGTTGAGACGGTTGTCGAGTGCAGCGCTCTGATGCCGCTGAATGTGTCCGAAGTGTTCTACTTCGCGCAGAAGGCGGTCCTGCACCCCACCGCGCCCTTGTACGACTCGCGTGATCATGTTCTCAAGCCCAAGTGTTTGGAGGCGCTCAAGCGCATCTTCAAAATCAGCGATGTTGACAAGGACGGGCTCCTAAACGCAACCGAGCTGAATCAGTTCCAACAAAAGTGCTTCTCGACACCACTGCAGACGCAGGAGCTTGAGGGCATCCTTGAACTTGTCCGCTCCTACGATCCCGGAGCTGTGCAACCCCTCCCTTCTCCGCCAGCAGCGAGTTCTCCCAGTACGCCGTTTGCTGAGTATGACCAACACCCCGTATGGACCTCGACCTCGCAGACATCAGAAGGGCTTACAGAATTGGGTTTCCTCTACCTTCACACAATATTCATCCAGCAGGGCCGCATGGAGACTACCTGGACTGTGTTGCGACAGTTCGGGTACGGCGAATCGCTCGACCTGCGCGAAGACTTCCTTTCGCCCCGCTTCGATGTTCCCTACGACTGCTCGGTCGAGCTGAGCCCGCTTGGAAATCAGTTCCTCACGGACATCTTTGAGGCGTACGATAAGGACAACGACGGCGCGCTGTCCCAGTCAGAACTCGACGACCTCTTCTCCACCTCCCCTGGAAACCCGTGGCGCGCCCAAGGCTTCCCCGACACGACCATCACCGACGACCTGGGCCGCGTGACATTACAAGGGTGGCTCGCGCAGTGGTCCATGACCACCCTGCTTGATCACAAGCTGACTCTGAATTACATGGCATAGTAAGTGAGTGTCCCGGCGCTCGTTTAACGGCAGCTTGGGCTTCTCGTCGTCCCCAGCCTCGGATGTGCAGCTCGTCGCATCCGTCAAAACGACACGGCCACGCAAGGCCGACAGACGAGCACGCAAAGTTACGCGAAACGTATTCTTGTGTTACGTGCTGGGCGCCACGGGATCGGGCAAGACGTCCCTGCTCCGTTCTTTTGTGCACAAGGGCTTCCGCGGCGGCGAGGACGGCCTTGGCGGATATGAGCCAACTACCAAGGTGCTCTCGGTGGTGAACAGCGTCGAGATTGAAGGGGCGGAAAAATTCCTCGTTTTGCAAGAGTTTGGCTCCAAGTACGAGTCAGAGATGCTGCGCAACACCAAGCGCCTCGACCTCGCAGATGTACTCATCTACGTGCACGACTCGAGCGACACAAATTCGTTTTCGTACATCTCAAACTTGAGGCAGCAGTACTCGCTTGACCACATCCCAAGCATCTTCGTCGCAACCAAGTCGGACTTGGATCTGGCGCAGCAGCGCCACGAGGTGCAGCCAGACGTGTACTGCCGCCGGCTTGGCCTGCCCGCGCCACTCGCTGTATCGGCACTCGGCGGGTCTCTCCCTAATCTCTGGGTCGCGATCACGCGCGTCGCGCTCAACCCGTAGGTCTGCCTTATTGACATGGTGCTAACAGCAGATGGAGTAGTACACCACGCGGGCCGAACTCGCCGCGCACCACCGCACAAACCGTACGTGTTCTCGCGAAGTTTACGCTTGGCGCGGGGAGTGTTGTCGCCCTCGCAGCTGTCTGGATGCGGTACCAAGGCTACACGCTGCGTGGGGTGTGGGGCTGGATTGCGCGCACCACTGGTATCTTCTCGATACCATCACGGGCCTAGGGCGTGTCGTAGCATATGATTCCATGCACACAATACCATAGGCAGCGGCCTCAGCTCTGGTCGAAGCGGTTGTGCGAGCCAACGGAAGATCGCGTGAGTCTGTTGTCGACGGTCACCAAGCCGTTATGATACATGCAACACTACTAATCCAGACTCAAAGCGCTCCGCTCACTCCTCTTCAGGTGGGGGTAGTACACTGACCACTCAAACTCGCCTCCGCTGCCCGCACACACGAACCGTCCAGGGTTGAGCACATGACACCCTTCGTAGGTGAGCTCGTATCGCTCATACTTATCCGCGAGCACGACCGCCGTAGGCATGGGATACAACCGCATGGCGTGGTCAAACTCCCAGAGCGTGGGTCGAATATTTTGCGGCAGCGGCGAAAGGTGCGCCTGATCCAAAATTGTTTGGACCAACTGCGGTCAGCATCTCGCGAAGAGCGAGTCTTACGTAGCGCTTCATGTCGCCCTCCTTTTCGTCCTTCACGGCAACGAGGTTACGGAGCATCCGTCCCATCAGATCCTCGCGGTAGATGACAATCTCTTGGCCGAAGTAACGCAGACGGGCGGGGTTGGACACAAAGCGTGCCTTGGGCACACGCTGTAGTAGCCGGCCGGTGATTGTTGATGGTAAAGCGGGGCGGGGCAGCGTGGATGAGGACCATGGATCGAGGGGCCCGGGGACGAAGATGAAGTGCGACTGATGAAGGAGGGGGAAGGAGAGAATGAGGTCAGTGAGCGCGTTGAAGCCCAAAGTGTACCGCTTCATGCCGCCCTCTCCCTCCCACCCACGCTGTGTAAAGTTACCACAGAAGACGAACACCATCGGTCGGAATTCAGACGCGTCAGCGTACCCTTGCAACACTTGACGCAAGGCCACAAGGGTGCGCGGGTGGTCCAGCCAGACATCCGAAAAGAAGGCGAAAGACACATGCTCGTTCGCCAGTACCGTCGGAATGTATTTCTCCTCGTCCTTCTGGCTCATCGCGCCGCCCCCGAGAAAGTCGACGTGCCCGTGTAACCCTCGAGCAACCTCTCGCTTCTCTGCTGGTGGGTGTCCCATCGCCAGAACGCGTATGTTGTTCTCAATTGTATATTCGCCCTCGACGAGGACCATGCAGCCTTCCGTAAATAGACCTTCGCCAGGGACCTGCTGTCAGTTCCAGTCATTCCCGATCGACTCACAGCATCCATCATGTCCAGAACGACGCGCCCGTCGCCGTCCTCAAGCGTCAAACGACCCTCGGGGTCGCGGCTGAGCATTCCAAATAGGAGAAAGAGCTGCCCGGCTCTCCCAAGAAGGTTTTGTGTCGAAGTGAGCTTTAAGTATTTTGAGCGGTCATGACCGCCAATCGCTGGTGGCGTGAAGTTCTCGTTTCGTTGAATAATCTGCCATCAGTTCACGGCTGGCGACGGGACGCACTTCTCTAATGATGCCCCATCGTTCCCGCATGTATGCCGAGCGATTCATCGCCTGTCCCCCTAGTTTTGGTTTGTGCTTAGGTCTGTGTGTCAGGCAGGCGGGATTTATCAGCTCACAAGGTGAATCCGCTGCGGACGATGTCGAAGTGCTGTGCAGGCATGTCGAAGCTGTCCACGGCAGAAAAGTGTGCCTCGACATTGATCTCGGACGGGTCGATGGCATCGGTGTCATCTGTGCCTCCTAGCTGCAGAATCTCATATGCGCGTTTCAGACCGTCAATGGAGACAAGTGATGGCGCATCTGTTATGAGCCGATGAAATGGAGCATGGAAGGATTTCCACCCTCACCTTCGCCCTTGAGGTACTCGCGCGCCCAGTACTCTAATCCTAGAGCCCACTCATCCTCCGGGATCTCGTTCTACAGGTGTGTCAGCGCCTCGGTTCCGAGGAGGAGGAAGCAAGCTCACCTCTAACAACACATTCTCGATATATTCGAGGGCCGGTGCGGGGAGTGTAAGAGAATACTTGGTCGAGAAGACCTGTCCAGGTTAGGTGGTACCCCTGTGATACCTCACCTTAACGATTGCTGCCCGAAGTAACCTGGACATTGCGGGAATGATGGAGTCAAGACGACTTCAAGTGCAGTTCAGGAAAGCCGGCGCGTCCACCTCCACCTCCACATTAGCCTCGTTGAGACGTGTCGCTTGCATGCCTATCTTATTAGGCCTCCGAAAATGGCACGTGAGTGTCATGTCCAGAAGGCGTGAAACCTCGGCTTTTTCAATGGTGGCCAACGGGAGGAAGACGGCAGTTAGGCGGGCGACATGGCACACCCGCGGACATGACGAGCTCTGCGTTCTGCACCACCTGACCTCGTGTTAATCGTGTTATCGTCCGCACAGTCACTCCTTCCCGGCATCATCATTCTCCCACCATGGCGTTGCGGAAGCTGCAAGGTGCGTCTCCTCTCCTTAGATCGCCATGAAAGCGTGCTGATGCACCCTACAGCGGAAATCGATCGAACACTCAAGGCCGTCGCCACTGGCGTCGAGACTTTCGAGTCCACATTCGACAAGTTGAACCACGCCTCCAATGCCACTCAGAAGGACAAACTCGAGACTGATCTTAAGACACAGATCAAGAAGCTTCAACGCATGCGCGATCAGATCAAAGTTTGGCTCGGCAGCAGCGACATCAAGGACAAGAGTGCCCTCCTTGACAATCGCAAGCTTATTGAGACAGTAAGTTGTCAAGCTAAGTCGCCCTTGCCGCACGCACTAACGCTTCCCAGCAAATGGAGCGCTTTAAAGCCTTAGAGAAGGAAATGAAGATGAAGGCCTTCTCCAAAGAAGGGTTGATCGCTGCAGCGCGGTTAGACCCCGCAGAAAAGGCCAAGCGCGACATGGTGGATTGGATCGGCAGTACGACAGAAGAGTTGGCGCGGCAGATCGAGGCCACCGAGGCCGAGCAAGAACAATTGAAGTCGGCCGGCCGCAAGAAGAGGCATGCATCAGAACGCCTCTCTGAACTTGAGCAGCTCAACCAGCGACGCGAATGGCACATTGGGCGCCTCATGATCGTGCAGCGCATGTTCGAGAATGGGCAGTTGACAATCGACAGGATCGAAGGTATCCAGGAAGATGTCAAGTACTTCGTCGAGACCAACGCCGAGGAGGACTTCGATATCGACCTCGATATCTACGACGAGCTGAATCTGCAAGACGTGGAAGAGGATTACAACCCAGCTGACTTCGGACATACGGCCGAGGACTCTTCCAACATCGACACCAGCTCGGTTGCCGACACGCAGGAGACACCCATCAAGACGGCCAAGGACGAGAGAAAGGCAAAGAGGCACGCCGCGTCAGTAGCGGCCGACGATGAGGCTCCATCAAGTCCAGTGGTGGCGAAGGGCCGGAAAAGTGAGTTGGGTGGCAATTCGTTAGCCTGTTTCCGTCGCTGATAGCAACAGAGGATAAAGAGAAGAAGGAGAAAGACAAGGAGCCCAAGGTTGAGCCTTCGGCGCCCGAACCTCCAACACCAGTGCAGGCACCGCCTGCAAAGCCTGCACCGCTACCCCCAATCCGATATGCCGCCGCTGCTGCCGCTGCCGTTGGAGGGGCAACTCAACCTCCGACACACCAGCTCACCGAGTCTCCTGCCAAGAAGGCCGAGTCAACCCCATCTATTGCGGACGATGCTACGCCCTCTGAGACCCCCGAGCCCGCTACTGAGGAGACATCCGCGTCCCCATCAATTGCGCCGTCTACGGCGGCCTCCAACGCCGACGCCTCCCAATCCAATGTAAGTCATCCTTCACCACTCATGTCCTGACCTTGCAGGGACATCCTCCAGCGCCTCCCCCAGGCATCTCAGCAACTCCTTCCCCGGCGCCAGCGGAGCCTTCAAGCAACGTCAATGGTACAGCCGCTCAGCAGACTGCCCACTCGCAGCCTTCCCACGCTGAGTCGTCGCGCACCGTCACCGGCACCACCTACACGCAGAGCCCACGCAAGGAGCAGACCGTGCTTGAGGGACTCATGCACAGCTTTGGCGTCGCCAAGGAGATGGCCGACCGCCGCACAACCGATCCCGATGAACTCCACAATGCGCTCGACGGCTCGTTCCGCAACGCCCCAGCGCAAGTTGACGCTGAGCCGTGAGTGTGACCCGGGTTAGTTCCTCTGACACGCAGCCCACGGTACTACCACCCTCAAAACCCGGTGCAAACGCCATCGTACTACCCGCAGTCTCGTTTGCCGCTCCTTGAGGACAAGAGCATTTACCAGCGTCTCGACCTGGATCAGCTGTTCTACATCTTCTACTACATGACAGGGACATACGAGCAGTGGCTCGCTGCGCAGGAGCTTAAGCGCCAGAGCTGGCGCTTCCACAAGCAGTACTTGACATGGTTCCAGCGGGCGCACAACCCGCAGGCCATCACCGAAGATTACGAGCAGGGAGGATATTACTACTTCGATTGGGAAAACTCATGGTGCCAGCGCCGTAAGAGCGACTTCCGGTTCGAGGTAAGTGTCGAGACCTGTGCATATATTTGTGCTAACACAATAGTACCGCTGGCTCTCCGATCACTGAGCGTCGATGTAGCAGTTTCAGACGACATAGTAGCTTCGGCTGTTGAGCAGCCTCATGTACATCGTGCATATATACTCAGCGATCTGGTGCGTCACCACCACTCACCAGTTGCCGCGCCGCAGAATGGCAGGCAGGGGCAAGGAGTTGTACAGCGTCGGAGAGCAGCTGCCATTAGCACCCACCAATGCGAGGGAGGCCACGTTCGACATTGTATTATAGACGCATGCTTTCCATAAATATGATCTACGGTGTCAAAGGTGTATCCAGTGCTCGGCAGCGGGCAGACAAATCTGCCAGCCAAGAAGGCCGCAAGCGGCCTCCGCCGTGCCCTGGGATCGCTCTCTCCCCGCTCCGTTTCGCCGGTCCTCGTACACGAAGGGCGGCGAGCGCTCCCAAGAACGCATCGGGGTTGAGAGAAACAATCACTCTTCGGACAGCGCGCACTTTTGAGGCAAGGTAGCGGCGGCGATTTGAAATTGCCGGCCGCGAATCTATTCTGTGGCAAGTGGCGCCCCCGGCCAGCCACCCTTGATAAACGTCCCAGTACTGTCCGCGGATGCATCAAGCAGCGCTGGCAGCACTTAGAACAGTATGATTCTTACGGTGCCTATGCTGGGAAACAATACCGGACGTGAAGGGAAACTTGTTGCTGAGGGTGCGTTTGATTCACAAGCAAGTCGGGGCGAGCTAGGATAGTGCGAAGACGCACTATGTCTGCCGCGACGCGGAACAGACGTTGCGGGTGCGCGTAAACGCGCGCTGGTACAAGCACAAGACCAGATGAAGGCATCGCTCATATCCGCAATCCGGCCAGAGGTGGGACTGTGATGGTAGGCAACCCAATGTGGACGAGAAGCTCGTGTGGAGCAATATGAGGCCGGCTGCCTACATCAACCCCCTCCGGGGGCAGGAGTCAGTCAGAGTCCACTACAGAACTGCAAAGCAGGAGAGACTCGACTATGTATCCAGGTCTTCGGGTCTCCAGATAGCAGCACCACGGTGATACCACCAAGAATGAAACTGGAATAGACCGATCCATACCCTGATCCTCTCATTAGTCACAAGGTGACAAAATCGCCACCCTCGGAAAATTCTTGAAATCCCGCGACCAAACGGTTTTGCTTCCGTTGCGTTCCACCCACCTCGAGCAGCTCATCGCCATCAACGTCTCTCCACCAAAAATCGTGCGTGCAACCTCGACGACCACGACCGCTTGCTGACGCCTTCCCCTCCCGACTCTCGACACATCGCGCGCGCTACTCGTTCCGCGACCCACCTTACACCTACGACTTCGTTCCGTTCGTCTCACAGATCATGGTGGGTATCGTCGTCGGTCGCGTGAAGGATTGTAAAGGACTCCGAAGGAGACCAGCAGAAGGGAGGAGCCATGACAGAGGTTATGGCTCTTCGCTGTGTCTGTGAGACACAGAGGCTGTGCGCTTGCTGTGCGGCGCGTCGTGCGCCGAGACGCCGAGACTGGAGCTAACCTCAGGCTGAGTTCACTTCCAACGAGGAGGCTGCCGCCAAGAAGGCTTCGCGCTCGTTCAAGAAGTACTCGTACCGTGGCGTCGAGCTTGACCAGCTCCTCGACCTCTCGAACGAGGCGTTCATCGAGGTTCGTACATGAGTGGCGGCGAGGCCACCTTCCTCGAGGCGTCCAGCCCCCCACTCTCTACTCACACCAGATCGTGCACGCCCGTGCCCGCCGTCGCTTCCAGCGTGGCCTGAAGTCGCGCCCCATGCGCCTCATCAAGAAGCTCCGCAAGGCCAAGAAGGAGGCTGGCCCCAACTCGAAGCCCCAGATCGTCAAGACCCACCTCCGTGACATGATCATCGTCCCCGAGATGATCGGCTCGGTTGTTGGTGTCTACGTGAGTCGCGCGCAACAGTCTCCAAGCCAAACGGCGTTGGGAGCGGGTCTTCATGAGATTTTCAAACATCACTAACCCTAGAACGGCAAGAGCTTCACCACCGTTGACATCAAGCCCGAGATGACTGGCCACTACCTCGGCGAGTTCTCGATCACCTACAAGCCCGTCGGCCACGGCCGTGGTGCTAACATGGCCAACTCCCGGTTGTGCGTATTTTCTGTGTGTCAAAAAGGTCAAGCTAATGACAGCGTCCCGCTCTCGTAAGCTTTCTGCTTAGGGGTTTAGGCTTGTACGACGTATGGATGCATCCGCTCGCCATCTGAGCGCAGATTGCGGTAGAATGGATCCGCTGATGGCCCATGAGGCCTGGCAGAAGAAGTGCTTCTGATGGTGGCTGAAGTGAAGTCCGATCGTCAAACTTGCGGTATGTTAGTGAAGGGCTGTGCCGGTGGAGTGATCTGCGTTGTCATGGACGTCCGACATATCTCTCATCGTTGACTGGGATTGCGAAGCTGCCCCACGAGCGGACGGTCTGTCTCCTCCCGACAACTGGCACTTCTTATGCATATTTCCACTAACGGCCCTGCTACCAGCGGCCCTGCTGGCCGCCGCCGAAACCACCGCCGTTCCCGTAGCCGCCACCGCCTCCGTTGTTGTAGTCGTTCTGGTTACGACCGTAGTTCTGGTCCCCACCGTAGTTTTGGTTTCCACCATAGTTCTGGTTGCCGCCATAGTCCTGGTCCCGGCCGTAGTTCTGATTACCGCCAAACTGGTCCTGCCCGAACTGGCCGGACTGCGCAAGCGCCCGCGTCGCACGCTCTTCGGCGGCCCGCTTCGCCTTCATGCGGTCGATCTCATCGAGTCCCTTGGTCTCGGCAAGCCTGTCAACCTCGATTCCCGCCAGACCGGCCATGATGTCCTTGGCCATCTCGTACGACTGGGGCTTGCTGTTGTCAGCTGTCGTGCATGCCTATCCCACGGAGAAGGAAACACGCACCCATTGGCATCCTGATGCTTCTGGTACTCCCTCATGGCCGCGAAGGCGGCCGCGCCGCCAAGGAGCTCGTGGCCGAGGCTCGCTTCACGCGGCGCATTCTGCACAGCGTCGTACGCGTTGCGCTGTTGTCAGTGAAATTGAGAGGGACGAACGCAGAAACCAACCTCGTCAGAGTCGTCGTGGTCGAACCAGCCCATTGTGAATAGCTTGCTTGATCTGACGGATGGGAGAGATGCGTGGTAGCTGGCAAGCGCTGCCAGCCCTCCTTTTATGTCGTCTGGAACTCGCACACTACTGACGTTGCATCTAGCAGTGCGCTCTGAATAGCGCACACGCGCTCGTACTGCGCACGTTCGCTTCACACTTCCCCTCTACATACGGGCTGCGCATGACGTTCCCCACCGGCCCGCTGTATGCGAGTGACGCGAGGTGAGGATATAGGATGGACGGGAACGCGCGGACGTCAATGGATGGCGAAGTGCATCACCTATGCAGTGCGCGCGCAGCCCTGCGCAGTGAGATTGCGCCGCAAGCGATGCACCGCCAGCCAGGATTAGCATGGTGGTGCCCGTTTCATCCAAGCTTAGATTCCGCATAATTGCGCATAAGTGTGATCACGGTTCCGCCAATCACTTGCCGTACAAAGCGGGAGCAGCATTCGCCGCCTTGTGCCTTTCCCCTCTGGTGAGGCCTTGTCATTGTCCAGACCTTGGGTCAACAACGGGATGCAGGAAGCACCTCATCAAAGAGTCTACGATTAAATAGCAATTTCCCCTGGCCGCTACTCCTTTGGCTCCTCCGGCGCCCTGCCAGTCCGCGCATCGTCCTCGGGTGTCGCAAAAGTCTCGTTGAGAATGAACGCGCTAAAATTAGGATCTGCCCAGTAATTTGAGTGAGCTGTGATCATGTCGACATAGTCGTTAACACCGCTGGAAGGAAGGAAGAAGTCGACGCTTCCGCGTGGGTTGAGTGCTGCAAAACGGCGCTCGCCCCTCGTCCCAGCCAGCCGCTCGTCCTCGGTGATTAGCTCGACCTCTTCGCTCTCCGGCGTTTTCTGGTCTTTTGAACCAGGCTCCCTCTTGGTCGAGGAAGGGCCCCCGAAGGGCAAGTACTTCTTTACTCCAGATATGGACGGCAACGTGGGCAACGCCGGCATCGTGGGCATAGGTGGGAGAGCGACGGACGGGAAGAGCGACCCCGTCACAGAAGGAATCGCCAGTGGCGGACGCTTTTTAGCGACGCGCACGTCGACCGTGGCATTCAAAGCATACGCGACGGGGTCGGTGTAATAGAAGATGTTGTACACACTGGCATTAGCTGCTGCACAATGTGGCGTAATACTCACGAGTCGATGGCCATGCACCCAAAGTTCCCTGGGTGTAGCTCCGCCTCATCAGGCGCTGCATTCATGGTTCGTTCTCTCCCAGAGCGGGCGATGATGTGCGATTGTCGCAACCCGAGGAAGATACCCAGCGGACTTCCACACAAGAAGAGGTTCGAGGTGTTGAAAATGAATCGGTCGGTAGCCTGCTCAAGCGCGGCCATCGGTAAGTCGGACAGTCTGGGCACTGTTGTCGGTTGGTTAGACAGAATGTGTGCAGCGAGCGCAGAACCAAGCTGCCATCAGGTTATCTAACACTTTAAGGCTCACCGAATGCCCCACGATGTGCACGCGTCCGTGTTTCTCAAAGTCGGGGTGACGAGCTATCCACATGCGATACAGTTTGTTAGCCTGCTGGCAGACAGCCTCAATCATTTTCCGCCGATGATCGGACATGAACAGCGGGATATCGAGCAGCACGGAGTTGGTGACTTCGCGGACATAGGGGATACTCTTTCCAATCGTGATGTCAGCAAAAGTGAAAGTGTTGCTCTCCTCCTTCTCAGCATCCTCCTCCGAGCTCCCGCTCTCCAGATTTAGGCTGGCGCGCCACTGGACGGGTAACACCTGGCAACGGCGATCGCGCATCACCGATGAAATTGACGGTTCATCTGACTGCTTCCGCAACACTTGGCGGAATTGGTTCGCGGCGTAGATGAAGTTGAATGACTCGTACTGCGCCGCGAGATGCTGTCCGATGCCATGGATGACCAGGACGAGGTCGGTGCAAGGCTCGTCGTCGTTGTGTGAACGGGTTATGGGGGCATTCTGCTCTTCCATCGACTTTTGCCGCGCCTCGATCTCTTTCTTGGCGCGAGCGAAGAACTCAGTCGGTGACTTGGGCCACTGTGCCTTCTTGTTCTTGCCGTTCTCTGGTTCTTCCAGCTCGGGTGTCGAATGCCCCGACTTGGCCAGTGATTTGGCCGTCGCCTCGGGCGGCCCGCTGTTCTCCGTGACAGGCGCCATGGGTACCACGGGGACGGGCGCCCGAGAGGCTGCCGCTGCTGTGTAACCACGATAGATGTACGAGCCCGTCGTCTCGCCAAATGATGACCAGATCGCGCGCGAAAGCACATCAAGCGCACCGGAGGTGATTAAGCGGCCTCGCACCGCGTCCTCGAACACCACCGCAACGCCGTCACCAAATCTCTTCGGCAGTTCCTGCTTGAGCTTCTCGTCGCCGTTGGCTGCTAGAACGCGCGCCGCGTACAATTCGTCCTTGTACGCCGGCTGCCACGGTTGCACCTTCTGGTACGCTTTCTCGAGCTCGGCTGCGAGATCCCATGCACATGGGCGGGTTTCGTTCTCGACGTACCATGTCCCACGAAGGACAGGAACGCGTGGACCACTCTGTGGCCAGAACACGGGATGCAGCGAGAGCGTGTCAAGGTCGACCTCAAAGAGCGAGTCCTGTGGTCAGATGGATAGGCGCAGCTCTCACTTGCGACACGGGCACACCGTGAACCTGGTCGAGCTGGGTTGGATCGGTGCGAGTGCGCTCTATAATCGACTTGTATACCTCGGCCTTGTCCTCCGGTGAGTCAGGAAGGGAAGCCTCCGACGCAGCAGGCGTCGGCGGGTCGTCGGCCTCGTCGGCTTCCTTGATTGCCTGCTCGTTGTCTTCTCCCTTGGCTTTGGTGCCCACGGATCGTTCCTTCAGGCTCCACTCGCCGTCTCCGCGACCCCACTCGCGCACAATCTTAGCTTGCGTCTTTTTAGACAGCTTCTCCCACTCGGCCTCGATGCGGTCGCTTTCATCCATCGAGAAGGCCTTGTATGCCGTCTCAGCCGCTGTGATCGGTGCGGTCGGCAGTGACAGGTGCTTGGCGCCCGTGTGCATCCACCGCACCTCCAGGGGCTCCATCTCGATCTCTTGCCGAGCAACGTCTTGCGCGGCGTCCGTCGACATCCTGGGCGGCGCGGGGAGGGGCGGCGGGGGCGCAGAGAATGAGAGTGAGAGGAAGCAAAAGGATCGTGTTGGCGACTTCCGCTTGAGCGCTGCCGATGTGGGTGGCTGAGGACGCTTGGCGGCAAACGAGGCGACGACGTAGTGGGGTTCTGCACAAGCGGCTATGAGAGGCCTGGTAGACCTAAGCATGCGCCGGGCAGTAAGGTGGATGACGACGAGGGTAGTCCGCGATCTTTGAGGAACGAATCCAAAGATGTTTCGGGCGGTCATGCGGGAGCGCCGGGCGGCAATCTCGAACCACGTGAGCCTGACGTTACTCATGTTTGTTTACATGTCAATCGCACATAATATAATATGCTCGTTATGTGCTCGTTACATGTTATCCGCCAGGTCGCGGCACGACAGTGCAGCCGTGCTTCTGCAAATCCACCGGGGGAGACATCTGTGAGTGAGAGAGCAAGCCTACCAAGAAGACTTCAACGTAAAACTGCGAAGTATGTATCGCTTCAAAGATTGAGTTCAAGCCTGATGGCGGGGCCCAAGCGAGATCACCAGCAGTCAATCGCATCGAAAAGCCCGAGCAATCGGAAAGTGTGTCCTGCGCGTCATGGGCTGGTTCTACGTTCTACACTCTACGACGCCTCATCAGCACCGAAGACGGGCAATTCAAGGACTCGCGCGTGAAGGTCATCGTCCGGTCGTGGCTGACATTGTCGCTTTACCGCCACACCCAGATTCCTCTATTCTTGACAACAATCCTCTGGACATGCTTATTTAATGTCGGCGATCCTACTTTGCTAACTACTGGCATTCGCTCTCCTCCATAATAACTTGCAGCGCGAATCAGTCATCCTGATGTCTACTCACAACGAGGTTCCAGCAGTGGCAAGGCACGGTAGTCAAGCACATATCGAGCGTGTGTGACAAACCTTAGCTCATGCCAAGACCTCCCACAGTGATGACTCGGGGCGGACCGCTTATAAGTAGCATGAGAGGAACGCTGGAGATGCTCTCATTCGCATCACATCTACTTCCCACTCCCCACCAGACGACGAAGAGCGACTATGAGCGGCACTCGATCCCAATACCTCCTGCGTTGCTACTCTTTGGTGCCAGCTATGAGCATGCACTGCTGCTCAGAGTTAGGCTGCACCGTGATCGACGGATACTTCCACTCCAACATGACCGCTACATACGAAGGAACAGGCGGCCCGTGCTGTACCAACTCAGGCTGCAATCTTACTCTAGCGGAGCAGTTCCAGCCGCTCAGCGCCGAGGACGTTGATTCGCGTGCCTTCGCACAATGGAAGAACTGCACCGTACAGTGGCAGGCGACGCACGTGGGGCCCTGGCCTAACTCGACCTCGATGGGCTGCTCGCGCACTCACACAGTGTCTGCTGCCGTTCCTGGCCGGCCTCTTCCTCCTTCCTGGAACTTCGTTGTCGGCGCCCTCCTGCTGGCTTCAGCGACTCTTAGAGCCTTCTAGCGCTCTTTCGATCGGCGGCATCGCTATTGCGATGCGGGGGGGTCTTGTGGCTGCTTGATGGCCGTGTTATACAGACGCTGGCAACGTCACTGTATGCGACTAGCACCCACCCGATGTGAATGTAGTCTCTGAGCCTTCGTCCGCGTGCACAGTGTCGGGGCTCAGAGCGGAAGAGTAACTGTAAGAATCGAGCTGCATGCCGTCATGCAACCATATACTTGCGCGTCTCGCCACATCGACGTGCTTAAAGGAATATACAAAAGCGTAATGAGTACAGGGGGATTACTGTGTTATCGACGAGAGCCTCGGCGCAACCGATGTCCACCACTGGTCGCCATGCCGAAGGGTGATTTCAGAGCGCGGGCGGCGAGGCCGACCTCATCATCCCGGGAATGCAGCGACATGTGCTTATCCGTATACTGCTGTCAGCTGTAGTCAGGAGCGAGTCTCACGTCGGCGAATGCCTCAAGCTGTTGAAGAAGTGTGGTGAGGTACGTGGTGAGCTGCACGTCGTTGTACTCCTGAGTGTCAATGAACCCCGCCATAACTGCTGCTCACAGTCTCAAGCTCTTCATGCAGCTCATTCACGTCCATGACAGGCAGCGTGGCGACCAGCGCCGAAATTTGCCGCAGGATGTCATGGTCTGGCTTGGCTGTGCCTCGGGGTGAGCTTCACCGGATCTCGTTAGCTCACCATCAACGACGCCCGACACGTATTTGAGGAGCACAAGCGCACGGTCGTACAGCATGGCAATGGCGTTGCGCTGCATCGTAAGGCTGGCAACTTCGCCAGACTGATCCGCCTCGCCGGAGCCGTCCTTCGTTACGCCGTCTACAGCGATTCGCTCGGCCTCGCCCGTCTCGATTCCGCACTCGAGGCGCACAAACTTGCCGGCGCTGCTCTCGCCCTCAAGCGCGGCCTCGTACACCATGAAAGGGAGGGTCTTAGCACCATCCGGGATGCCAGGGTTGAAGAGGACGAAGAAGGATGGGCCCGCCTCATTTGCGCTGAGGAACTGCTCATGAATGGCGACGTCAGAGTTCGTCGGCGCAGCTCCTATCGTATACCATCCCACCAAGCTGAGCGTCGGAAACGTTTGGCTGACTGTGGTCAGCAGGACATAGAGTTGGACGTACAAAGCTCGCGACGCGTCGCCAGAAATGCGGCATCAAACTTGGTGCTGTCGCCCTCGTCGAGGGTGAGCTCGAATGAGTTCTGCATCGACACTTCCCGCCCATTCTGCGTGCCCAGAATCGCGCCGAGGGCTTACGTTAACCATATTACCACCAGCTGGCTTACTCTTGGCGGACGACCCAGTACACTTGACGCGAGTGTAGTGGTCGCTGATGTTGAGGATCGCCAGTGGGTGGCTGGATATTAGCTCTCATGACCAGACAGCTCTCACAGAGTAATGGTAAGTCCAGAGTTGGCCGCCGAGTCGGCGACAACGCTGCTGTCCATATCGCCTGTTCTGTGCTGTGGATAAGCGAGGAGGTGAAGATGTTGGGAAGAAGAGATGAGACGCACAAGCAAGGTCGCAGTCGACGAAGCCTCATGACGCACGCGGGGTGGAGGTTGGATGGTGCACACATTTACTTCCGCTCGTGTTCCCAAGGCACCGACACCACACCTTCCAGACGTGACAGAAGGACGATCTCCATCTCAAACAGCCTACAATGCACTCCTCCCATGTCCGACTTTGAGGCCGCGAGCAAGTGGCTGACCACGTCCCCTTCGGCGGGACATCTCGACAACGAGATAAAGCTCGAGCTGTATGCGCTGTACAAGTTTGCCCTGACGGGCAGTGGGCCGTGAGTTAGCTGTGCGGCGCCGTGACGTGATCCCGTGACAATCACCAAGTGGGAGGACGCGTAAGATGGCGGCATGGGTGTAGGAGAACGTCAGAGCAAAGAGGATTAATGGCTGATTGGGGCACTGGCTGACAGCAGCACCGGCAAGCGTCCGGGCATCTTCTCCTTCGAGGCGCGTCACAAGTACGATGCGTGGGCGCGCATTGCGACAGCATTTGGCGGGCGACCGGACGACGCCAAGGCGCGCTATGTCGAGGTTGCACGCGGAGCGGGGTGGATGGGCAACGCGTCTCCGGGAGCTGAGGCCGGGGAAGGTGGGGTCGAAGTCGAGGTGAAGAAAAAGAGTGGGGGTATGGGGTTCGGACCGAGCGTGAGCGTGATGGAGCGTGAAGAGGGGGAGGAAGGGTGAGTCGGAGTCTTATAGGAGACAGAAGAATGCGGAGGAAAGTGCTGACGCTAGTCCTGGCAGCGCATTACATGATGCCGCATCTGAAGGCGATGTTGCGGCGTTGGACAAGCTCCTCGAGAGAAATAACGTCAACATCAAGGACGAATACGTGCGTCCCCTCTCCAATGTCGCTGACAGCAGGGCTTCACTCCTCTCCATCTTGCGGCGGACCGTGGGCGTACCGAGGTCGTTAAACTCCTCCTTGAGCGCGGGGCTGACAAGGCCATTCTGGACCCGGACGAGCAGACTGCTTGTGACCTTGCCGCCGTGTCCGGCCGCGACGACATCGTTGCGCTGCTGCGGTAGACAGAATAATTGCATTGCTTGTACACTAGGTAGACAACTAGGCTCGGACATCATGATCCCACAACCAGCCACCGCCGCTCACTTCCTCCTGCCGAGCCCGAATATGCCGCCTATGCTACTCAAGCGAGTCAGGAGACCACCACGCTGGCCATCGGCCGTGGCGCCCGCGTCCTGAGTCGTTTGGCTACGCGTGCGACGCTTCGTCTCGCGTGACGCCTCCGCCTCGTCGGAGCCCTTACGTTTGCGCAAGTTGGGCGACTTCGGAACATCGGATAACACAGACTCCAAAGTCTCGCGGGCTTTGCCTTTGCCCTTGCCGCTGCCTCCTTCCTCCTTGACGCGTTTGGGCGCAGGGGGCGGAGCGTCATGTTGTCCGATAGTGCGCTTGCGCGTCCTAGTTCCGACGACAGCGGGTTTCGTCTCGAGCCCCAGCGAGTTGTTAGTTGTTGAGGAGCTCGCCTCCGGTTCTACCGCGGCCAGGCTGGCGCGAGTAGCCCTCGTGCGCGGGGTTCCATCCATCGCCGTCGGGGCTTTGACGGGCGATGGCGTGTGATGGCTCGAAGGAGTGGTTCTAGTGCTTTTGGGTACCGACACGCCGCGGCCACGGCTCAGCCGACGCAGCCGCGTGGTCGGTGTGACGTGCTCAGCAGGCCCTGGTGTTCCCAGGTCGGGTGTGCGTCCCATATGAGCGTGTGAGGAGCGGCGGCCAAGCCGGTCACCCTCGACAGCGCCCTCAGCTGCCTCGAGGACACCACAGCTGTGCCCATCTTCGACAAGATCTATGCCAATGGCGCGGCTCAGCTTGAAGCCAAGCTCGGGCTTGAGGCGGGGAACATCGTCGGGGTTGGCGCGGATCAAATCCTCCTCAGATGCCTTGCCCAGGAAACGACCCTTCTCCGCCTTGACCTTGTCGGGATCGACGCATTGCGGCACAAGGACGACAACCCAGTAGTGTGTCCCTTTGTAATCGGTTTCAAGCCGGAGCTTCTGGAAGCTACACTGGGATCGCGTACGGGGTGGCGAGGAGCGTGGGACGAAACGGCGAGATGCCCGTCGCTGGCTTGATGTGGGCTCCGTGGCAGCAGCCTCAGTGGACAACGCGTTGGGAGCGGCGACCGCGGGGGATGGAGGGGCCGGCGGGAGCCCCGGCGGGAGCCCCGAGGCGGCGCCGGGGACATCTGCGGACAATATCGCAGGCGCGACAGCAGGGGAAGTGTCAGGAGAGCCGGTCGAGGCGGCTCCGACAGAACTGGCTACTGACTCTGGTGGTGACAGGGGCAAGCCGGTTGTGGAAGCCAAAGGAGAGTCAGCGTCAGAGCCGGCAGGGCCGGCAGGAGAGCCAGATACAGGCGCAGGAGCAGAGCCAGATGCAACCGCCGGTGTGCCTCCGGAGGCGATGGCGGTGGCCACAGCCAGCGCAGCAGCAGGGGCTGCAGTGGTGATGTGCAAGGGCGCGTGCGAGTGGAAGAGTCGAGGCATGCGTGGCGGCGTCGGCTCGCGCAGAGGAGCCATGAGGCTTTCGGCGGTCAAGTGCTGGTCGAGCTCACATGTGTCCGTCTTGTCCTCTTCATGCGATGTGATTGTTGTCGGACTTGCTGTGGCGCTGGTGTCCCCTGCATCGGCTTTTTCGTTGTCGTGCACATGGGTGTGCTGCGACGACTGCAGGGTACTCGCGGCAGCCGTCACAGGCTCGTTGTAGGGCGCATCTGCTTCGTCCTCGACAATGTCAGAGTCAACCTCTGGGATAGTTGCGAGCTCTATGCTTTCGTTGCCGCGCATGGTGACGTCGGTAGAAGACGCCTCGTCATCCGACGCCACCTGCTCCTCGTCGTCTGCCGTTCCGGCGTCGGAGCCTGAGCCCACGAGTTCGTCAAATCTAGAGTCCAGAGTTGGCACCCTGAGGGATGCGCTCTTGGACGGCGCATCGTCTTGAAGAGTGGTAGGATCGACCGTGCCATCCTCGGACAATGAGTCAGCGAGCAGTTGAGCGGGCTCCTCGCCAGCACCAGCCAGTTCATCCTCCTTCTTTTGAGGCATGAGGGCTGTCTCGCCATCCTGCTCCACCTGCAAGAACTCCATGACCTCCATGGCCTGGCTGTCGTCGAGCCCAACTGATTCGGCCTCCTGGTCTGCCTCGTCGTCGGCGAGCTGGCCTCTACTCCCAGCCTCGCTGTCCTCACTCCCCGTCTCGCTTTCCGCTTCGCTGTCCTCTTCGCCGTCGGCCTCAACGTTCTCATACTCGTCGAGAGTCCCAACGTCGTCGGCGTCCTCCACTTCACCGAAGGCCCCTGCCACTGGAGTGTCGGCGGCCACGAGTGAGGAGTCCAACAATTGTCCCCGTGCATGCTCGTCCTCTGACGGCCCGGCAGGTGCGGCAGGCTGGAGTGCGAGCTCGATCGGCTCGTCTTCCTCGAGCGCCACAGCCTCGAATGCGGGCTCGACGGCCTTGTCCTCGTCGGTAGGCCCATCCTCCTGCTGAATGGGCATGTCCTCCTGTTCGATAGGCTCGACCACCTCGACAGGCTCGACCACCTCCACATCGACAGGCCCACCCTCCTCCGCCTCGACAGGCTCGACCTCCTCGACGTCAACAGGCTTAAGCTGCTCGACGTCAAGAGGCTCGGTGCCTTCAATGTCGAGAGGCTCAACGGTAGGCTCGGCTCGGTGGGCGGTCGCCTCGTCGATGTCAACATCAGCAGGAACAAGGTCATTCGTTGGTGCTCCAGTTGGCTCCCGAGACGGCCCCTCCGCCTCTTTCTCGACAATAGGCTCCTCCACTTGATCGTGGTCCACAAGCTCCTGCGTATTTCCAAACTCCACCTGCTCGGCTGGAGGCGCAGGCGGCGCGGCGTCGGCAGTTGCAGGGGCAACGGGGGGTGACGGGGGAGGTGATGCGTCGATCGGCTGCGGCTCGATTGGTTCCGACTCTTCTGACTCGGCAGCCTCGTCCTCTTCGGCGTGTTCTCGTTCTGCGTCGTCTCAGTAACCAGACGTGGAAGTAAAAGAATCAAACCTACCGTCGCCCGTGAACACTCTCAGCTCGGGTGTGGGCTCGGCCGTCTCATGGGGCTCTTCGAGCAGCTCGACCTCCTCCGATTCCTCGCGTTCTCCCACTTGGTCGATGAGGGTATCCCCTTCGCGAAGCTTTGGTGGGGGCTGGGCGTCGTCTACCTCGCGTATCTCCTCGTCACGATCGGACTCGAGCTCGTCCTCTTGATCAGGGTCTAGCTCGTCTTCATCCGACTCAAGCTCGTCCACGTCCGACTCGTGCCCCGCTTCAGAGGCGGTGAGGTCGATCACAACGTCGACCTCGCCCTCGTGTGGAGCGACGCTGGCCTCACGCCCATGGTGCGACATACTTGACTCGGCGCGCAGCATAGCATACGGCGCAAGCGGAGTTTCGATCTCGTCCGGCGCTTGGACTTCCATCGACCCAGCGTCGAGGATCTCGGTGAACTCGATCTCTTCCAGAGTGTACCCCTGCGCATCATAGTGGCTGTGCTCAGCGACAAAGGAGTGGCCGTACTGGTCACTGATGAAGGTCGCGGCCGTACTAGTGTAGAAGTGCTCGCTGGAGCCCTCGGGCATGAAGCCCTGCACCGTAGCACTGTCGCCCAAGGACTGGTGGGACGTCGAGGGCTCGGCGTCTACCAAAGACGGGTCGATCGAGAACTCCATCTCAGCAGTGGTGCGTGCTGCGCCTTGCGCGAGCGGGAGACCGCGCTGAATGTCGACAGTGTCCAGTCGAGGTGCCAGAGTAGCGTCTGGCATGGGATAAGATGAGGAAGTGAACGTTCCCTCTGGGAGCTGATTTAGGACCGCCTCAATGACATTGTCTGACACCCTCTCCGGGGCAGTGCCGTACATGCTTGCTAGCGCGTCTTCGATTCCGGCCCCGCCCTGCCAGATTGGGGGAGGGTGGGGCGAACGATGTTCGTGGCCTTCATGTTCCATGGGGTAGTGCTGTGGCGCACCAGGATCTTGCGGATATGCGCAATCAACGGGATCTGGCTCCGCAACGTCCCCGCCAGCATACTGAACGTCCCCGCCGCTTTCGTAGTTGTTCTCGGCATCGTCATCGAAACGATCGTCGCGAGGGCGCTCATCGTCATCGGTACACGACTCCTCCTCGTCTTCACTGTAGTCGTCCACGTCCATCCGCTGGTGGTCCGCCGGTCGCTGGCTGTACTGCCTTTCATCCGCGGGCTCTTCTTCGTCAGAGTCTGAGGAGACCTCAATCGGCACGTTGGGAGAGCCCTCCAAGCCGTCATTGTAGGTGTGGTACGACCGGCGTGCAGCCGACAGTTGCGGCGTGGCAGGAGGATATGGATATCTGAGATCAGTTGCGCCGGTGAAAGTAATGCTCACTCTTCGACCTCTTCGACCTCCTCTTCCTCCTCCTCCTCTTCGTCCTCCTCCTCTTCCTCGTCCTCCTCCTCCTCTTCTTCTTCTTCCTCGTCTTCCCCGTCGTAGTGGTAATAATATCCCCCGGCGGATGGAGGCTCGTCCTCCTCGTGAGCTGGAGTCTCATCCTCCTCTTCGGCTGAAGGCTCGTGCTGCGGGAACTGGGACGTGTGCGCGTCACCTGGTTGCGCGTACCTGGCGTCAGCGGGCTCGTGCTACCGAAACTCACGTCGCCTCGTCATCTTCGTACTCGTCGTCGTACCCCGGCTCTGCCTCCTCGTCATCGTACTCGTCGTACTCGTCGGCGTACTCCTGCTCCTCTCCCCCACGCGCCTGCGCATGCTCGTGCTCATACTCCTGCCGCTCGTCGTCCGAGTCGCCAACCATAACGACACTGTCACTTCGCGACGGGCTCCGAGCCGGACCTTCCTCCTCTTCCTCCTCCTCCTCCTCCTCCTCCTCCTCCTCTTCTTCCTCGCTATTCTCATACGAGTCCTCGCGCTCATCCTGCCCGCGTGGTGGCCAGTCGTGAAGCTCGTCCAATTCACTGGCGCTCTGCGCGTCGCGCCCTATCGTCAGCCAACCCATTTCGCCACCCACCATCGGCGTGCTGCCACTCGTAGTCTGGCTCTCCTTCCCCATCGCGCGACTGCGGGTCAGAGTAGGGCGTGATGGGGAGCGGGGGTGTCTGCGCGCGCAACGGCGAGGGCGGGCACGGCGGGGGCGCCCATGGGTCCACGCCGCGCAGAATGCCCTGCGTCTTGCGCAGGATGTCGGCGGTCCACGCGTCCATGTCGGACTGCGGGAAGAGGTCGAAGGCATTTGGGATGTGGGGATTCTCGCGCATGGTGGGAGTGGATGTGGAGGACGGGATGTGGGACAATGCGAGGTGCATGGTCGGAATTGTTGATGACCGTGGTCCGGACGATGGTTGCATCATCACGGAGAGCAGGGCGATATCCGTGGGCCTGGCTGGTTGTTGTTAGGTGGCAATTGGTGAAACTCGGCGAATGTTCATGCGAATGTGATGAATGTCTCATCCGCCGCGTTAGCCGTACGTGCTGTCCAGCTGCCAGCTGCCAGCTAGTGAGACGGCCAACGTTCATGTGGGCGTTAATTCATATCTATTTGCAGGCCTCGACGCGCAGCCCCGCCCAAATCTACCACAGATCTGATAAATTCATGCAAGAGCTGGCGTCTCCCGCTCCAACTCATGGCTCCCTGCCCGACATTCCCTACCGCCCCTCGCCCCGCACCTCTCTCCGCGCCTCGTTCTTCAAGGCCTTCTAACGAATGCATGTACACGCCTGCGGCATCTAGTGCAGACAATCCGGGGTCTCCGGTCTAGGATGTATGTAGAAACGACAAACGACAGGGCCGCCAGCCTGTAAGGTCCATCAAAATGGTCTATATCTATGCACCGTACACGGGCGAGGTGGGGTCGTCGCGCTGCGGTGGCAGTGGTGGCGAGGACGCTGTACTTGCTGGTGGCGACGGATAGGGGTACATGGGGCGAGCGGTGGTCTTGACCACAGGCTCAAAGTGATGGTGATACACGGGGCGTGGAGAAGCATGGTCCTTTGGTGGGTGGGGGTGGAGGAATTCGGGAGCGGGAGCCGATGCGTATGTGAACGGCTGGTAGTCTGGGGTGGCTGTGCCATCGAGGATGCGCGTGTCGGCAAGCGTGGTGGGCAGCATGCCGTCGCGCTGCGCCTCGACTTGACGCATGCGCTTCTCTCCCTTGTCGACGTCGCGCTTGGCGGCGTTGTACATCCACAGCCCAACGGCAGTGAGGCAGATCCCAATTGCCTGAACTGCGTAGACTGGCTGGTTGAACCAGATAATCGCCAGGCAGATGACAGCGATGCGCTTGATGAGCGAAGCGATGGAGTAGGTGACCGGCGAGGTAGACGCCAGGAGAGCGAACGCGATAAGGATCTGGGCAAAGTGGACCGTACCGTTCACGAAGAAGGTAAAGAGAACCTTGGCAGCGGAGGCGTCGCCTGTCGTCGGCGGCAGTGCAGCAGTGCCCATCCACACTGCAAGAAGCCGTGGGGCGTCGTAGTATAGCCACATGGGGATCATGAGAAGGAAGGCCATGCCGCTGGAGAAGAAGAGCAGGTTGATCTTGTCAAGGCGGGGCGAGTCAGACGTCCCACTCGAACCAGGGGACGGCATGACCTTTTTGAAAAAGATGTTCTGCGACACGAAGATGATCGTAGAGCCAAATGCGCAGATGAGACCACCAATGTTGTTGAACGATATGTCGAACGAGCACGCAAGCATAACGCCAAGCGTGAGTGGCACGAGGGAGAGGTACGTAGCGGGCGAGTACTTGACGCCAAAGAGGAAGACGTACGCCGCGACGGTGAAGCACGGCGAGAGCGCCTTGATAGTGTGCACGGTGCTCACAGGGACGCGCGAGATGGCGAGCGAGCCAAAGATATGTCCACCAACCTGGAAAAAGGCCATGGGCATGGTGTGACGGATGATTGAGCGCGTCGGGGTCCGCAAACGCGTCGTCCACTTTAGATATGGGCTTGAGCCCATCCAGCAAAGCACGCCAACGAAGGCAAACTGCACGATTGTGAGGGTGACGGGAAACTTGAAGTTGTTGAGAATGACCTTGCCCGTGTTGCTCGAGACTGCACTGGACGCGTACCACAGCATGCAGAGGAAGACAAAGCGCATGGTCTGGACGGAGGGGAGGACGTTTCTCCCTTCCTCACTCCCATTCAGGAGGCCGTTAACGGTCTGCTGCAACCTCGAGAAAGCATCGCCGAACGAACTAGTGCTGCTGCTGGTGTCGATACCCTGATCGCTGGGCTTGCGAGTAAGACCGAGCCCGCCGAAAGCGGCGCCGGCAGCGTTGGCGGCGCGCGCGAACCCGGACTGCTGAGTGGGCGGCGGGGGCGCGAAGAAGCCCGGGCCGCCCTGCACTCCGAGGGCATTTCCGAAGCGAGGAGGAGAGGCGTTTGGGGGAGTACCGGCGTAACCCCGGAGATCGATGGAGGAGCTGACGTGCGCAAAGGGCGCGCGTTGACGGGGGTCTGTCATGGGAGAATGGGCGACAGGATGATGGAGACCGGAAGAGAAGAAACGTGTCGGTGGCCGTGGTGGAGGAGGGTGGTGGTGGTGGTGGTGGAGTAGGACAGGGACGGGAGTAGGGTGGGGCGGCAAGGGATCAGATTTGGTGGCGCGCTAGAATGCGAGTGGAACGGGGAGGAGGAAAGGTGAGAATGGAACTGGGAACGGAGTAAAAGAGCGTGGAGATTGTGAGAATGCTTGAGAGAGTGTAGCGGCTCTGGGAGAGTGTAGAGGGGAAGAGTTGATGGCAAATGTTTCGATGTTGGCGGGGAGTAGAAAGAGGGAGAGGAGAGGAGAGATGAGATCGACAAGAGATCGAGGGAGGATGAGGAGGATGAGGAGCATGAGGAGGGGGAAGGAAGGGGTGGAATGTCCAGACGGGCTCGCGAAAATGTGTGAGGCGGCAGAGGGGCGCAAGGAGGGGAGCGGGTGGGGCGTCTCTGGCCCTGGGGCCTTAACTCCCTGACAGCCAGGCGGCCAGGCGGGCGGCACTGGGCTCGGTACAGTGGCGGGACGGTCAAACCGCTCTCCCCTAATCTGCTTAATCTGCGCAATGCACAGTATGCAACGCCTCGCGGAATGGCTTGTTCCATCTCACTCCTCTGTGCAGAATAAAAGATGCGTGTCAGTAGTAGGAACTGGGAGATGACAGAAAACAGAACCCCTCCATTGATAGTTGGGCTCTTCAGATTGAAGGTTACGGTTGTGAGCGGTTTGCTGCGATTTGAATGAGGTACGAGCACCTTTCGACTCGGAGCTCGCCGGTTCCCCGGCGTCAACAGCCGCTTCGTTTGTAGTTGCTACGCCTTCGTCAGGCTTTTGCCCGCACAAGAGCCTTGAATTCAGTTGCTCGTGTGCGGCCAACCGCCGTATGTACATGCACAGCAGCAATGTTCAGACCTCCTGTATTATCACTCTACAGACCAGCTTGTTAGGTACATGTTTGGATGGATGTGTACATGAGAGTTCCAGCCATTGTATTGTGCCTGTCCTGCTGGCAGCGCGTGGCGGTATTCATCAATACAATACACCGTATCCCAGGTGGCCAGGTGGGGTCAGTTGCCGCCGGGAAGCGCGTGCTGCATATGCTGCACCAGCTTTGATTATTACTCGAGCTGGCCAAGCTGGACAGCTGGAGTACTGTACACCTATCAATTGCTGATGGGAGTGGTAACGAGATCAACGAGGAGATATCCCTAAACCTTGTTTGTCTTCCCTGCGTTTTATGTGACCCTGCCGCGCCAGCTGCTCGGTCACTATTATTGTACTCATCCATTAAACAAAGTTGACAATTCATTACAACTATCTCTTGCTGACATGGTTTCCCCATCGAACGCGAAAGCTTGTTCTTCGGCGCGTGGCGCATGAGGCGTAGCGCGGCGACGCCACGGCCCGATTTTGTCCGCCCTGCCATTCCAGCGTCCCGCACGCCAGTGCTCCAACAGTCATCAGCCATCTACAGTACAGTATGCACCGCTGCTGATCCTTGACCCGTCTTCCATGTCATCACCATCACCGCCGTGATTAACCCCAGAATTCCAGGATAACTGCGTCATGATTGACGCCGTCCTCTGACTCGTGGTAGCTCCAAGCTTCCTGGCACATCTCCTCCTCTTCAACAGCTTAGCAGGCAGATCGCCAGGCGTTCCCTTCTTCGTCTCAGCACTTTATTCATTCCGTCGCTTCCCATTCGTGCCATCATCCGTCCGCCATCCGAGGATCCGAGGATCCGAGGCCTGAGCCTGAGACGCGTGGGGTAGGGTACTGCCCCTTCCTTTCCGGATCTCCTGACGTTTGTGACGTTGGGCCCAAGCGCACGCGCACGCGCACGCGCAAGCTGGCGCTGGAATCCTTCCTTTTTGGCCCCTTCCCCCTATTCCATGTCCCATGTCCCATGTCCCATGTCCCATGTTTATTGTTCAAGCTCTCTGGAATTCATCCAGTTCTGGATCAGACATCACACTTCTGCTTTTTCACACTCCACTGGACAATTGGATACAGACAGGCGCGCAGGCGGTCATGAGTCCCTTCGAGAACCTGCCGATCGCTGTTCGCACGTTGCAGATCATCTAGGACGACCGCTCGTCGGATGCCGCCGCATAACGGCCTAATCAGCCAGCCATCAATACCTCGGCTCGCACATCACAGCTGCTTTAGTATACCTCTCACGCACCACTCAGTGACACTCATGCCATCTGGACATGGAGAATATACGCTACTTCCTACGCACAGATCGCCCCCTCATGTGGCCGCGCGTGCTCTCAGCTCGCGCCTGCCAACTTTAGGTGCGACGACCTGTTACGCTGGGCGACTCCCCCCCCCCGCCCCCCTACCACATCTTTCGCGGCGGCCGCGGCTGCTCAATCCCACTACCATTCGAGAAGCCCGCGGGATACTGCCCGACGTGTCCCGCGTGCCCGTGGCCCCCCGGCCCCGAGTAGTAGTTGTCGTATCCCACTTGATACTCTCCGTTTCCGACAAATCGAGAGTGATTCTGAGAGTTGGCGCGAGGTCCGGCCATCTGCGTCCCAAATCCTGTGTGCGCGTATCCGTAACTCTGCGGCTGCGCACGGTACTGGTACCCATTGTAGTTGCCTTGCTGGAAAGCCTGCGCCTGTGCCTGCGCCTGCGCTGGATTGACCTGGTTCGAGTTGGGGTAGCGGAAGTCTCCAGAGAAGTTGGAGTCCTTTCCGAAGGCGGCCGCGGCGGGCTTCTCGGCCTGCTTCTGGTACGCATACCCGCCCGAGAGTGAGTTGGGGAAGGATGGCGAGGGCGCCCACAGGTTCTGCTGGAACCCGTTGGCGTTGGTAGTCTGGCTGCGGCCCATGATGCCGTAGTTCACGCCCATGCCGCCGTCGGGGGACGTGGCGCCTGAAAACTGGTTGTAGCTCTGTCCGAATTGTCCCCGCGCGCCGAACGACGATTGACCCAGCGCCGATTGGCCCATTTGATACACGGGCTTGAGACTAGCTGGGTCAGGCGCTGTCGCGGGCGAGTTGAGGGTCGGGTACAGTGGCGTCTCAGGCTGGCTGGTCGCCGAGGCAGGAGCAGACGATTGAGCGTTGGCGTCGGCGGCCTGCTCCCAAACACTCTTTAGGTGTTCGCGCTGAGGGTCATCCCGCGCGGGTGAGGTGACCGAATAGGCCAATGTCGACTTGGCCCACGGACCAGGCGCGGTATTGCTGGGCGAAGTGGGATTCGTGCGTGGCGCTGACACAGGCGCAGGAGGGGGTGTGCCGGGTTTCTGATGTCAGCCCTGGCTCTTTCGCAAAAGCTTACCTCGCCGAGCTGTTTGGCCTCGGTCACACCTTTGTCGTCCGCCTCGATGTGCTCGAGACTCATCTTGTTCACCTCATCCAGCAAGCTATCGCCGTCAAGCTCGCTTGAAACCATAAAGCGCACAGCAGGTGGCTTAGCACCGTCCTCCGCAATCGACTCAGCCTGAGGACCGGGCACAGCGACTCGCCCCTTGCTGGGCTTGCGCGCAGGCTGCGGTGCAGAAACTTCGGTTGGCCCTGGTGCTGGAGCCGGGGCCGGGGCAGAACGAGTCGTCTTATCAAACGATAGTGCGTCTCCAGGTAGCATGCGCGGCTCGGCAGCCCTCTGTTTCGGCTTGCGCTGGAAGGGGACAAAGTGGCGCGGCGAGATGCTCACGACAGGACCAGTCTCGATCTGCTTCGCGAAGCGGCGCCCAATGGGCTGTAAAAGCAATGCGTCCGCCAGTATGCGGCCCGGTGCGTGAAGCTCCAGTGGTGGTTCAAACGTCTGAGCCCACCCCCTCGGTGCCGAAATCCGTACTTCCGCCGCTCTTAATCGCGCACGGGGGATGGGGCCCTTGTTCTGCGGTGGGACTTTGGGCAGCTTGACGGTATGCACCCGCCATGCTGGAGGTGGAGAGGGTGGTATGGGAGCCTGCGTCGCATCGAAGAATTCTAGAGGCCGGTGTGACAAAGGTGCAGGAGGTGCTTTCCTGGGACGGGTGGGTGCAGGAACACGCGGCTCTGACGGCGCAGGCCCACTGGACGGGCCCGTCGCGGACGCTTGCGCGGAAGCGGCGACGGAAACCGGTGCCAAGGGGGGCGCCTCTTTCCGCGCGCCTACGTCCTCAGCACCCTCCATAGAGTGCTTATCTCTCTCATCTTCCGGCGAGGTGGAGTCGTCGGAGCCCTTGACATCCGGAGTTGGTCTTGACTGGGCCATTGCGGCCTGAATGCGCGCGAGCATCGTGTCAAAGTTCGCCTCCCTCTTTGAGGGATGCGGCGAGGCAATGTGGTCCCCATACGCATTCTGGCGCTCCAGACCAGGTGGTGCCTTTGACCTGATCGGCGAGCGCGGTGGCTCCTCGTGGTTGTCACGCCCTTGAGACGAGATCGAGTGAGACGTATGGGGCGGTGCCTCGCGCAGTGGATGAGGCGGAAGGTCCCGAACACCACGACGTGGGTCGCGCGGTACGTCAGAAATGCGGCCTTGGTCGTGACTGGGACGGCGCGCTACAATGTGGTCGGCTGGAAGCGCATGTGGCGAGTCCGTTAACGGCCCAGCTCGACGCCACGAAGACGCGCGGTCAGCCGCAGTGCTCTTCTGCTCAGGGAGCTGCGGCAATCCGGTGAGCGGTGCCTGGGGACTCGACTCCTTCGGACGGGGCGCGAGCGTAATCTGAGGCTGAGTCGGCTGGATAGGCTTCGCGAAGCCGGGGGGAGGTTGGGGCGGCTTCGATAACCCTGGTGGTGGGGGTGGCGCAACAGAGCTCGGTGGTATGGGGCAGACCGTTGAGGAGGCGGGCGCCGGCTTCGGCTTAGGATTTGGGGGGGTTCCTCCGAATCGTTCTGCCAGCTCGCGGGCTTTCTGGCGCGCGCGTTCCGCTGCTGCCTCGCGCTCAGCCTCCTCCGCCAAACGCCTCAGACGCGCCTTCTCCGCAGCCGTGTGCATCTCGGCCGCCTGATTCTCGCCGCTAGGTCCCACAGAAGCCCCACCGGCAGCCGACGCTGCTACTGGTGGAGGCTGAGCCGGCGCTGAAGGACGAGGGGCAGGAGGTGGGGCGTGGGGAGTAGGTGGTGCCACGCGTGATGCTGGAGGTGCACGAGCGGAATTGTCTCGCGCTGGGTGGTCGTTGGAGCGCTCACGTTGTTCTCCGAGATGAGGAGGCGGCTCACGTTCACTAGGCCCTGTGCGCCAAGCCGTCCTCGATGGTCCGTGGGTCCCGCCCGTCGGCGCGGCAGAGTGGGACATGTGAGGAGGAAAGGCACGCGACGGATCGTGATGATGGGAACGACCCGCGTCGAGATGTGGAGGCAGGGCACGGTCGCGCTCCTGCCGCGGTACGTCACGGGGCATGAGGCGTGGCTGGGACTGTGTGGGCTGGCCGCGAGCGTGCGGCTCAAGGCGGTTGGACGACGCGTTAAACAACACACGGTCTTGTTCATGCCTTGGACGGTCTTGTTCATGCCTTGGACGCGTCTCCTCGCGCTTCGGCCAGCTGCGATCAAAGTCGTCACCAAAGCGCTCCGACTTGGTCACAGGCTGGTCATGACGAGCGTGGGTCGTCTCGGCAGTGTGACTAAGGGACGAATATGTGCGTCCATCCCCAAAGTCGATCATGTCGTCGTCCTCATCTTCCTCCTGCCCGTTAGCTCGGCATCACTGTGTAGTGTCACTCACGTCCCAACGGTGTGCGTTCGGCTCCAGGTGCGTAAACACGTTGAGGTCAGCAAGGATGGCCTGATTGTGTGCTGCCTCAGCCTGCGCAATTGCTTGCGCACTGAGCATCGCCTTGCGTTTCCCGTCGGCGACCTCCTTAGCAGTAGGGTACTCGCGCGATATGCCTACCGGCTGGCCGCGCCGCTCGTTTGCACTAACCGATCCCCATGCGCGTCGTGCGGCGCTTCCCAAACCCTGTCCGGAACCCATAGCAACATTGGGGACGGCGGTGCGTGTAGGAGCGGGGTGTTGTAATGCGGGCGCGGCTTCAGAGGCGACGGGCTTCGCCCATGGTGCGGATGGCGCGCTCGTGGTGCCAGACGTTGGAGGATTGGGAGAGGAGGATGGTTTGGAGGTTGGAACGGTGGTTAGCTTTGTGGAGAGGAGCTTGGAGGTCGTCTGGGACGGAGCAGTCACAGCGGCCGGGCGCACTAAGGGACGTCAGCGGTGCGCACGAGCCTCCCGGATGAATGGAGTACACACCGAGCTTTGCAGGCGCAGGTACTGGGCTCGCCGCCTTGCTCAAGAACTCTTTGGTGACGCTGACGGAGCTGAACTTCTTCTTCGCATGCGCTGCGAGGGGAGGCGTGGACGTGCGCGAGGATGGCGTGGGAACCCGCACCGCCGATGCGACCACGGGCGGATGGGAGGCATCGGTTGTTGGGTCAGCAGCAGCTGATGTTGAGGGAGTAACAGAATGGGCGCCGTCCTTCTCCTCGGCCTTGGTCTCGGGTGGAGGGTTGTCTGCGACCTCGCTGCTTGCTGACGCAACACTCCCAGACGTCGCTGCTTCTCCTCTGGGAGCGGGAGCGGGAGCGGGCTCGGCCACACGAGGTCCATTGTGAGACAGTGTGTCGGTGGACTCGGGAGTAGCTGGCGGTAGTGACCCAGTCTTCTCCTGGACGATCTGCGATACTGGTGATGATGTAGAGTCGGTAGTGCTGTTAAGAGACGCGCTTGGTAGCGCGGGCGCGGATGGCGCGCTCACAGGCGCAGCGGCTGGCTCTGCATGGTGATCTGATGGGGAGTCGCTCATGCTGCTGTGCTCCTGCGCGTGAGCGTTATCGGAGCAGTAGAGAATAAGCGGAAAGAGATAGGCAGAGCAGGGGTGGGGAGGGAAAGAGGTGTAACAGGTGATGTGGGGGATAAAGGAGTGGAGGGAGAAGAGTGCAGAAGAAAAGCGAAGGAGGGATGAAGAGGGCTAAAGAGCGGTCGTTTGTCCCCACTGGTGATGTAGAATGAAGGGGAAGCGGCAGACAGGGGAGGATGAAGCTAACAAAGCCCGCTGAACATACATGGAGCGGGTCGGTGGGTAGCCTGCGCCGCGCGTTGACGGTGGCAAGCTGATCGCGTGTGCAGCAGCCGGATGGGTTGTAAGGGGGTGCGAGGGTGTCTTGTGAGACAGCACGAGCTGTATAATCGATGCTCGGCGCTGATGCTCGACGATCTGATGCGTGTGCTGAGCAAGAACGTTTGCGCGTGGAGTGATGACGAGGGAGAGGGGAGGAGGGATGGGGAGGGCAGGAGAGATGAGGAAGAGGAGCAAGACGTGGTTGTGCAGGTGACGACCGATGAAGGTGGCGGGAGTATGCAAGTGAAGGGTATGGGTGTGGGGAACGTACGGTGGGAGGCACGCTACGGTGAGAAGTGCGCTGGCACCGATTCACCCATCCCATCAACCTTGATCCCGTGACCCCGCTCTCGCCGCCTTCACCGCCCTCCGTCGAGACAATCTGACATTACAAATCACAATTCTAATGAGCCATTAGCTCAACCTAACTCCCATAACCCCGTCCCTGTGGCACTGCTCAGCCGTTCTTCGGCGTAAGGCTTGTTACCATGCATTAACCCTGTTGCCCGACCTAGTGTTTACGCTGTGAGGAGGGCTATAGTAACGCTTTGCTAAGAGGGTCGTGTGAGGCGCGTTGGAACGGCGGAAGTCGTGTGCGACATGGCAATGCCTCATGATATTCCAGTGCATACAATTTAGGTTCACAACATGCTGTCTATCTCTATCCCCCACGGCTCATTCTGCGCCAGTGCCGATTCTCCTCTTCCTGCCGCGCCTCCTCCTCAGCTGTTGCAACGCGCTCGTACCCCTCTTGCTTCTTCTTCGTCGTGGACCACCACCACCACACACTTACTCCAGCCAAGCTCATTACAGCGACCGCGCCTACGATTGTAAGCGCGAGCCAGCCCCAGAGGGTAAACCAGCCAGGCGCGTACGGTTCCAGCACCGTATCGATGACAATGACGCCGCCGCCAAGCGTCATGCCACCGCGCCAGAGAGGTGGTTCAGTTGATTCGAGGATGCTGACGGCGGATGATTTCGACGCTTTCCAGCGCACACTCGCACGGCCAGCCGCGCCCGTTCGTGCAGGCCGGTCAGAGGAGCCGCCCCGCGCGTTACGCACGCCCACCAAAAAGTCGTCGTCGCCTTGCGCGCGGAAACCGAGCTCGCCGTACGCGCTGTCGAACACCAGAAGGGTGGGGTACACGATGTCATCCTCAAGCGCCAGCGGTGTGTTATCAGCCGGAGGGTAGCGTGGCGCATGCTCCGAGCTCGCCTTCGGCAGACTTGCGCCCAGATCCGATGGGATGATGTGCAGCTTCAACAGGCGCTTCAGCGCCTCCGGATCTGATAGGTAGTATGTCATGTTGACGCGGGAGAACGCCTTGTCCGTCGGCACGAGGACAGTGTATGCAGGCAAGGCAAGGTCGTCCGGATGCGAGTCGTCGTCTTCTCCCTTGCCATTCTTGCCTAGGATGCGGAAGTCCTCGGGCAATCCGAGGTGCGCGACCTCCTCGTCTGTCGGCTCTCGGCCCTCGAGGATCCATCCAAACCCAGCTTTGACGAGGAGCTCCGGCATCGTGTGCTGCTTCGAGCCGCGGATCAGTTTGGCGATGCTGAGATTAATGTCGGAAGGAAGGACAACGCTGTCGATAATATGAATCACACCCGTTTCCGTAAGCGCATTGTGAGCGCGCATAACGGCCGGCCGAAGATCGCCATTCGATGGCAGCGACGCGCTCCCCGAGTCATGCTTCGGCCACTTGGAAGGCGAGCGGAGCGTGAAGTTGTTGCTGTCGCTTCGATCAAGCAAGAGATTTCCCCCCTCGGTCGTTTTCAGCACCGATAGCCCGACCTCGATGTCAGGTGTGTAGATCAACTGCTCGACGGCGTGGTACCGTAGCACCTTGCGCAACTCATCGCGGCCCTCAGGGAGGAGAAGGTATTTCATCGCAAGGCCGAGGTTGTTGAACGCCTTGTTTCGTGGGATGAAGTACGTCGTGGCGGGATTTCTCTTGACCGACCGCTCCAACCCGGCGGCGTATACTGCGGCAATGTATGTGGACAGTTGCAGGTCTCCGACGGCAGTCTGTAGCGTGTCCAGCGGCGGCGCGAGTATCTCCGACATGAAGTAGATGACTGTGTCGCCACTCTTTACAGGCTGGCCGACGACGTTTGCTCCGCCGAACGCAATCTCGCCCTCTCCCACGTCCCACTTTGAATCGGGCTTGCGGCGCTCTGACACTTCGGCTTGAATCGGCTGCCTGGCGCCATTAAGGTCGGCGGTCTGCAGTTCTGTGGGAATCAGCATGCCGTCCTTGATGTCATCGGGATCATAGCTGCCGGCCAGGATATGATACCTGAGCAGCTGGGCGAGCGGCGAGGTGTCGTCGACAGGTGGTCTGGGAGTAGATGTACGTGTATCGTCGGTCGCAACGCCTAAGGTCCTGGCGACGCTCTGCGGAAGTAGAGTAGACAGCTCCAGCGGAAGCACGCCCTGCGATCCGAGGTAGCCCATGTAGTCGATGGCATCGTCGGTAGGCGCGAGGATAGTGTAGTCGCGCTTAGCCTTACCGCCAGCCTCGCCTATGTATCGTGCGGATAAGTTGGCCGAGCGCATGAGGGAAACGAAGCGCGTTGCGTTCCGCGACAGCAGCACTTTCTCGGCGGAGTTGAGTAGCTCGAAGCCTTCAGGCAGAATGACGCGCGGCACGATGTGAATCACGCCGTTGGCGGTGAAGATATCGACAACCTCGACTTGCGTGCCGTTTACCGACAGACTGCCATGCTTGCCGACTACCTCCAGCGTGTCGCTGGCGCTGGTGACGTTGCTCCCCTTCTTGCCCCAGGCATCGCTCCAGCCGACTGGATGCTTCTCGTCGAGTTGCAAAATTGTGCCCGGAGCCAAGACACGGCTGAGACCCTCGACACCAAACATGCCCTGGAGATATCCACGCTCGAGATCGTCAAATGCCGCAGTGAACGCGTCCTCTGACGCCGCGAACAGTGTGACGTGCTTAGCTTCGTCTAGCGACGGAGGAAGTGGCAGCGGCATCTCCTGCGGCACGTCGATCAGTTGTGCCAGGTAGGCAAGCTGTGGGGTGTTGCGCAGTGTATCCAGCAGACTCAAGGGCGGGGTGAGGACCCCGTCCACGCCAACGACGACGCCATTGCGCACCCATCGCACGCCCCGTTCCTTCTGCTTATCCTTGTCCTTGTCCTCTGCCTCAGCCCGTATGTGCGTATTATTTGGCTCCTTGTCCCATCCGGAACCGTCCCAGACGGCAGCACCATTCGCGCCGAAATGGTCGAAGCCCACCAGACCGCGCTCCCCACCCTCTGCACTGCCAGGCATCGCGAGGCGTAACCGCTGCCCATGATCGCCGAGCAGCCCATGTCCATGAGCAGGCGTCCAAGGTGTGCCGGGCTCCGGTATAGGGCTCGGTGTAGGCGCTCTGCCCATTGGGAAGAGGAGCGACGTCTCGATCGTAATATTGCTTTCCTCTCGCGGCGCCCAATCCTCCTCCGTAAGCGTGTAGTTGAGGATGTGGTAAAGCATATGCTGACGCATCGCCCAGTTCTGGTTATCGGCCTCCGCTTGTACCTGCTCGCGGTTCTCGCCTGCGGCAGCGAGGCGGCGTGCCAACGCGGCCTCCGCGTCGATATCACTTAAGAGCCATTCCGATAGCCCCGAAGGCCCAAGCCACCCATGTACTCTCCCGGCTGTGTCAGGCTTGTGTGCTTCCTCCCACGCTTGCCATGCTTCGTCCGTGGGAGCAAAAATCGTGCCGTTCAGTCGCGAAAGCATCGGCACGAGCTTGGCCCTCTGAAGAAGGTGCACAAACGTCCCGTGCTTGCTGGATGCGGTAAGGGCAGACATCAGTGTCTCGGAGTAGGCTTGTGTTAGCGGAAGAGGCAGCGTGGAGACACCAGTGGGACTGAGGAATGGGCTTTTTGATGCGACTTTCGCTAGTAAGACACTCACACTCCATCTGCGGTTGCGCCGCGTCTCTTGTTGAGCTCAAAGGTAGCTGTGCGGCCGACACGGCAGCCGCGATGGCAAGCAGTGCGACCGGCCTCATTGTAAAGGAAATGTAGCGAGTGTATGTTGATGTTCTAGCTGCGACCCAGAAGAGTAAAGAGAAGATGATTGTCGACGCGCATCGCACGAATGAGGCGCTGATGTTGGTACGCGACTCATCCAGCTACGGAATGATCGTGGGGCTTAGGGGACCGGGAGCTCTGGGTGGCGACGGGAGCAAACGCGGCCACCGAGTACCACGGTACGTCATCGCTCGCTGCAGCGGAGCGGTGGCGGGATGGTGTGGCAAAGCCAATATCAAGCACGTTCCGGCAAGAAACGATGCAGCTAGCATAATGAGCATTGCAACGAGATGCAATTATTCGGAAATGATGTGCACTATTGCAACCGATAAGCATGTACAAGTTTGCTCTTCAAAAAGCTAATGTTACAACTCGTTCCTGCGTGTCTGAGGGTATGCTCTGCACCTAGCTCTCCTAGGCCTCCAGCGTAGCATCCTCCTGCACGACACTAGCAGTTGGCCCTCCAGCCGAGCGGAGCAGAGCAGCCATTTGTTCCCGCCGCAGGCGTTCCTTGGCCAACTCATCGCGCAGCCGCTGGTTGTCAAGCGCGAGCTCATTGCGCCTCCACTTTGCTGCTTGAAGATCCTTGCGCAGCGCTGCTTGCACTTCGTCCGGAGTGGACAACGATATGTCGTTGTACATCCCGTCAAGCTCGGCGTTGAACGCATTGTAAATCTCGTCGACCTCCAACCCCTTGGCTTCGAGCTGGGAGCGGAGCAGTTCCTCGCGCTCTTTGGCGCGGCCAACTTGTCCCTGGAGATGGGAGAGCAGATCAGGGGACGGTGCGTTTCGCGCCAACATGCGTACTCGCTCCGTGTCAGCCAAGGCAACAGCGAGGCGTTCTTCGACCGCTCGCGTATTGGAGGCGAGCAGCTTCAGTTGGTCTTCCATTGGGTCCGTCAGAGGCACTGTAGTGCTGAAGCCAATCTCATCGGTGGGTGAGTTCAGCTCAGCCTAATGTCAGTTCTGGCAATATGATGGGCGTACGTGGATGTTCCGACTGTGCGGGGAACGCGCCAGACTGGCCTGCCTCTCGAAGCGGCTGCGGTGCCGATCTTTGAGCGGCTTACTTAGCGCAGCTGCCGTCTTGCGCACCGCTCGCGCCTGCCGCCTGGCATCGCTGATCTACGATTAGCTTCTTTTCACAGCTCAAACGCACTGTTTGCCACGCCGCATCGGCAGCCGATGCGAGGTCAGGGTGATCACTCATCACCACATCTAATTGCTCAGCAGCCGACTTGAGAGTGTCCACACTCCCCACAGTGGCTGTGGAAACTGAGCTCTGAACGCTAGCCACGGAAGCAACGCTCGAAACTCTCTTGCTGGGGGTGAGGACTCCGCTGCCGCGCCGGTCACTACGCGGCGTCAGAACGCGTTTGCTGGAGCAAATCGAACTCTGTCTCGAACCGGAAGCCCCGAGCGACGAGGGGTAGCGGGGCGTATGTCCCTGCGTAGGGGTCATGTCGCTCTCTGCGCGTGACATTACGGAGTCGCTGGGCGTCCTTTTGCGCGGTGATAGGTGCTCAGCGGGATGTGCTCGCTTTTGAGTTGCAGGGGGGATGTTCTCGTCGTGGGTCAGCGAGCCGCGGCCGCTCGAAATGGATCTAAGCTTAGGAGCGGCGCCGAGGCCCATGAGCCGTGAAACCGGTGGAGGCGGAGCTGCTGGCCCTTGAGGGATAGGAAGGGGCCTTCGCGCCGGTGCAGTCTCACTGGCGATCGGGCCAGTGGCGGAAAGCAGCAATGTTCGTTCGGGCGCATGCGGTGGACCTTCGGCCGCCTCGTTCTCGGCCTTCACGTCGTCAAGCAGGGTTTCAATTGCAGCGGGGGGCGCAGACACGGATTTCTCGGCAGTGGGCACAGGTGGAGGGAATGGGGCAACGTATCCGCTCCGCCCAGGCGGCTGACGCGGACCCCTCGGTGAAACGGTGCCAGACCGGCTCAATGTGCCGGCCCGCGGGAGCCCAGACTTGGTCGGTGATTGAGGCAACGAGCCGAGCGATGAGTCACGTGAGATACTTTCTGTGATCGAAGAAGCGAGAGTTGGTACGGGGACGCGCTTGCTGGGGGTGACACCCGGCTTCAGAGGCGAAGATCGTGCTGAGATCAGCTGTAATATCCAGCGCGACTTACTCTTCTCTCTGTCCTCCTCGGCGGCGGCCTTCGCCTGACGCTCACGCGCTTCCAGTTGCTGACGCATGATGGTAACGCGCGAGGGACCTGTTGGCGAGTGGGGCGTGGGACGTGGGGAAGCCATGGCTGCGAGCGAGCGGGAATTGTTGCGCGCCTCGTCAAGGCGCGATGCAAGCCGGTCGTCTGAGCAGTCCTCCATGGCGGGTGGGGCACCCCTGGACCTGACTGGAGACCAGGGTGGCGAGGATGGCGTAGTGGGTGACATGGGGGAGCGGGGAGATGACGGCGATGCGTGCGTGAGGCTGTGTCCCGCGGACGAAATGGTGTCGACGCCGGAGAGCGTACCGGTGTCCATTCCCGAACTCCGGCTGGTAAGGGAGAGGCCGTGTGTGCTTGTTGAGCTGAAGCCATCGCTGTGTCCGCCTCTGGAGTTGGTCGATGCAGTGCCCAGCAGAAATCGCGACGCTCTCTTGCTCAGTGTTGGTGTCTGCATCAGCGGATTTGGGTTGTTGCTTGGAAGCACATAGACCATCGCATGGGAGATTTTCTCAACCACAGTCTTGTTGACATCCCCGGAACTGATCAGTTCGCGGACCACCGCTTGGCCCTTCTTTGGCGCGTGGGAAACGCGACAGAGATCACCTGCCAGCGGCTCCAGACGGATAACAAGAGATATGGAGTCATCCTGTTCCGGTAGAGGCAAGTCGCCACAGTCTGTGCCCACAACTTCGATAAGAACCTTGGCCTGTCTGTAAGTAAACGTACCACAGCATAACTCACTTTGCGCTGTTCAGCTGACCATCCCGGCAATGTCCAGACGTTCCAGTACGGTTTGACACGTTCCCCCTCTACCTCGTATGTTTCCTCGCTTGCAAGGATGTATGGAAGTGACTTGGGCTGCGAAGGAAGCGTCTTGCTACGGGCCAGAGCCTGCGCCGCCCAAATGTTCTGCACGAAGCGGATCTTGTCCGTCCGAGCTGCTTGGAGATCTAGACCGACGGGTGCAGGGGGATGGCAAACCTGGAAGAAGCGAAGGGGTAGGTTCCACCGATCGCCCTGGTCGGCGAGAGGCTGCTCGAAGAACAGCTGGAAATCACCTTTGCCCACGTCCGCGACTCGGACGTCTAGGATGTCTACGACGCCGCGGAAGCAGAGCTTAGCACGCCGCGCGCCATCCTTCTCTTTGACTGCGACGCCGCCCCCAGACTTTATGAGGTCTTTGATGTCATCGACTCCCGTTGCCTTACGACCGCTGATGGCAGTCGCCTGGCGCTTGGCAATCATTAGCTTGTCATCAAACAGAAACAAGGTGCAATGCAGCGGCGGAGGCGCGCCCATCTCTTTCTGCGGCGATGCAAAGCTGTGATTTGACGCCAATGACCCCAGGGAGGTCACGGTGCTCGACTTGCCCGATTTGATGGAGACGGGGCGGCTCGCGCGAGGGTTGAATATCACACCGTCGGTCGTCACGTCTTCAGCGTCGATCGAGTCAAGATAGTCGCGATTGTTGCTGAACAAGCTCGCCTGGAGTTAGCCCTGCCAGCGTTGCAGTCATACGGGAAAGCCGTCCACATTGCGTTCCAAGGAGTACATGACTGTCGCCCGCACCGTCCGCTCATCGGGTTCACATCGAGCAATGCGGGACGCGACGTCCTTAGCCTCCAACAGCTTGGCCCGTTGAGGGGAAAGAACCGACATGTATTTGACCATTTCTATATCAGTTAAGGACAAGACCGTCAACGTACCTTCCCAAAGGAGGATGTAGCGCGGAATTCGTTGCACCGGCTCCATCAGCAGCTCAAAGAGCCCGATGTTCCCGATGCCCGTAGTCTGGTACTTCGTGCTCTGGTAGTCAGTTTAGACGAACGCGCGGCAGCTTACATCAATGAAGGTCACAAATCTCGAGTGTTTTCTCTTCATCTCGTTAAAGGTCTTCTGTGCCTCGTCCTGATTGGCGATGTACGTCCTGTAGCAGTCGAGTGTTTTGAGCGTCTTCAGCTGACAGTCAACTTGGCCTCAGCACCCACTTACATGCTTGAGGCAGACATCTCCGACGTTCTTGTCCGCGTCTCCGCTGTCCCACATGCTTTCGAGATCTGACAGAAATGTCAATGCTGCGGGCAAGACAGCATCAATATTTCCGAACAGAGTCTTCGCTTCGTAAACGGGGATAATGCTAGTGTTGGACGACTTGGCGAAGTGCCGTAGTGGGTCGGCATAAGCCTGCGAATCAGTCAGAGCGATATCGCCGAGCTCACGACTTTCAAGGCTTTGATACGGGAGACATAGCTGCGCTCGGTGCGCACGAGCTCCTCAATGCGCCCTCTCAAGAGCTTCTCCAGTTCCTCTGCTCTACTTGCGCACAACTCCCCCGCAGACGGTGAGATAGTAGAGACCTGAGGTTTGGGGCGAGGGATGGCGGTAGGCCGCTCCACTACATTGCCGAGCTGGCTCAGCAGGGCTGTTGTCTCGTTGGTCTCAGGCCCAATTACCACCACGTCGCTCAGGAAAGCGCGAAGCGGCTTGCAATCAGCCTCGCACACTGCGGAGCGTGACGAGGAGTTGAGGTCAATGTATGACTTCTTCGGAGGAAGCGGAGGCGGCGAGGGGGAACGGGCTGTGGGACCGCGGCTGCGACTGCGAGGGCGCCGGAAGGGGGAGCCAGCGGTGAGGGGGGGCATGGCGCCGGTCAATGTTGAACGGTGAGGAGACGCGATCGTGTGCGTGGATGGGTGTTTAAGAGGGAGAGGGAGAATGAGTTAATGAGGGATGTGGGCGAGAGCCAAATGAGTTTGGGCGTCATGACTGCTGGCCTGCTGGCTTGTTTGGCTCAGGATAGCATGCTTGGACTCCTCAGGGTCAAAACTGGGGGTTAAGGCCTGGGCGCGCTCGGGACAGCAAAGAAAATCAACCACGCCCTGGATTCCTAAGTGAGGTTCATATTTAGATAATGCCACGCGAGCTACCATGCACATCGTCATCCTGACCGTTCCTGGCTACTCATAGCAGTGACAGTTGTACCATCGCGGCCTTCATCTCCATCATCTCACGACCGCCGCCATCTCCGACACCTTCCCCATCTCCGTCATTACCGTGAGCTTCGTCAGCACCATCACCCGTCCACACTTAGAAAGCTCTCATCGCTTTAACGGTACTCCTTCTCTCCCCATCATCCTCTCGTCCGGCTTCGCTTGCTGGCCCCATGATGCCTAATATCGTCTGACAGCCTTCTTCCTCCTCCCAGCAGCATGTCCACCCCTCCGTCTCCCCATCAACCTGCAACGCGGAAATTATCAAACGCCTCCTCCGGTGACCTCACCGTTCGCCCGCGCCGGCCAAGTTCCTCAAGTGCGTTATCCGTGCCCGTCCCGGACGAGGATGACAACGAAGTGCCAGACGGCTTTCTCGACCCTTCCAACCAGTCGTGGACTGCCGACCCATGGGGGTACTCTTTGCGAGAGCCGCCGCCTCCACTGTGGCGCCAGGCCAGCGACGAGGTATACAACGAGAACGAGGACCCGGAGCAAGGTCCCAGCGACTACTGGTGTCGTTCCTCGCCACCCCTGTCACCAGAACTGCCAACTGCCTCGTCTGATCCCTGGCTGCGAAATATGTCCGATGTGGCCACACCCGAGAGCGAGGACGAACACCAGGACACTGCTGAGTACTCCAAGCGTCTGGAACAGGTCCTGTCATTCGCCGATCAGTCACCCACCCCGTCACCGATGAGACGGCGGGATAGGAATCGGGCCATGTACATTGGCGACGGGGATGATTCGGGCGACGACGATTCGAGACAGCTTCACAACGGCAAAGGCTACGACGAGGTTGTTCGGGACGTACTGCATGATGGCGGGGAAGCGGCAATCTCGCCGTCCGTTGAGCAGGATGAAGACGAATTTGGAGCTCTGCCAGTGCGCTCGAAAGTGAGTGACACCCGAGACAACAAGTACTTACTCTGCAGGAGGAATCTATCTTGCGCACCCCATCAACCACATCACTGTCAGCCTCAGTTCAGGAGAGGATACAGTCGCCCATGCGCTCCAGCCCCTCGGGTCCTTCGCGATCTTACATCCGTGTGTGGCACGGTCGCGACCAGTGCTGACAACAGACCCTTCGGTCTCAAGGCTGCGATCGCAACCTCATGTCCGCAGCACCTCTACATCTACCCACTTAACGGCGTCGAGTCTTGCAAACCACACGCGTCTCCCGAGCCACTTCTCGCAGGTTTCCCTCTCGCGCTCGGATTCCATCTCAACTACCTCAATCGCTGGCCCAGCCCGCTCTTCGGTTGCGGCGCCAGAATCTCAGTCCGTCGCCGAGGAGATGAAGGGCCCGGCATTTACTTTTCATCCCCTCCGCCACCTCTCCGCGCATCTGTTTAACCGCGGCAGGGACCGCGGCTCAGAAAGCGGCGCATCGTCGCCCACCCCACGGCCGTCCCCGGCCAAGCGGACGGGGTCGGTGCTTGGCCTCTCCCTGGGACGACGAGGCGGCGAGGCTCCCACCTCTCTGCCGATCGAGAGGACCTTGGGTATTCCCACAGTCATGGACACAAACGGAATGATCGCCGTCGGTACCCAGGGCGGCCATGTGGTCGTGTATGGTTTCAATCAGGAGGTTCGCTGTGTGCTCGGAAACGAGACATCAGGTAGGTGCCCCCGGGCGGCGTCGCTTATACCACAGTACTGTCTGGACCGGTGACCGCTGTGACCATCTGCCCGGATCAGACGTGGATCGGCGTTGGCCACGCCAGCGGCAACGTGTTCCTCTGGGATTTGTCGCATCCTTCCAAGCCGGGGCGCACATGTCTCGCTGTTACGTTACAGCAAGTGCTCTCCGGCCGTAAAGAAGGTCACTTGCAGGGCACTCGGATCATCCACATTGGCTTCGTCGGGAAGCGCCACACTTCCATTGTCACTGCCGACGAGGAAGGACGTGCTTTCTGGTTCAGCCTGGGAAGGGTCATGGGAGTCGACAGTAACGACGTTGTTCGCATGCTGGGGTCCTATCCGGAGCCGGAGCGCGAACGGCAGGAGCCACCGCGAGACTCTGTGCGTACAGATGGCGAGACGTCGGCGCCCAGCTCAATCCGTTTCCAGCAGCCCAAGAAACCCACCACGCTGTTTGCGGCGTTGCCACTGCCCATTGGCACCGCACCGCATGCGACAGATGAGTTCCACATCACCGCGCTCCTCACACCTGTCAAGCTCGTAATCGTGGGCATGAAGCCTTCAGCCAAGACGTGGTTCCGCAAGATGCGCGACACGGCTGGTGGTGAATACGGAGGTTTCGTGGGCTGCGCAGTTTGGCTCAAGCCGGGAGAGGTCAGGGCAGCCACGCCAACAACGCCTCCTTCCGATCCTGTCCTGGCCTACTCGTGGGGCACGTCACTCCGCTTCCTCCGCGTTCGCGTGTCGGTTACTGAAGCTCTCGAACGGCCGCAGAGCGCTGGCAAGAGTGACAAGAAGCCCGTCCCACTAAAGACACCGGAGTTCATTGAGGGGCGTCGCTGGGAAGCGCCAAATCCTATCCAGTCACTGCATTGGTTCGATTCGGATCATCTTCTGGTCATCACCACCCAGGAGCTACTCTTGGTTAACGTTCGCACAATGCGGCCGGTCGAGAACACACCCCTCCAGACAAAGCTCTTGACGTCCCAAGACTTCTACTCAGGGCTGAGCATCCGTAAGGCGGGCATTGACGTCGTGCCAAACACCATCGCGAGCAGCGCCAGGACATTCCGCGAGAAGCTCTTCCTTCTCACCAAAGCCAACGTTCAGGTCGGTACTCTGCAACACTGGAACGACCGCGTACTGGCGAGTGTTCACAAGGGAGACTTCCTGGGTGCTATCAACTTGGCGCTGGCGTACTACGAGGGCAGAGCGACAGGCAACACAATCGGTTTGCCGGAAGATCCTGCATCAAGGCGTGACGTCGTCGGTACTCGTGTCCGCGAACTGATGAAGGCCTCACTAGAGTGGGCGTTCTCCGAAGAGCGCATGCACGACGACACTCATTTCAGTGCTGACGGGCGAGGGGTCGACCTCACGTCGCTCTTTGAGGGTCTCGCAACGGCATGCATCGACGCGTGTTTAGCCATGCATGATGCCGATTTTCTCTTCGACGAGGCGTACGAGCACTTTGCCAACGCGGGCATCCAGAGCATCTTCCTCACTCGCCTCGAGGGGTACATCTTCGAGGATCGCGTGTCTGAGGTACCGCCCCATGTGGTCCAAGTCATGATTGCCATGCACGATCAGCAGGGCGAGTACGGCCTGGCCGAGGCTATTATCTGGCACATTGCGCCTAACTCTCTTGACATCAATCAGGCCGTCACACTCTGCGAGAAGCACGAATTGTGGGACGCCCTGATTTACGTATATACCCGCGCAATGGGGGACTACGCAGCGCCAATTGTCAAGCTCATCGGCATTGTGTGTGTCATCCAGCGCGCTCGTCGAGACAGGCCGAGCCTCGTTGGCGACAGTGGTGAACGATCTGACGTGGAGGAGAGGCTCGCACCAGACGCGTACAAGCTCTATGCGTATGTCGCCAACGTCCTCTCTGGGCTGTGGTACCCGTCTGGCGAGCAAATGCGGGAGATCGACGCTACGCGCGCCCGGACAGCTGCATATGGCCTGCTCTTCTCTGACCGCACAGTAGAGTGGCCTGAGGGCTCGAATGAGCTCGTTCGCACGGACCAGAGCGACTCTGGCGGCTTTGAGCCCGCATACCCATACTTGCGGTTGCTCCTTCAATTCGATACGGAGGCGTTCCTCCATGCCATGGACATGGCGTTCGAGGACTCGTACCTTAATGACCCATCTCGCGCGATCAATCGCCAGACCATCATCAACCTCATGCTCGACGTGATGGATGATGGATTCCACTCAAGCGACGTGACTTTCCTGCACATCTTCGTCGCTCGCAACCTACCAAAGTACCCGCAGTTCATTTTCATCCCTCCATCAACATCGCACCGTATTCTTGTCAGCCTCGCTTCCGACCCCGACCAGTCTACGCGCGAGGATCGACAACTTGCCGCCGAGTACCTTCTCTCGGCGTACACGCCTCACGACGCCGATCAGATGTTGAGCCGCTTTGAGCAGGCGGGCTTCTTCCGCATCCTACGCGCCGCCTACCGGCGTGACCGGAAGTGGGGTGCCTTGATCGATACGCTTCTCAGGGACCCAGATGCCGATGATGGCGTCTTTGCCAGTCTTGATGAGATCATCACGTCGTCCAAGATGTCGCTCGGTGTTGTCCCCGACGAGGTGGAGACGGCAATGTCAAATGCTTTGCCCCATCTCTTCGACCTGAGCGTGCGGCAGACAGCGCTCCTCCTCGACAGGTCCCTTCCCACGCTGCACGATTTGGCAATTCAAACGCTCGACGAGGCTGAGCACAAGCAGGCAGCATATTTGCGTTGTCTGCTTGATCCAAGAGCAGATGAAAACGAAAGTGATGGCGGAGAGGCTGAAGCAGTGCTCAGTGAGCCGTCGAAGCACCTCCATAGCGGTGCGCGGCTCAGGTATGCTTCACTCTTGGCACAACACGACCCCAGCGCGGTCATCCCCTTCCTCGACGAGCAGGGCAAGGCAGCTTTCGATCTCCCTCTCCTGGCGGAGCGATTTGAGGCCGCCGGTGTACCGGATGGTCAGCTGTGGGCTCTTGATCGCAATGGGCAGCGGAAAGAAGTGTTTGAGACGATCGGCACGGTGCTGGCGTCACGCGGCGCCGATCTAGCCGAGGGCATTCACACGCACTCGGAAGGTGACATACACCAGGCGCTGGCAACGCTTCAGAGCGTTTCGCATATGGCCATCCGCCTATGTCGAGAACACTCGTGCGAGAGCGCAGCCGAGGATATGTGGTTCGGCGTCCTACATTCAACCACGGACCTCGTGCACTCGGTCTCGGCGCTGACCTCCGAAGAAGGAGATTTGGCTGCATCGGTGCTTGAGACGCTCCGCGGGCTGGTGCAGGACACGCTGCAGGCTCTGCTCTCTACCTCGTCGTCACACCTCTCCTTCGCGCGCCTTTTCAAGCGCCTTGTTGAAGCGGCGCCGACCGGGAAAGGCAAGAGGAAAAAGACGAAGGGCGGGGCGCGCGCCTACTCCGAGTTCCGCGCAATACTCAGCGGCATGCTTGACTCATTCCGACAGGACACGGATGTGCTGTCCCTCAGCATCAGATTGGTGGACGCGGACATGTTCGAGCTGCTTGAGGAGAAGGTCGCCAAAAGCCAAGCGGGATGGCGCACCACCTCAATTACATGTGCAGAGTGTCACAAACCCCTCTGGCGGGCGGGTGACAAAGTAGACGTGCGCGCCAACGGCACAGCGGTGCACGAGGTGTGCTAGCACAGTATCAATATATGTACATTATTAGAGCCAGTATTTGCTACCTCGGCGCTATCGCCTCCTCGTGGGACTATCAGGCGCCGCGGCGTCCTCTAGCCGACCTCCATGATACGTAACCATCTCGTCCTGCTGATGCAAAACGAACTGACCGCCGTCACCGGGCGCAGGTTTCCCGAACAGGCTCGTCTCGCCCCCTTGCTGAGCGTAGCCGCTCCCCGCACCTCGGGGGTATCCAGAGATGTCTGAGTCGTAGCTGTTGTCAACGAACTCGAAGCCCTCTGCCGCCTGTGCTGCATATTCGTCTGTGTCGTCCAAGCTATCGTCGGCGTCATCGATGCTCTCGTCATCCCCGATAATTCGACCAGTGACATCTCGTTGGATCTCGATGTCACTGCCGTACGACGTGTTGGCGAGGGACCTGCGCGGGCGGCCGTAGCCATATGTTGACTCATCGAGCCGATCAACGTGACTGGTGTTGTCACACTCCAAGAGCCGGTGAGCGGAAGATGCCTCCCTCTCTCGCCGTGTGTCCGGGTTGGGATCAGGCCCATCAAACAGTCGTCGTGCTGTCATGCCCTCGCGGTCTGGGGGCGGGAGAGGTGCGTCGAACTCCCGTCGCGCCGCCGCCAAATCAGCCGCCAAATCATCCGCTGCCATCGAGTACCGACGTAAGTTCTCGGGCGTCGGCATGCGCGGGCTCGGCTCGTAGCTCATGTCCATAAGGTCAGGTGGAGCTTTGATAGGCGTTGTACCGGCCGCGACTATGCGCTGCGCGGTGGCCGGGAGGGCAAACTTCATGGTTACAGGTGGCGACATTCCGAGCTTGATATCATCGTCGTCATCGAACATGTTGCGCGGCTGCGGATTGGTGCGCGGGGCGGGGCGGGAGAACAGGCTGCGGCTCGCTGACGGCGCAAGCGGGCGGAAATCCTTCCCGAGCGGTGTGGAGGTCAAATCTATCAGTCGAGTCGCTGGAGACTTGTGGGCAGTCGGCGAGTCGGGGTCCAGCACACGCGCTCGCGGTGTGGAGGAGCCTGGAGGTTGGAAGCGCAGCGTGCTGTCAAACTCGGCCGTTTCGTCCGGGGATGGCGAGCGGCCATAGTCGTATCCGCTCGGCAGAGAGGGTGTCGTGTCCTCGGTAGTAGTGATTGAGAGCCTGCTCAGCTGCTTGTTGACACGATCGAAGGGGCTGCCAAGACTGTCGTCCAGGCTCTCGTCCTCGTCTCCCCGCCTCCTCATGGGCGTGCTTGTCGCACCCGGCTCAAAAAAGCTCCCGCCGAGCTCCGAGGTTGTTTCCTCATACCGCGTTTCGTCGACTGTGCTCCCCTCGCCGGGCCGCTCTCCAAACGCCTGGGCGTAGAAATTTGTCCAGAACGCAGCTGCTTCCCTGGTGGGTTGATTGGCGAGCGCAAACCGCTTGATCTCTGGCAGAATGCGGGTCGTGACAGTAGAATGAAGGCGGGCAAAGTTGGCGTCGATCTGCTGTAGTAAGAGCGTGTTAAGCTGGTCGATCTGCTCCATTTGCTGCGGGATGGGTGCGCGGGAGTCAACGCCTGCGATGGCGTAGAACGGGGGCCGGGATAATATGTCGGCGTATTGCGACATCTTGAAATTGGCTGGTTGAGCCGCTTAGTCGCAGCTATGATGGTTCGGTGTCGAATCGAGGTTGTGGTGGTGCGTTGTGCTCAAGCGCCGCGATGGTGAGGAACGGTTGTTTTGACGTCGCGTGTCCATCGTGCACGCGTCTCTGGACATGCTAAATGGGCGGACACATTAAATAAGAGCCTTATGCAGCATTCAGGGCGACGGTATCGGTGCCTGGATCGTGGGGGTTGATCCAGAACTCGAAGTGGCCATCTTCACAAGCGTCTATCAACGAACGCCGACGATGGCAGCGACGCCGCAGCCCCTCCGCCTCCCCCCCGTCGAGGGGGACACGTCAATCTGCTCGCATCTACGTACGCTGGTGCAGAGGCAGACCGACATTGAGCGGCGTTTTGTTGATGTCGTGCGCTGGGGCGCACTCGACCAAGGCGCCAAGCGCCGGAAGGTGGGTCAAGCATGCAGGAGGTCTGCATCTCCATGACCTAACGCCAGACCGCGCCGCCGCAGTGTCATGCGTGCTCTTCCCCCCTCTCGCAGCCGTGGGCATGTCTTACGTGTGATTACGTCGGCTGTGCTCCACTGCACGCTAGCACAAGTCGGACCGCTCGCGACTGCCTGCCGAGTCACTTTGCCAACTCAACGCGGTGCGAGTTCGGTAAGCACCTCTCACTTTCCACTTCCCAGTTGACAGTAGCTGTGGAGCCCGGCACAGGTGCCATCTTCTGCTCTGAGTGCGATGATTGTGTGTATCCCGACAGCTTTGAGGCACTATTCCGCGCCACCCGCATCCAGGTGGAGGAATTCCATGATCGCAGCCGGGAGGGGAGCGGGCTCGCCGGACGTGGGCGCGGTCGCGGCCACTGGCGCGCATGGGACGGCAAACCGGTGGATAAGGTGGCGAAGGCATCATGCCGCGGCCTGCGCCCGCTGCTCAACCTCTCTCAAACCTGCTTCTTGTCCGCCATCCTGCAGGCGCTTATTCACAATCCGTTGCTGAAAGCCTATTTCCTCTCCGACAAGCATAACCGGCACGTATGTCCCAACGGCGGACCTAATGGCCTCGCGGTTGGCAAGCCGGTGGGGACAGATGGCTCCGCGGAGCGCGAGAAGGGTTGTCTCTGCTGTGAGATGGATCGCGCTTTCGAGGAATTTTACGCCGACGATTCGAGTCCATTTGGTCCGATCACCATGCTGTACGCGATGTGGCACGCGTCCGCCGAGCTTGAGGGGCACGGACAACAAGGTAAGTTCATGCGTGTGGCCGGCTGTGACTAACTTCAGATGCGCACAGCTTCTTCCTGGCTGCCCTTGACCAAATCCACGCGCACGCCAAGGGCCAGCTCTCGAGCTGCAACTGCATTGCGCACCAGACCTTCGCCGGCTCCCTCGTGTCTGCCGTGACCTGCTCAGGCTGTGGCCAAACGAATACGACTGTGGACCCGATACTGGACATCCAGCTTGACTTCCCGTTTACGGCCCAGGCCGAGCCTCTCACGCTGGGAGCGCTTCTGCGTCGGTATTGTGCGGAGGAGAAGATTGGCGACCACGGGAGGGGGTACGCGTGTGGAGCATGCGGGGGCGGCAAAGGCGTGACGGCGTCCAAAAAGCTGGCCATCAAGAAGCTCCCTCCAGTTTTAAGCTTCCAGCTCAAACGCTTCGCGCACAATGCCACGAGCTCCAAGGTTGAGACGCCCGTTCGCTTCCCAAGCCACCTCGACATGCGACCGTACACCGAGACCACCGCGGGTAACGTAAGCAAGGCGCCGAGCGTAGACGGCGCCGCGGATCGGGAGATCGATGAGGATGACCTGCCCTCGTCGCTCTATAGTTACGATCTGTTTGCGGTGGTCACCCACGAGGGCAAGCTTGACAATGGGCACTACTGGGCTGATGTGCGCAGCGGCGACGAATGGTGGCACTGCGATGACGACAAGGTCACACCAACCACCCTCGGCTCTGCGTTACGCCAGAACGCGTATATGCTGTTCTACGTCCGCCGATCGCTGGCGTACGGCGAGCGCATGTCCGCGGTATTAGCCAATAGCGCTGGCAAGACGGTTAACGGCAAGACTGTCAATGGCAAAACTAACGGGGCACCCAACGGCTCCGCGAGTGGCACCGCGAGTGCGGCCTAGGGTAACTAGCAGCTGGTGTATGTCTCCCCGCGCGCCGAGGGCTCGCTTGTATTCCAACCATACTTCCCCTGTTGCATCTCACTGTAAACAGAGATCTATATGCATGACACGACAGCAGCAAAGTTTGCAAGTCCGAATCAAAGGTCGATGCCTGGGATGGAAACTATGTACATTATGATTGTTCAGAGACTCTCGGACGCGATGGAATGTGTGAGGCATTGCGACAACGTGGAGAAACGGGTGTGCCGAGGACCGAAGTTGACATATGTTGAAGCTGGCTGACAACGAAGAGCATGAGGAGCATGGTGACATGGCTGGGAAGGGGACAACTACACCCAGATGGACTTGCCGGTGGAGAAGTCAAGAGTGGTAGAGAGGACAGGGGGGTCGAGCCTCGCGCGGCTGGCCTTGGACTCCGTGGGAGAGCTGACACGAGACACAGGCGGCGACCCGTGAATGACACGCTGGGCGCGAATGAGATACTTTGGGTGCAGCTTGGCTGAGAGCGTGAACTCGTCATCTGAGGAGGATGCCCGAGACGAGTAGCATGTGCCACCTGAAATACCGCTGGAGGTGTAAAGCAGGTCGCCGAAGACATCGCCTGTACTGAGCGGTGTCGCGGGAAAAACGCTCTCTGCCGGGGAGACCAGAGAACTCGCTCTGCCAATCGAGCCATTACGGTCAGGGGTGCAAGGGTTGGGCTTGTGGCTATCTCCCACAATACGAGAGGACCGGTGCTGAAAGACGGGCTTGTTGGGGAGCTGGCCACGGGAGTGGCGCTCCGCTCCGATGGGCTCGATGGGTCGGTTCTCAAGGAGGGGAGACCCATGCGCGTCGTCGTCCAACTCTGCCACAGTGGACAAAGTATCGAAACCAAGCGAGAAGCGGCGATACTGCGAAAGCTGGAAGCGGCTGGCCTTGGTAGGTGACTCGGGAAGCTGAGTTCGAGTGTGGGTGGCACCGGGCGCGGAAGAAGCGGAGAGGTTTGCAGACACGGGGCGAGAGTTCGCACAAGGTTGGCCCGATTGGCCCGAATCTGCCATGCACTGTTCAAGGCGCCGCGGACTGACAAGCGGGTAGAGCTGATAATGTTCGTCGACCGCGGCGGAAAACACATCAATTTTCCGCTTGGCCCCCTCACGGAGGTCTGGCAAAGAGTCTACCGTCAGCACGATGCTCCAAGGTTAGAAACCGTACCTCGACGTTTAGCAAGGACCTCGGATATCTTGCTTGTCTCGCGCTCCTCGGGAGTAAATGGGTTCTCTGTCTGCGGGCGCGAAAGGGCGATACGCTGAGCCTTTGCGAAAATGGAGTACAGTGGCGACTCGAGGTTGTCGGAGGTGGTGCCCACGCCGCGTGAGGGGGGCGGAATAATATCGCAGTGGTCTGTGCAAGGGGACGAGTCGGAGCTCGTCACCTGGAGAAAACGGGGGCTGACACCACGCCCAGCCATGACTGCCGGCAGCACCGCGCCGATGGGGACTTTGACGCCAGCACAGCTCGATAGCTGAAGCCACAGCTGTTCTGGAATTCCGCAGCCATCCTTGCCGCCTTGAGTGAGAAGGAGAGCAGGGGCCGTCATGTGCTCGTTGCCACAGTCCGCGAGGATGCCTCCCATGGCAGCGCGGGGGTTGGTCTCCAGAAGCTCCCGAAGAAAGGGAGCATAGCCCGAAGCGACGACGGTGGCGGGATTGACACCAGGAGAGGCGTAGACAGTCAAGGGGTGGGGGTAGTCGGTGTTGTATGCCTCCGGAAGACTGCGCTCGATCTCACCGAAATCAGGCTTTGCGAGGGAAAAAGGCTTGGTCTCGGGGAGGTTGACCGTGGGGATTGGCAGGTGTGATCCAATGTATGCAGGGCGACGCGAGGGACGACCAAAAGATGGCGAGAGCGTCGGAGTAGTGGGCCACTCGTTGGAACGAGAGGCAGACGGCCAGCTGGCTTCTGCGTTAGATCCAGGGGATGCAAAGTGGGCGTTCATACCATTGCAAGTAGCCGCAGTTTGCGGAGGTGTGAGAAGTGGGACTTCAGGAGAGGTTATGGCCTTGGCGGCCCGTAGGCCTTCAAGGTGCTCGAGGCGCTCGAGGTGAACAAACACCGCCTCGTGACGTGTGCGAGGAATGTCGCGGCTGTTCGGGAGAGACGAGAATTCATCAGGCGCGTGCAACGATGGCGATGACGAACGCGATGTACCGAGGTTGTCACAGTGCGGCGTGTCTAGAAGTAAGCTGAACTGCGACGGTCCAGTACCGACCTTTGGAGGACTTGGTGCCCGAGGAAGGTGGCGTTTCGACCAGGGGACGCTTGGCTGTTGTTAGTAATGGACTGTACAACAACTCACGCTTGTTTCCGATGCCAGCACGACGGCCCCGGCGGCGACCGCGGGGCTTGCGAGGTTCCTTACCGTCAAGCTTGGACTCGGGGTGGCAGGAGGAAAGCGTGCTGGTAGGCCGTAAGGTAGGAGGAGGGGGATGTGGGCGCATACGCGGAGGCGGCGCCTGCTGTGGCTGGGGGTGAGTCATGAAGTGAGTGTGTCTGCGGAGCTTGATAGATCGTAGGTGGTCGCGAGCAGAGGCCAGATGTTGGAACGCTGATATACGAGGTGGAAAGTGAAGGAGGGAGAACTGGGGAGATGGGTCCAGAGAGAGGAAGAGAGAGAAAGAGAATAAATGAATGGCATGCAGACGTGGCCAAGTGGGGAGAGGATAATGAGGTCAACGTCACAAGCGTAGAGCTGGCCAGCATGGCCAGGAGGCTTGTTGGCTGGGAGGGCTGGGAGGAAGGTGGTTCATGTGCTGTGATGCACCGTGCTCTGCGCCCTCTCGCCCTCGGCATCAGTTGATATCCCAGGTCGCTCCCTTGGCGCAGGAAGTCGTGAGCGTGGCATGCGCAGCGGGGTCATGAGGCTCGCGGCCACCAGGAAACGGTTCGCCAATCGCTCGAATCGGCCACTGGTGACTGGTCGTGCTGGTCTTTGTGGAGTTTTGGGGGCAGGCTGGCTTGGATGGACTGCAAGCTGAAAGGCGGGGGGGGGGGGGGGAGGAGAGGAGGTCAAGAGATCAAAGAGGAGGGCTCCCGAGGCCCGAGGGATTCGGGGATGAGCTGGTGGCCGGCGATCGAGGGACGCACCGAGACCGAGCGTTAGCGGTCGGTGAGTCATAGTGCAAGCCCATGTGCGTGATCAGGTGTGAGCGTGTTGATCACGGCCAGATCGGCGTCGACGCGGCTTCGGATGAGCTGTGAGCTTGTCGATGAGCATGGCGTGCTGCTGAGCAGCAAGTGATCGAGCCGCAAGTAGCAAGCCATCCGCGGCATTTGTGGCATGTGGCAGCCTCCTGCTTCTGAGATTTATAGTCCTCTTTCCGAGCTCCCGAATCATCGAACCATGCGAATCATGCACACGGTACAGTACACATCGTGGGGAGGGATGCACCTGCGTGCCTGCAACGACGTGAATTGCCATCTATGGTATTTGGTATCGCGGGCCGCGGGCTGCGTGCACTGCGTACTCCGGACATAGCAGGTATCTGGCGCGCGCCGAGATGCATGCCACAGTGCCACAGTGCGTTCACGCGTGCTGCGGGAATGCGCATGTACTCACGCGAGTTCACTCTCGGCTCTCAGCGCTCTCAGCGATCAGCTGATTAGGTGCTCAGCTGTAAGTATGTAGAATCGAAGAGGCACGACATGCAGCAGGCTCCGAGACGCGCGCTGTGCCTGGATGTTTCGACACTCGATCTGCCATCTGCCAGGTGGCCGGAGGCAGGCCAGGCAGGATGGCCTAGGATGGGAAATCATGCAAGATGCCAAGAATGCGACTGCGAAATCATGGCCATTTTGGCCAATTAGCTAAGCCTCGCAAATCGCAGAGGGTGGCAGCTAGTGGCAGTTGGACCGGAGGCCGGTGAACTGGAGATCCGGAGAGCGGGTGATCTCACCTGAAGATCTGGTGATTCGTGAGGAGTATGAGTGCTTTAGTACAGAGCATACGCCGAGTGCACGACTAGTGCAGGCGAGCGCGATCTAGCGAGTAGCGACATCATGTGCGCGGGTGCATGGCCTTCATGGGTCGACGTACGCATGAACGCACGTACGCCCATGAACGCCCGGCGCCCATTGTCGTGTTATGGGTGTGGCACAGAGGTGGGTCGGAGATCGGAGTTCAGGGGAGATTTGCCCGGACTGTGTGCCCAACCGCGCTGGACGCCAACTTTCACTTCTTGCGTGTTCTTGCTAATTTCTAGTGCTGCATGACCGCATGATCGCAAGCTCGAGTAGACGAGTACCGATCTATCGAGATATCGAGGGACGCTCCCGATCCAGGACCAAATCTGTAGTGCGCGGCGCCCAGCGACGATGCGAGTGGCTTCATGTGGGCGTGAGGAGCCTTTGATCGGCGATCGGCGATCGGCAGTGGCGTGGGTCGCGACGTGCTTCAATTCGCGACCACGGTGCAGGATTGCAGGATTGGCAGGAACGCAGCGATGAAACAAGGAGCGAAGTAGCAGATGGAAGATGAATCGATGGAGACCTTCCAGATAGGCAGATAGACGATGTGGCCAGCTTGCGAACGTGGTTGACCGGTTCAAGCTAGGACCCAAGGAATGCACGGGTCTAGGGGTGGCCAGAAATAAGCGCCTTAAGCGCACAAGGCAATCAGGTGACCCAGGCAATAGCAGCAGGTGCACATTAAGACGGTGCGCAGATCGTGCAGATCAGAACCAGGTGGGTGCGTGGTGTGTGGCATGTGTGGTGCATGGTGCATGATGCATGCGGTGTGTGTGGTGGCGTGGTGATGGCGTGTTCAGTGGCGTGTTCAAGAAATGACGTCAATGTGCGTCGACGATCGTTCAAGCCTGTCGGATAGGTGGCGTGCATGGTGTGGCGCCGCAGCTGTGCTTCTCTCGCACGCCGCACACAGACGCAACGCCCTCGCCGATCGCCCCCCGCCCCTCGGCCCTCTGCTCTCGGTACTCGGTGATATCAAGCCGATCATTGCGAGCATCCTTGCACTCAATCTGCCGCAACCAAGAATTGAGAGGCGCGAGCGGCGCGAGCGAACTGGAGTCGCATGTTGCAATTGCAGCGCTGCACGCCTGCAATTCTAACCTTCTGCTAGCTGATACCATGCCGAATGTCGCTCATCCTGCTGAAAACGCAAGCCTTGGCATTGAGTTGTAGGATTCTTGAGGATCTGAGAAGGCGCGCAATAGAGGATAAGTGGAAAGGTTGCCTCGTCATCTGACGGCCTGCGGGCCTATGGCCTACGGAGCCCACCCCCGGACCGTGCATTCAGGTTAGTGAGGTCTTTGGGCGAGGTCGAAGCGCGGCAAGATTCAAGTGATCGGGTACGTCTGTACATGCTGTACAGCTTGACAGTGTGCACATCAACAGGTGGGGCGAGCGGGCCAGCGTACAAATGTAAAACGCGTACGACTGCACGGCGGTGTACGGCGAAGAAGTGCCTGCAGATCCCCCTCTTGCCACATGCAACAGCGCAGTTGGCCATTGATCCATGTGGCAAGTAGCATGTGGCATGTGGCACCTTGGTGCTGCCCGAGGAGCTCCACCAAGTAAGTACCCAGCTAGCCAGGCGGCGAGACTAGCTAGAATGCAGAAGAACGAGAACTGCAGCGCTAGAGGGTAACTAGGGTGTAGAGGCCCAGCTGGTACAGCTAGTCACTGAAGTGATCGAGTGAGCGCCACCCAGATCAGGTCGCGCATGGATCTCGCGCATGCTGCCCACATATCGCGTCCACTCCAAGCAGGCTACGGCTGAGCGCCCGAGCAGCCTGCGACCTCCCGATCTCTTCACGCCACGCTGGACGTAGCTACGAATGTGGCGCAGACGAGAAGCATGTCTTACGATTCATGAATGCTGACCTTTGCCACATTATCAGACCAGGGACGGTCGACTGCTCATGCCGCAGCAGTAGACGGCCCCACGTCTCCGTCGATCGGCGACGTTGCAGTCTCGGCAAATTACGAGCCATTGAAGGCCGTGGACGCCGACGACAAGACCACTGAAACCGAGCTGAACAGTACGTGCACGGCTCCATGCACGCACTGCCGGTCTGTAGTGCACGGCAACCTCTTCCCGAAGTGACTTGTTGGCCACGGAGCACGGTGTCGGAGGCACGGAACCCTGGCGCCGGAGTGCCGCAGCAGCGAGCACCAGCGGCGGGACGGAGCATTGGACGGCTCCGCGCCGCACTTTCGTCTCGGGTCTTCAAGCTCCGCTGATCCGCTGACATTGGACCTTTTGGTGCAGGGTGCAGCCGGTGCAGGACATGTTGGACAAGGAATATGCCCTCAGAGCCGTCCCCCGGATTTCTCCGGTCGGCGTGGTCCTGCCGAACCCGATGACGCGGGGTGCGGGGTCCCAGATCTGTCTTCAGTCCAGAGTTGTAACTGCCCGACCATGGCCGACACGATATCTCCCGGCTATTCTATACTTTCTGCTGTTCCGCCCGACGGCGCCATAACCTTTCCGGGGTACTTTCTCAGTCATCGTCGGCGCCAGGAGCGCCGCGTACTCGCCGGCCCTCCGCATCGTTCGCAGGGGGCCCGCGGGTGTCCCCGATGATTACACGGGTGTCGCACCTGCAGGGACGATGACGCTGCACGGGGATTCGGGCGAGGGGAGGGGCACGGTGGCCGATGACCGCTGGAGTTGAAGGGCACACGCCGCCGTTGCGATTGCGAAGTGAGGAGCTAGTGACTGGCCATGTCAGTGCATTTGTCAGCACGGGTAGCACACATGTACGAGTGAGTATCTAGTCACAACTGCATTCCTCTGGTACTGCTACTGCTACGCGGAAACCATGCTACAACCTAGAAAGTCACGCCGACTTGTCCTTCTTGGCAACGTAGGCGATGAGGTCGCAGACGCGGCGCGAGTAGCCGTACTCGTTGTCGTACCACGAGATGAGCTTGACGAACTTGTCGTTGAGGGGGATACCCGCCTTGGCGTCAAAGACCGACGACTCGGTCGAGCCGAGGAAGTCGGTCGAGACAACCTCGTCCTCAGTGTAGCCGAGGATGCCCTTGAGCTCGCCCTCCGAGGCCTTCTTGATGACCTCCTTGATCTGGTCGTACGAGGCGCCCTTCTCAAGACGGACGACAAGGTCAACGACCGAAACGTCCGAGGTGGGGATACGGAACGACATGCCGGTGAGCTTGCCGTTGAGCGAGGGGATGACCTTGCCGACGGCCTTGGCGGCACCGGTCGACGAGGGAATGATGTTGGCGGCAGCGCCACGGCCGCCACGCCAGTCCTTGTGCGAAGGGCCGTCAACGGTCTTCTGGGTGGCGGTGGTGGCGTGGACGGTGGTCATGAGACCCTCGACGATGCCGAAGTTGTCGTGGATGACCTTGGCAAGGGGCGCAAGGCAGTTGGTGGTGCACGAGGCGTTCGAGATGACCTCGTACTCGGGCTTGTAAGCCTCGAGGTTGACACCGCAAACGAACCTGAATTGTCAGCCCGGGCGCTACGATTGTGGAGGCACAGGAAGACTGTACG